CAGGTGCAGATCATAAGAATGTACAAATGATTCCCACTTCAGGGGAATACCCTTTGTGATGAGACCGTTGACGTCATTTTGGTATCCGCTGAGCAGAATCGATACATCCGACATCTCCATGATATTTCTATTTGTCTGTGCATATGTCCTTACTGTTTCCATCAGGCTAACTGCATAGGGATATACTCGTTTTGCTTCCTTGGAGATGTTGTTAATCGAGTGCGGGACCTGGTAGTTGAGCCATATAAGATTTCGAACTTCTTTAAACAGCGCGATAACCTGCTGATCGAAATTTACTATGAGCTCAAGTGTATTTCCGGCAGCCCTGTTCCTTGTGATACTAAAAAGACGCCCAGAAATGGATAGATTTCGTTTTGTAACATCATGCAGCCACGATTCGAAAATCGGTCTTGTGTCTAGCTTTTTTTTGAATGTGTTGCTCTCTCCCTGTAACTTCTGACCCTCATGGTACATTTCCCAACCACGGCCCAAAACATCTTCTACCCTTTTCATATAAGCATTCAATTGCCTCTCAATCTGCTTCGCCCAGATAATCGCTCCGGATATAGGAGGTAGATCATGCAACTGGGCCATCGCGTGAGCCTCTGAGTGACCATATTGCTGCTTGAAGCGCTCATGAAGGGCCGCTATATCTTGCTTCACACTATCGATGAGCTGTGTTTGGTACTCCTGGATAGCACCCCGAATTTTAGGGCGAACAAAAAGAGCATTGAACTTAGAAAACACGCGAAACATCTCATTCGCTGTCTTTGCGGTGGCAAGTCTGTCTCTCAGTCTTGCAATAATCGAGTTCTCAACACGTGATGTCCGTTCATTATACGCATTTTCAGCGGCAATCCAGATTTCCGTACCCTCTGGCGTAACGTCCAATACATCGACATCCTTCAACACAGCATATGCCTGGGCGACTTCGTCGACGGCATCTACATCGCCGATATCTTCGATCACAGCGACCCCATTTGCCACGGTAGTTCCCGCCGTTATGGCGGGAATGCCGTTCTCATATGACTTTGGACCGAGAACATTCGCAATTGTCCTTTGCAGCTGCTCGTGACCGTGTCTAAATGCCTTGATATATGCAAGCCGCTCCTGGGTCTTGAGATGTCTAGCAGAGATTTTGATAGGTATGAATTTCTCCGATCGTTTTCGAGTGACTTCTCTAGCAACGTTTGTAAACTCTTTAATGTTTTCTTCCCAAGTTTTGAAAACCCCCTCCGCAACATTCATGAGTGATTCAAAATCCCTGTACTCCAAGTGCATCAAACGACGTCCACTGAGTAGGGTGTGAATCTGTGAGTCCAAATCTGCCGAGATGGCCTCGACGAGTGGGAGTGCCCGACGAATCGGATATGGGCAAATACGGAGTTTCTTGTTGAGATGGAGGAAAATTCCGACAATTGCATCTTGGACTTTCTGTAGGCTAGTTGCAGATAACAATTCATCGAGTGGGAAATCGCGCATAAGTTGATTATATTTTTGTACTATTGATTAAGAGCCACAGTTAATACAGGTTTCATGGAATAAGAAGATAAGAAATTCAACCTTTGTCGGTTGCTTCTTTGAGCCCTGTGTCAGCGATAAAACTGACAGTGGCGTGGAATCGCTTTGCATGCTTCAAGATTTCCAAGGTGAGCAGCACCCCTTCACTCCTTAACTGTTCTTCGATACCCTCTAATGCACTCTCCATTGATAACCAGAAATTGATTTCTTGAGTGGCAGTCCCGCTTTCAGTATCACGAGACATTTTTGTGATTGACTGGATCGATTTGATCCAAGCATTAACCGTAGACTGTAAGTTATTCAAGAACGTGCTATCTTGAAGGAGGTGAGCAGGAATAAGCTCCAACGACGGCCGTGTGTTCTTGAGAAGAGCCTATACACATCATTAGTTTTATATATGATTTACTCTTATCGAGATATTAAGTACCTCATCAACTGCTGCTTGGACAACTTGATGAAGAGCCAATGACAGCTCGGGAATCTCAATATTCTGTTGTAGGTGCAAAAGTGAGAGTTCGAGTTCCGCCAACTTCTTCTTCGTAACAGGAATACCTGTCTTTGCCTCTCCATCTGCAAACCTGTTTATTCGGCCATGTGATTGAGTCTCTTGGCCTTTGGTATAGGCGTCAAAATACGGCCCCAACGCTAGATGTACAACAGAGTGTAGAATTTCAAAAGGGGATACTGATCCTTGTGCACCACTGTTCAAGACTACTGTACCAGGGAGGTTCATAATCTGGAGTTGTGAATGAAGAGGTACAGTAGGATCCAGGGGCTGTGGTCGCTTTATAATAGCTAAGGAGGCCACTGTGCTAGGTGATGAAGACATCTCCGATGCAATGGAGTAAACATAGGTAACCGAGGCCGGACTGGATATAGGTGCTAGGGTTATGTTAATTAAGAGTTGTAATAGGGGAGTAGAAACAAACGTACATGAAACATCCTCCGGGGAAGGCTCCTTTTCCAGTACATCTTTAGAAGCATAGAGAGCTACAATCGGTTCTGAGGCAAACCTTGAACACTTCGACAGAGTCTCTGAATATCGGGGATCTGATAAAATGCTCCCATTAGACTCAAGGTCTCGTTTGCTAGCGCCCAATGTAGCGGAAAGAACTTCTGTGAGATAGTCGATGAGTAGGAGTGGGTTGAAAGCTGGTAGGAGTGAGGTGGTAGATGAGGAAGTGGCCAATGTTGTATTACTAGCTATCACGACTGGGCCGTCCATGGTTAAAGCTGTATAGCACGTCCAAACTGTTAGGTTCTGGTTCTGGTATTAAATCTAGCTGGTAAGTTTCGCACTGTCAGTGTAGCATATGAGTTGGGGGAGATTATAAAGTCAGTATGGTGACCTATTGTATGTGAGCGGGGGTAAGAGCAAGATGATATGGGCAGAAAGTTCGTAGGTAACAATCAACAACAGATGCAGGTGCAGGAGAATGCAGAAGTGGGTTGGAGCTGGAGTAAGAAGGCCGATGATGACTACCACCTCCTGTGTGGAAAGGGAGGTTGATGGAGGAGAACGTGGTTGGCTGTTGTCCCGATAGCGATATGGGACCTAAAAAAGCCAGGGGATTTAATACACGCACCAACTCTACGCCCTGGATGAGACAGGGTTCAACGCCGCCGTTGACGTTGATTTGCTAGATTTGTGTATGTAGCAACCACTTTTGGCGGACTGGGATGCAGATTGGGAATACGGTTGACAACTGCACAATATCTACATGTTTGTACATGTAACTCTATAGATCTACCTATTCTAGTACATTACATATGCCTTGTGGCAACCATAAACCTAATAGACATTGAAGAAGCCTATACAAAACTCATATTGATCACTGGCATGTTTTGCATATCATAATAAGTTTACTTATGTAGTTCTCCATGAGATGTACCATTAAGTATGTCATTTATTTATGAGAGCTAGGGGTCTATGATTAACATTACCCAGCATCTAGGCGAGTATGATACCTAGTACATATAATTCTTCGGATGTCTTATATTCTTTGGAGCGCACATTAAACAAAGCAAAGCCAAGGTGTAACGTACCGCCAACTCATAATGAACTCAATTTACTTAGCCATGTTACGTGCAAACGCGCGAGATCAAAACCTGGTAAAGAAGGCGTCTCACTAAGTTTCTAGTTTGACAGGCCAGGAGATACTCATCTACCCTACAAGGAGGGGGAGGCTGGAATCATTTGGCATACAGTATTTCCCCAGTCAATGGCGAACCTAGTCTAATGAGGAATCCCCTATTTCACATTTCACCAATAATATAAACGGTCAAGACGAAAAGTAACCCATAAATCACGGGTAGTGATTGGCTAGAAACCTGCCGAAAGAAAGGGGAAAGGCGGAAAGGAAGAAAAGAGGGGAAAGTAAATACATACCATTTCCCTTATACGTATCCGTCCCAAGGAATGTCATGAACACTCATAAAGGAAAAGGGGAGGCCCGAGGCTACTAGATTCAAAATGTATATGCCAATAGTCCACTTCCCGATTTCATACATACTAAGTTAAAACAATCTCCTATGATATAAAAATTTAAAGGTGATCAGGACGAAAGATCATCTCGCAAATGACGGGTATACACATATACTGGGTGATTGAGTTGGCCATGCCAAAAACCTGCCGAAAGAAAGAAAGAAAGGAAGGAACAAACATTCATTTCCTACGTCCCAGAGCTTACCGAATTCACGAAGGGATTCGGCTGGCATCCTGCTGAAAAAATCAATGGAATAGTAAATCTTTATAGGAGCTAAGGGGAATGCTTAAGTTACTAGGTCAATTGACTGCAAGTCCAACAAACAGAAAGGGTATGTAGTGTAGTCAGCCCTCACTGGCAGGGACAGCTACAATGAAGGGTAAATTTCGTCCTAAAGTCATGGATCCAGTGATTTACCAGACCCAGCACTGTCAGACCTAGGCCAAATATTCACAGCCAAACTTGCATGCCAATGACCAATTTCCCAGTTTCACATAATACCAGATTACAACGCGTGGTAACATCGGGCTAACCCCGTCTTATAAGAATCTACATGTAGTTAATAGGTCTTGTGGTGGTACATGTACTTACGGTATAACTGGAGTTAACACCGGGCCAACCCCTAGCGGCAACCAGGGTAAATGGTACAAGATCATGCTGTCTCTCCCAGGCAGGTTCATACTGTCTCACCCGCACAGAATGACCCGCCATTGATCCAGAAAGCACTATTGATGTGACGGTATTAGTAGATACTGCGCCTCTCCTCCAGTCCTCTTTCCAAGCTCGTGTCGCCGTATTACCACCGTACGACGTCAAGGAAGTGAAATATCGAATATCGCCGGGTATACATCGTACGAGGGGCTTCCCCCGACTTCGAGAAACTCCTGAAACTCGATCATTCGAAATCCTGATCCAATATTCTGTAATAAACCCTATCATATCTTCCAATCTGATCAACCCCACAATTTACCCCAAGACTTCCATCGACCAAAGATGGCGCGCAAGGCTCGTCAACGGATCAGTTATGGTTAGTCTTCTAGTTTAATCTTTTATCTGTGATGGAAACCCCGTCTTCTTTTTACAGTAGCTATGTTTCCGAGTCGCGCTCACTGTTCCTACTAGTTCTACCTCTTGCGAACTCTCCTGGTCACCGTTTAGGCGTCAACAGCCTTGCAGTAGACAAGCAAGGAATCCTGTTAGTTTTCTCTTGCAGAAATCTACCGTAGGCCATCAAGACTGATATACTACAGTTATACAGCTGGCCGCGATGGTGTTATATGCTCTTGGAATATCGGGGTTGACCTCACTGAGCGAACCACCGAGTCGGCCTTCGTCCCGCGTCCCACGCCTCCTCCATCATCCACATTCCGTGCACAAATACAAGCGCATACACACTGGGTTAATGACATCGCGCTGTGTCAGTCTAACACTGCTTTAATATCTGCTTCTTCGGATCTTACAGTGAAGCTCTGGCGACCACATGCTGAGCAACAGTCAGCAGAAACAATTGGTGTGCATAGCGACTATGTAAAATGTTTGGCAACCCCAGGAGTGCACTCGGACTGGGTGGCCAGTGGGGGCTAGACAGAAAAATTAAGTTGTGGGATCTTAATGGTGGCGGCGAAAAGCTACAGATTGATATTGGCGACGAGTTGAATACAAAGGGCTCGGTCTATTCGCTCGGTATTGGGGGTGCTGGAGGTGGAATCCTCGCAAGTGGTGGACCCGAAAGTGTTGTTCGGGTATGGGATCCACGGTCAGGCAAAAGGATCACAAAGTTTCTTGGACATACAGACAATGTTCGTGCTATTCTTGTGAGCGAACAAGGAAACACAATTTTAACAGCATCCTCGGACACGACAATCAAAGTGTGGAGTCTAACGGCAGGAAGATGTCTTCACACACTCAGTATGCATAGTGATAGTGTGTGGTCTCTTTACTCCTCTCATCCAGCTCTCGAGATATTCCACTCAAGCGACCGCTCTGGACTCGTTGCAAAAACCGACGTACGGACAAGCGAGATTGAGGAGGGCATCTGTGTGGCTGTATGCCAGGAGCAAGAGCCTGTCAACAAGGTTGTCGCATCAGGAGACTATCTCTGGACAGCGACCCAAAGCTCCAGTATAAACCGATGGGTGGATGTTGATACAAATAATGAGATTGCAACGGACGCCAAACGCCCGCGATTGACATCATCCGCAAGTGTACGCCCTCGACCCTTAAGTCCTACATCCTCTCCAGTGATACCGAGTTCGCCAACTACCAAAAAGCCAACGATACCAGTTAGTGCCTTACTAAGGATATCAAGCACATCAAGTTTCCCTACGAATGTGAGGGACCCCGATGCCGTCACAGTATACTCTGTTACCCAGGCTGCATCTATTGCTGAGACCATTGATGGCGACCCTGGGATTTTGGTGCCTGTCAATGACCTTCCAGACGAGACAATAGAAGGACAGCATGGATTGATTAATCATTTTCTATTAAATGATAGGAGGAGAGTTCTTACCCTTGATACAGCGGGGGAAGTAATGATGTGGGATCTGTTGAAATGTGTACCTGTAAAGAGTTTTGGGAAACGGCACCTTGACGACGTGGCAGCGGAAATCAACACAGTCGAATCCGTTGCAAACTGGTGTCAAGTAGACACGAGAACTGGCCGCCTATCCTGTGTCCTCGAGGAAAATTATTGTTTTGATGCAGAAATGTATGCCGACGAAGCAGATATCGAGAGCGCAGAGGATTTTAGAGACGACCAAAGAAGTAAGAATATTCCATGTATACCGTCGAAAACTGACGCCGCATACTGACCAACACCTCATAGTAAATCTTGGGAAATGGGTCCTTCGGTACCTTTTTAACAACCTTATTATGGAAGAAATTCGGCGTGATGAAATCTATCGCAAAAAGCTTGAGGCCGAAAAAGCAGAAAGAGAAAAACTACGCCGGGCAAACGCCCCCCCAGCCATCTCGATGCCTCCTCCTACGTTTTCCATGATTGACGCCGCAAGCCCACAGTCTCCTAGTAGCGCCACAACTCCGAAGCCCAGTAATAGCTTTTCGCTGTTTCCCCAAACACCTGGCATGTCAATTGGGCTTGCCACACCCGCGCCTGCCTTTCTTCCTTCCTTTACAGGAGACGCCAATACTCTACCACCAACAGCAGAAGAAGAAGAACCGAAAAATCGCGGCTCATTATCTCCACTATCAAGGCCATCAATGGACCGTGGCGATTATTTCTCATCCGGCAATGGTGCCAAACCGGAGAAAGAAAAGTCTGGACCTTCGTTAGGTGAAGCATGCAGCGATGATACTCCACTTACACCTACTGGCGAAAAGGATATGTCACTCCTCGGACGTTGGAAATCCTTTGGTAATCGAAAATTGGGAAGGAGCATGTCGGCCGATATTACCAATAAGCCACCTGCAACTGTGGAGGAAGCACCGGCCGATCTCGGTGGGCTCTTAGAACATGACCCATTAGACGATACCTTGGCAGGTGTGATCAAAAGATTGAGAATTACATACGATCAGGTTATGCCACCAAGTGATGGGGGGCCGTTCAGGTCGGGGATAAATCCATCCCTACCAAGTGAAACGCCGATTTTGAAGCCGCCCGGAAATACCACAATTCTCGTTCAAGATGACAGCCCGGATTCAGGAGGTGTAGCGGATCTATATCGTGGAACGGTAGCAACAGTTGGTGAAGATGCGGATCTGCTAGAGAGAGTTGCGCCAGCGTGGTTAGGAGAGTTGATATTACGCAACCAAATCCCGCTGAAAGAGATAGTAAAGGTTTCGTTCATATTGGTTCCATATAACGACCGTTTACCGACATTGCAGAGTGACGGTATAGCCGAGGGAAAGAACTCAAGATTGAATGCGAACCGGATGTTAAGGGCCAAGAAGATCGCGGCGTATGTGGCCGAAAGATTGCAGCCTCCGTTTACGCAACTTAGCTATGTGCCCATAACTAAGGAAGGGGAAGAAGGACCAAAACCAGAGGATTTTATAGAGTTGGTTTGTCATGATCATGTATGGTTTTTATTAGTCTCCCGTGCAGATCATCCACAAAACTAATAGCCCCGTGTAGGTTCTGGACCCATCAATGACACTGGCTACAATACGTTCGTACGTGTGGAAGAGTCATGGAGATATCTTATTGCACTACAGATTAAAAGGAAGTGCAACCAAAGAGAAGACCGAGGTCGATTCTGCTGCGACTTCTACCACTGCTGTAGAATCAGTCGATAATAGTGTGGTAGAGAATGGAGGTGCAGGGGCGTAATTATGAAGGACTTTGAATCTTTGGAATATTTAATTTTTTATGGTCGTATTATGTATTATCCCAGAACTTGAACGAATCGTTTCCTATGCCATAGTCTATGACTACATGCAGAGTTTTGTACCTAGAAACAATAAAACTACATGATTTAAAAAAAAAAAAAAAAAAAAAAAAAAAGAACGAATCGTTTTCTATTTTTTTGTGTTGAATATTTTACCAATCATTATAAATTCACCGGTGTATCGTTAAGCCTCGAGAATCCACGATTTGATCTTTCCTTTGAGTGGTTGCCCCCTTCGTCACAGACTATCACTCACATCTTACTGGTAATGAGTGATAACCGGTGTTTACCGGCCGTTTACCGGGGGTCTCTTAGGCAATGTCTCGGCGACGCTCTACTATACATACTCTATGTACCTACATTACATGTAGAGACCTGTCTGAGGTTTCCCTCTCACCACCTGAGGACCACGCCGGTCACCATTCGCGGAATGTGTCGTCAATTCGGTTGAGTGACAGGGATCGTCATTGACCTGCAGGGGACAATCAACCGGGGAAGAGCCAAAGCCAGCTGAACCATGATAGAGCTGAATCGCTTGCTGCGGGGTTTAGATTGATCGAGACTTAAGCTTGTTTCTGCAATACAAGCAAAAATGAAAAAAGAAAAGAAATGAGAAAAGAAAGATGATGAAGATATATAGGATAAGAGAGCCTTTATTCCTATAAATCAATTAACTATCCGCTTATGCTATTGAACCACGGCAAGGTGCTGTAAACCTTAAGGTTCAGAATATTTTGTTGTTTTCCCCTTGCAACTGATCAATGCAAAAGCTGATTTGGCGGGAAAAGGGTCCATGGATGCACATTGGATTGGCTGCTGGCGGGGCAGTAAAACTGGAGGAGGGCAGCCGAGAGGAAGGAGGCAAGGCAGTAGAGTTGTCGGGATCAGCAAGAGCACAGCTCAACATCTGGCTACTGCATCACATTCACAGAAGAGATAAACTGTGGGAAGAGCCCTCCCCCTGCCCTGCCTCCTCCACGAACCCGCATACCTATTTAGGATACCTACATGTAAATAGGAAAAGGTCATGTCAAACAATTCCCTAGATCAAACCGGATGACAGACGAACAGCTTCTTGGTGGATCAGACCAGACCAGACAGACAGAGAACGGTGTCTAATTCTACTTCTCCTGCCTGGCCTGCGTCATCAGAAACCCCCCCCCCCCCCCAAACTCACGTTCTTCCTGCACAATAGTACTCCCACAACAACAACAAACCTGGGGTACACCAACAACTTCCCCGGCCCCCCCCCCCAGGTCCCCCAGTTCTCTCCATTTTGATTTCGAGCTTCATCCCTCAAACCCACGAGCCCCAATGGCTTCACTCTCGTCTCCCCCGCCGCACCTCTCTCACTGCACGCCCTACTGCACCTCCGATCCCGTCCTCGGCCACGTCCTTGTCTTTTACAACCCCTTCTCATTAACCTCCTCCGCTGCGACCTCCAGGATCGAAGCTCACATCCTCACTTGCGCTGGTCTCCAGTCATACCCGAAACTAATCCTCTCTCCGTCCTCCCCCCTCTATGCGGCTGTCAACCACCTCCCACTACCAAAACAATCAGTCGAAGTATACCGTGGCCTCGCAATCGCAGTCCTTAAATACTTTTCAGAGCTTCCCAAAGCGATCAAAGAGAAGATACTTCGCTCAAAATCAAACCTACCGCAAAATGGCGAGGGCCAGGCTGTCGCGTTTGACGAGATGCACGCTGGAGATCTCGCAGCGCGGCTCAAAGAGGTGGAGATGGATGGATTAGTGGGGGATATTATGCCGGCCCTGAGCGAGCGCTTTGTCAGCTGGCTGGATGTAGATCTAGTCATCAGATCTCCGAATGGGGAGGAAGTAACGGAAGAGGCTATGAGCGATGGGGTTGAGGAGCTTCTCAGTCATTTCGGAGACCCGACTCATTTACCCTTTACTAAACTAAAGCGTGCTGCAAGCAGGCCTGCATCCGCAAGACCCCAATTGAAGATCAATGCTGCAGCTTTAGAACGTGAACTGGAGGAGCTACGATATACAGAAGCTAACTATGTCGCAAAGCTACGGGATCTAATCGAGAATCTCGTGATACCTTTGCGCGCACGTTTTACACAGAAGAAAGCTGAATCCGGATTTCCAAGTGCAAGAGATTTAGACACATTGTTTCCCCCATGCCTCGACAAAATCCTAGAGGTTAATACAAGATTTTTGGCCGAGATAGAGTTGGGGGGAATTGAAGAAGTAGCGAAAGTTTGCTTAAAACATTTTCCCGAATTTAAGGACTGTTATGCGGAATATCTACGAGCGTCTCCAGAGTTCGCACAATTGCTTGGAAAGTTTTCAAAAGACAAGCATTCATCATTCTCGAAAAGGGTTCAACAAACTGGCGAACAGAAGCTTCGATCACTCATTATTGAGCCTGTTCAAAGACTGCCTCGATACGCACTCCTCATAGACAATATGCTTAACTCCATTCCACTTGACCATCCATCTTTGATCATACTAATGGAAGCTCGGGAAATAATTACTGAGATTTGCTCACTGCAATCATCTGATATCGATGAGCGTTCCCAAACAACAAAGCGTCTGCAATCAATAATAGTTTCTTGGCCTTCCACGCTGAAGCCTTCCGGACGCCTTATAACTGGGATTGATTTCCTTGACGTCCTGCCGCCCTTTAATGACCAGAATGCAGACGCAATTCCTTCCACCATGCTTCTTTTTGCAGACCGCCTGGTTATTTTACGTCGGCCGAAACCGAATTCTATGCAGGCTCGTGCAATTATGGCAGAAGTTGATAGGCCTGGTGGAGCTATGGCTGCGATCGGAAGTGGGACCAAACGAGAAGGGTCAGGCTGTGATCTTCAATTCGCAGGCTGGATGGACCTTTCTGATGTCAGGATTGCAGAAAGTGACGGCGGAGATATTGTTTGGATGACCTTGGCAAAGGATTTAAATGACAGTTGGGATGTGCGTGCAGGAGGCATGGGACTACGGCGAATGAGGCTTCTAAATGCATACGAGGGGCGTGCTACTAAATTTGCGGAAGATCTCGTGAAGGCCAAACTGGAGCGTAGAGTCTCTACTAACGGGAAAGGCGTGATAGGCCTTCGAGAGATCAAATCCGAAGGTCTAGGATTTTGGTCCTGCGTTTGGGGAAGTGAAACCCGATACACTGCTGAGAAGAGGAAAGGGGGGGTAGTTGTCTACATTGATGACGGTGGGGGAGGTGGAGGAAGCGGGAAATGGGGAAAGGAGCTCACTGAAAGGATAGGGAAACAGGGTGTTGATATTGTAGTATCCGTGGAGGAAATCGCGGGGAATAAAGTGCGAGTTGAGTTCAGGAGTTGGAACGATTATTCTTCAACTGACACAGTACCCCGGAGGAGTTATTGGCGGTTTTTACAAAGAGGGTGTCATCGCTACTCAGACTTCACTCACTCCCACAACATCCCCCGTTGACATCGGCGCTGATGTCCGCGAACCGGAAGCTGTTGAGAGCTTCGGGTGTTCCATTTGATGGTGAGAGTAGGTTCAGCAGGCTTAGGCCGCCGAGCCCGGTGAAGCTATTCAGTTCATTCCTGGGAAGTAACAACAATAACAACAATAATGCTGCTAGTGGTGTCCCGGGTTCCCCTAATAAGCGACCTGTTCTTCTGGACCGGACCCAATCTCAAATGCTTCCCCCGAAAGTGGAACGTACCCCGAGTACCATTCAGAAACGGCAAACCGTCATGGGGGTTGAAAACTGGAGTCTTGAAGACATCAACGACTATGAGGAAAGAACGGATGTGAGCATCACAATGGCGAACGAAAGCCCATTAAAGCGGTTAGAGGAGACATTTGAGGCCTTCATTGTTGCACTTCGGATGTTCTCTTCTGCTGATGCCGACCTTGACCCACTCCGTGAAATGTACGGAGTTGACAATATTGCAGTAGAGGAATTTCTCGAGGACATGGTTCACAATCCCAAGGGTGTGAAAATAGAGATAGATCTTGGTGTCGACGTCGTATTTGAAGCATTCCGTCGCTTTCTCCGCGGAGAATGGAAAGATGGAATGGGGCCTGTCATTGCAGAAAAGGCCCTGGCTGAGCTACAGAGTAAAAGCGAAGAGCTATATCCCGGGGATTTCGAAGACTTTTTCAAGATATTTGTGCTAGACTGGACCCCGCAGAACAAAAGGGCTTTTCGAACCATAGTCATATTACTTAGAGCTATGCAGGGTCGAGTTCAAGATGCTGATGATAAAGGACTGCTCACAAAGGCATTTACTGAGTTATTGGTCTTTGAGGACTCGGATCCATTCGATTTCATGCCGCTCGTGGATAGATTGGTCGAGGAAGCAGATAGCCTTTTTAACGGTAACCATGATTCTTTCTGTTACCTAGGGGGACCAACTGATGGGAGCACCGCGTCAGATACGATGAATAGCAATCAAGGTGAAGTGGTTAATGGAAATGGAGCGTTCGTCAAACGGCACAAATCGGTCACCAGTGTTACTTATTCAACTACGTCGCTGCGGAAGAGACTTGGGCTGAGCCATAACCCAACGAGAGATCCGTACAGTGCTGATGGTAAGAGCAGTGTATGGAGGACGCTCAGTAAGAGTAGCAGGCTAGGACAGGATACACATAAGGGTCACTTAGCAAGGAGTAAATCGACAGATTATGATGCTAGACCTTATGTCCAACCAGCGGGCAGGCCATCTTCACGAGACAGTCCAAATCTCTTGAATGCTTTCAGCAATCCTATGTCGCCGGCGCTGCCGCCTCTACGGCCCCTTTCATCAGTCATTCCTCCCCCACATCCGTCTCCGGAAAAACCACTCCCCGTAGAACCTCCCAATCTGGGAGTACCTAGCACTCCCAGCGGTGCTCCTCGAAGGAAGCGTAGAAGCTCCTTGAGTGACCTCACCAATCACCCTGACTATCAACCAATTCTACCACCAATGAGCTCAACTCCCGATCACCCTGATCCCCTCCACTTGCCTGATCCCGAACCTCTTCGATTCCCTGACCCTGAGCCTCTTCGATTCCCTGATCCCGAACCTCTCCGCTTCAGTCGAAACACACCTGATCATCCAGACCCTCTGCGTTTTCACAGATACAACACACCAGACCATCCAGATCCTCTCCGTCTCAACAGACACACAGGTACACCTGATCACCCAGATCCACTTCGTCTCAGCAGACATACAGGCACCCCAGATCATCCTGATCCCCTCCGAGTCAGCAGGCAAACTCCAGACCACCCAGATCCTCTACGCATCAATCGCCATACGCCCGATCATCCAGACCCTCTTCGCCCTAATAGGCATACCCCAGACCATCCAGATCCCCTCCGTGTCAATAGACATACGCCTGATCATCCGGATCCTCTCCGCATCAACAGGCATACACCTGATCACCCAGACCCCCTTCGCCTCACCCCTAGAACACCAGATCACCCCGATCCTCTTCGTCTGACCCGCAGTAACGGGCTCCGCAATCGTAGTCGTACTACGGTGAGCCCCCCGCAGAGGGCAAATACACCACCACATACACCTTCAACCCCAGGCCGCTCTAACTCCCGCCTCAGTGACCGGAGCAACGAGATTTCAACTCGCCGTGGAACCACCGGGAATACTGGGGCCGCCTCAAGCCCTGGCCCCCAGCGTCTCAAAATGCAGAGCACACAAAAGCTCCGAGAACGGCTATTGTCAGAAAAGCAGGCCATCACTCGAGTTGAGAGCGGGCTACAGCGCGAAATCGACAAAATTGGCGAGGAGCTGAGCATGGCCTCTCGTCTTTCCGGCCGTGGTACTGCTCACTCGGCTGCTATCAAAGAGCTCACATCGCGAATCTCTCAGCTCGAGTCTCGAATTCCAGAGATAAATGACTTGACCAATAATCTAGAGACCGTGACGAATAAGTTAGAGATCGAAAGAAATAAATTCGAAATTACTCTTGAAAAGAAGAACAAGGAATTAGAGGGGCTTGTGGAGGTGTGGAATGATTGCTTAAATGAGAACGATGTCATGTTTGAGACTTTCAATAAGGAGTTGGTGAAAATGAGCGCAGCCCTGAAACAAGGGCGAGGGAGGCAGAGATCCTGAAGCTTCTACAGGAAGTGCGGGTGGAGCAGGGGAAGTTGAAGAGAGAGAATATGTACGTTTTGTTCCTATCCAGATGATGGTAGTGAAGAGACACTAATAATGAGTTTAGGAGATTGAGGAAAGAAAATAGTGGACTCAAGGCACTAGTGGAGGTAACGGAAGTGAAAGAGAGGTCTTTGGGGAGTCCGATGCACGGCAAGTGACCAAAGCACTCATTTTTAGAGGTGGTAGAGGGGTTTATTTTCTTAAATATTTTTCTGGACCTTTCACATATTGTACTGGCGTATTACCGATAAGTGGGGAGCGAGCGGACTGATGAGCAGGCTGTATTTCTCTCTCTCTTTGATGTCTTTTCCTTCTTCCTGTAAAAGCTATGGGCGGTTTAAGGGTTTTATTTTTGTTGGCGTATCTTTTTCTTCTCTATATGTAAGATTAACATGGCGGGCTGGGGAGATTGAGTACGATTTCTTTGCGAAGGAAGGCCGATGGAAGCTCTTCCCAGGTTGTTGGGCTAGCATAGTCTGCCAGTGAATGCAGATTGCCGCGGGGGGGGGGGGGGGGGGAATATATGAATTGCGTAGCCTGTTACGCTTTTTCTATATCTCCATTGACAGCTGAGTTCCGGAAATTAGCATCATGCAACTCTTTACTGGATACATGTTTTGCGAGGCTCTCTTACACTCTTAATATGTAGGCCCATGTTTGGCTTGGCTTTCCTTTAAATATCTCCTGCTTGTCGTTTCCCTCACTCAGCTCCACCACTTGCACGGAGTACAGGGTTGCGGCAGGTAAACCAAAGTACTGGATATATCCAAGATGGTCCCTTTTTCAATGCTTAACGCCTAATATTCCCTCAGCACTTGAAGTAAAGCCTCTCTGGCTTGTTTAAATCCTAGCCCTTTCCGGGCGTGGCATGATGCTTGATTTCCCCCTCGGAAGGTACCGGTAGTCTAAATTCGGGGATTGAATGCCTATGTACTTTAGATTGCCTATATGTCTGGGTACATAGAACTGTCTAAAGTGTAGCTGTAGTAACAATTTGCGTAGCTCGGGGTAACAGCATAATCTTTCCGGTTGACTTAGGTATTAAATACCACACGGACTTTCTCAGTGGGCGTACGTACCAATATTCTTCTAGAAATTTGATAATCTGTTGGGAATTTAAAACGAAAGGAAGCCGGATTGGCCGAGGTGAAATGGAGATTTTGTGAGTACATCTAGTTACACGGTACACCGTATCCCGTATGTGTAGGCACACAGAGCACAAGAGAGTGATTGCCTATGAGCGGGAATTCGAGATCCCGGCCCACGGATCACACGAGTAGGCACGAGGGGTTTTTGATTTCGGCCATGCTCCTCCTGGCTTGACCCAATTAAGCTTAACTGGGCCATCGGAAGCGAGAGGTGTTTCTGGTGGGTTAAGTAACCCGCCTCTAGCCTGCAGGAACAGCGAACTTACTACGGCACCGAAGTCGCCGCCCGTCGCCAAACCTTCTTTCTTTCCTTCCTCAAGCCTGGGTCCTTTTTACATACATAAGCAAGCAAGTTTCTCTCCCCGTGCTTGCAGATACAGCCTACATACCGCCACCAATCTACGTCAATCTCCTTTGGCTTTGTTAAATATCCCCCGCTTTCCTTACTCCTGACCATTACCTTGCAGTATTTGATCTCTTTCTCGTACGATAAACAATACAGCTTCAGTAAGAATTCTAATAAAAATCTTTCTCAACAACAATCAATATGTTTTCTTGGGTTAAAAGCACTGCACAAGCATCGTAAGTTCCTATCTGTGTCAGCTTTCTTATTCTGTCTGCACTTTCAAGCAGCTAATTCTCTTCCCCAAATCAGCATTTCTGCAGCTCTCGGTACCGCTGAGCCAATCTATGGTCCATCTGCCATCCAATCTGTTGCTCTTCAAGAATCAGAAAACCCCACCTACGAGATCACTCGAGATGATCTGAGATGGCATGGTCTCGACACAACAAGCGCCGAGACCCAGACTTTCTACCTGGAAGCTGAGAGCGGGCACATGGGGCTTGTACAGATCATTTACTCTAACGTTGCGTGAGTATACATCCACATCACACTCCGTTTCGGCCACTTGCTGATGACCAATAGAAACCTCCATGTAACTGCTCAGGTGTCCACCAAAATCTTCCATCCAGATGGGCGTATAACTTGGTCCAGCAAGCCTCTCATAAGCACCGACTACTTTGATGACACAAAGCACTCCTTTTATGCTGACAACATTGCTTGCATACTGAGCGAAGACGGAAAGTCTTACACCATCAAAAGCGCCGTCGACCCGACCATTTTCATCGATCTCGTGGTAACTCAAACTACACCTGGGTTCAAAATTGGAAAGGATGGGCGCACAAATTTCGGAACAGACCCAGAAAATCCGTGGGGAGCCATTAGACATGTGTTCTGGCCCCGAAACACGTTAGAAGGGTTTATCAAGGTCGGAGATGAGAAGATTAATTTCAAAGGGAAAGCAATGCATGTTATGGCGTTGCAAGGGATGAAGCCACATCACGCTGGTATGCCCCCAAACCCCCTCGCAAGCCTTGTACGCTGTGCTCCCGGAAAGGGCTGACAAGATTGGTACAGCTGCCAAGTGGAACTTTGTCAACTTCCAGGGTCCCACTTATTCAGCTATCATGATGGAGTTTATCACCCCCGCTTCTTACGGCACAACAACCGTAAACATCACTGGTCTCTCTAAGGATGGTGAGCTTGTGGCTGCCGGAACAAAGGGTGAATGTGAACACGTAGCTTCGCAACTAGATGACGTAGAATTGCCCGAACCTACAGCTGTAAAGTTTGTATGGAACGCCACAACAAAGGATGGGAAGGCAGTTGAGGCTGTACTTGAGGAAGAGTTGGGGGAGAAGATTGATCGTGTGGATATTATGGCGGAGGTACCAGCTATAATCAAGAAAATCGCTGGAAACGTAGCAGGAACAAAGCCATACATGTACCAGGTATGTCAAGTTCTCCGGGAAGAAAAACGCCGAAATCGAAGCTAACGGTTGTCCAACTGTAGTATCATAAGAAAACGACCATAAAAATCAAGATTGGCGATGAGGTAATCGAAGAGGAAGGAAAGCTCTTCTACGAAGCAACCTTCATCTCCGAACTGTAGCTTAAAAACTATGATATTTTGGGGGAGAGGTTCTGGCGCGGCACACTTGGATCTTTTTTCCAATATAATGATTATGCCTTGACGTTTTAAATTTTTCTATCTGTTTTATCTTTGGCTGCCATATGTTTGTTTCTGCAAGTATTAGGGAAGATAATAGTCAAGGGTTAGGCGAGGAAATGGGGTTCTTTTTTATTACTATACTTACTCTACTCATGTCATTTTGGCGCACCTAATACAAGTTAATGCCATCATCAAGAGAGGTGAAGGCGAATGTACAGCGCCATGCCATAAGTCATGGGAAGGCGCGAGGTCGCAACGCCTGAACACAAAATCTTTCACCACCACCGATGGCGCCCAGAGACCATGTACCCCGCCAGACAGCTAGGAGGGAATGACCAGCCTCCCTGCTGTGGCAAAAAACCGGAGTCTTACAACTCTGGTTGGAGGAGAATAGGGTAGATGTTCTGGAGGACTGGCTTGCCTATTCTATCTCATTGAATATGTTTGGGTACACCTCAAGAAGCTTTACTATCAATAGTACCTATTTGGCATATGGTACTAGATCACCTTAAGTATTAAAGCCCCTTGTGGAGGAAGGTCTAATTCATTGCTGGGAACTGTTACCTGATGATTTATTTGGTAGCTAGTTGAGAGCATGCCTAGGAGAATAGAGCTGTTATAAAAGCAAGGGGTTGGTACACAAGATATTAAATGTCAAATTATTTTTATTTAGCTACTATTTAACAACTATACAAAAAACCAGTTCTCCAAAGGATCAATTGTGGTTGCTGGGTGGGTAGTCGTGGTGGCCCGGGAGGTTGCTACGCCGCGCCTTCCCATGATTTATGGCCTAGAACTATACCAACATTCTTTGGGCGGCTACGCTTAGAAACGCGCGTTGGTGGCACTGCACCAGCTTATAACGCGTTTCCTCAGGCAACCACCATCCCACTACATGGTAAATACCTAGCGACCCTCTTCGCCAACCATCATCAATCACCCACAATCACCAATAACACAAACAACAACAACGACTACTAACCATGCCACCCACTCCCCGCCGGCCCAATGCAGCGGCCTCCAGCAGCACGGCGGCTGCACGAAGCACTCTCGGCCAAGGACTTGGAAAAGGCAGAGTCGGCGGAGTCGGCGGAAAGGGCCTAGGAAAGGCGCTCGCAAAGAGGCACAGGAAGGTCATGAAGGACACTATCAGGGGAATCAGTATGGTCCTCCGTCTCCATGCTTGTTAATAGGGGCGGGAATGTTGGGAAGCAATAACTGCTGCAAGGGAATCATTGGTTGTGGTGAGACAGAGAACTAATAGTTTGAGTAGCCAAGCCCGATATCCGGTATGTTTAACTATTACGGACTGCCCTCCTATCTTGAGAGGGGGGGAGAGATGGAGGTTTGGATAATGCGGGTTTGCTTGGTTGATTGCTGACGGGGGGAAATAGTCGTCTGGCCAGACGTGGAGGAGTAAAGCGTATTTCCGCCCAGATCTACGAGGAGGCAAGGCACGCTCTGGTAACCCGCCTCAAGGCCGTATGTATCCCCCCTTCCTTGCAGTGGTTTGACTTCATGGGGGTGGGGGGGGAAGTGTGGCAGTGTGTTTGCGCTGGATGAGCATTGGAAATTTTCCCGTTTCATTGGCCAAGGCGCATCGCTGCATAAATATTCACCATGTGCACTTTCTTGGGGGGGGAGGGTGTGTGTGGTTTAATTTTCAGGGCATTAGTTGACAAGTGCATTTTTTAGGTTCTGCATGACTGCGTGATCTATCTTGAACACTCTTCGCGCAAGACCGTCACAGTTACAGATGTATGTAAACTATTTTCCATTCTTCTCCCTTGACATGAATTTGGAATAGTTTTTGACTAATACTATTCTTTAGGTCATTTTTGCTCTTAAGCGGGTATGTTTGCTCATACCTGTAGTTTTTATAGTTTTCCCCCGTTCACTAACTATGTTTTATCTATAAACAGATCGGAACTCCCATCTACGGTTTGTCGCTCCTTGTTTATATTTATTTTATCTTAATTACAAACCCTAACCCTGGTGCGTATTTAGGCTTCGACGCGGATACCTACAAGCCCAAGGGCAGGAAGTAAATTCTCGATAAGATTGAATTTTACCAAGCCCTGTGTTCCCTTCGCTCTTTCTACTCTTCTTGGCCTTATGAATCAAAGTGCGAAAGGCAAAGTCTGAAAAATCTCCCTTCTATATTTACGCATTTTTGACACCTATTTTCCTTGTGCATACCAAAAACTATTCCTTCTTTCTTATGGGCATGATATCCTTTGGCATCATTGGTTTTTTTTTTTTTTTTTTTTTATCTCTTCTTTTATGAAACGCAGCGCTTAGCAATAACTCTACATTATTTCCCCATACCCACCGCCCCCCAAATGCTTACCCCCATCTCTATTTTTTATTGTTAGTTTTTTTTTTTTTTTTGGCCCCTCATCCTTGTATACGATTCTCGCCAGAGCAGGCTTATGGTTTAACGTTCTTCCCCCTCTGTATTTTTTTGTATCATGGTCAACCAATACCAGTGTAATAGCATTGATATCGATATCGGTTTTTTTGTAAGGCATACTATGATTATGGGCGCCGGAATTCTACGCTGCATTGAGATTTTTTTTTCAGAGCCTTTGTATTGATTGTGCTTACTCTACTCGGATCCAATCCAATTTTTTTTTATAATGTGGGTTTGTTGAGGCCCATACCTTGGCCAGAAATTGATTTTTTTCCTTGTTTTGCGTGTTACACAAATGCTAGTGAGGATCCGGATGATCTTGAGGATCTAGCGGCCAGTCATGCAGTCTCGGGCCGTTCTGTAGCGGCTGGATGGATCCTCGCGATCCGAGATAGCCGAGCGGTTGCGCTGGATGGCGTCATACTGGCACATGTGTGCTGTGTGGTGGCAAAGCAGGGCGCGCGCGCCGAGTGATAAATTGTGAAGGAATATATCTTTCGGGTGCTGGAATCTACCGGTGGGCACATATATCCCTATGGGCATTTGGGATGGGCTAGAAGATGTCACGCCTGCCCGCGGGAAGAGTTATGTCGGCTTCCTGACCTGTGGGAGGCGTGCTGGACGGTTTGTTAACCGGCCTAGTTAACCCCCCATATCGGGAGTCTCTTGAGTTGAGGAATGATATGTCCTCCCCCCATCCCTAGTTTAGGTTTCCGGTAAACTATCGATAGTTCCCCCCCCTTTGGTCCCTGTTACTGTATGTATCTCGCTTTGTATTCTGCTTGGTAAGTTTGGTTAAGTTTTTTTTTTTTTTTTTTTGGGGGGGGGGGGGCTTCTATGCCAGCTGCCGTGATAGCTACTGCGATTCACCGGCCCACGATATGGCTAGCTGCCTACTACTCTCTGTGGATGTAAGCTTCCGACTAGGTTGATATGGTTCGTCCCTTCCAGAATCCTATCCTCGCGCGGCGTAGTCGTTACCAAATCATCTCGGTATCGCTGATGTATTCCGGGGCAGTTAATCAATCCGCCACGACGCAGTTAGCTCCCAAGCCGGGCGAGTGATGGTCGGTGACTAAGAAGTACTCATTTGTGGAGTGATAATAAGTTCCCCTCTTAATTGGCGCCAAGTCTTGAACCAGACGATTTGAATTTCGATATCTGAGATATATACTAGTATTCACCCGGAGCTCTAGAGTAGGTCTGAAGGTGGTGTCTGTAGAATATCACTCTTCCTCCATTCAAACCAGTAGATCACTGCACCCCCCGTTACCAAGGCAACGCGGGCACCACCGCCAGCTCACCCCGGTCCCCAACACCACCAAACCAACCAAACAAGGAAACCCAAGCTCACCCACCACACACTCACCACATCAAACACACAGCATGTCCACCACCACCGCCAGCAGCAGCAGCACGCCGACCCCCCTCCTCACCCACCTCCTCACCCACGAGTCCTTCCGCGCCGCCCGCCTGCCCTCCCTCTACTCCGACTTCCGCCACCTACGCACCAACAACCCCTCCGGCTTCACGGCCAACACCACCGCCTGGGCCTCTGCGCTGGCCGGCGCCGCGCGCGCCGGCGTCCTCCCCGACACGCTTGTGGTGCGCACGGGCGAGGAGCTCGTGGCCGCGCTGGCGACCCGCGAATGGGGCCGCCCGCTGGGGTTGGGGAGTGTGGTGGCCGAGGCAGTCCAGAAGAGGGAGTGGTTCCCGTTGAAGGTGTTTATGGCGCAGGTGGAGAGCGTGTATTACCGTGCGTGGATCAATCCGTGGGGGCTGCTGAGCTGGGGGTTGGAGACGGCGGGGCTGAAGGGGAGGGGGGAGGGGGAGGTGAGGGCGGGGGAGTTTGTGGTGTTGAAGAATGTTGAGGTGAGTCTCGTGGTGGTGGTGATGGTTATATGAATGGAGATTAGCTATCTGCAGCGCAATTGAGAGGGAGGAGGAGGAGGGGTGATATCGATACTGACAAAAACCACACAGGAATCCGCACAGAAACTCCTCACGCAGATCAGCCTCCTCCCCAACGGCACCCACCGCCTCTTCACGCTCCCCCTCCTCCTCAAAACCTACCCCAACCCGCTCACAAACACCCCCTACACCGCCCGCGACCTCAAAGTCCTCCTAAAGTTCCTCACGCGCGACCTCCGCGCCGCCACCCTCTCGGGCGAAACCATAAAGTTCAAAAACGAGAACGAGGACCCCACGCCCGTCACCCCCACCGACACCACCATCGCCGAGCTCAAGGCCACAATCGCAAACCTGCACGCGCAGATCGACCACCTCAGCGCCCAGATCGGCGCGTGCACGGATAAGGCGCGTGCCGCGCTGCAGAACAAGAACCGCATTGTGGCCGTGGCCGCGCTGAAGAGCAAGAAGCTGGCGGAGGCGACGCTGGAGCGGCGGGTGGGCGCGCTGGGGCAGCTGGAGGAGGTGCTGGGGAGGATTGAGCAGGCGACGGGCAACGCGGAGCTGGTGGCGCAGCTGAAGCGGAGCACGAAGGTGCTGCGGGCGCTGAACCGGGAGACGGGGGGTGTGGAGGCGGTGGATGCGGTGGTGGGCGAGATGAGGGAGCAGATTGATGGGGTGGAGGAGGTGACGAGGGTGTTGGGTGAGGTGGGGCTGGAGGATGGCGAGGTGGAGGAGGAGATGGAGGAGCTGTTGGAGGAGGAGGAGAGGAGGAAGGAGGTGGAGAAGGAGGAGAGGGAGAAGGAGAGAAGGAGGAAGGTGATGGAGGAGTTGGGCAGGTTGAGGTTGAAAGGGGAGGAGGAGGAGCAGCTGCTGCGGGAGGAGGAGGATCAAGGTACTGTGGGCACGATAGGGAGGGAGGAAGTCGATGAAAAGATCAAGGCTCCGCTTCCAGCATCGTAGGTTCTTTTTGCCAATTGGTGGTTATCACTAACCAAATAACGGAAAAAACGATCATTGACTCCTTCCCGTGTGTGCCTGCGTTTTCCTTTCTTTTTTTTTTTTCGCTTTCTTCCCTTTCTTCTCCTTCTATCAATGTAATATATATACAGTTATTCTTTCTTTGGAAATTAAAGTACTTCCCAATAGACCGCAAGTAAAAGAAAAAAGTCCTTATTTATCATGAGAGGAAAAAAAAAGAAAAAAAGAAAAAAAATGCCAATTAAAAACAGAAAAGGAAAAAGAAATAAGGAAAAAAAAAGAGATATAAAACATCAATAGAGGTACTTATTGTACCGCTTCAGTCACTGCTGGGGTATTGCTAGTGCTACTACTACTGCCGGTGCTATCTATCTCCTGGTATTTCCTCTTGCCATTAATCTGCGGATCCACACCCATAACGTCCTGACCTCCCATCACATTGCCAAACACCTCCGGCACCTCCCCCCTCCCCACCGTCACCATCGTCAACACCCCATTTTCACCCACCGGCCCATTCACACCACCCCCACCACCTTCTCTATTCCCCCCATTTTCACCCTCCCCATTCCCCTCCCCCTCACCCTCACCATCCACCTTCCCCGGCCCCCTCCTCATCCGTGCCTCCTCCACCAGCCGCCTATACTGCGACCTATGCTCCTCCCCCCACCGCTCATCGCTCCACCGCGCCTTCACAATCTGGTTACTCGGGCGCGCATTCGCGCGCTCCCAGGCCGCCAGGTCCGCCAGCAGCTCCGTCTTGCTGCGCGGCCGCTTCGCGTCAATGTTGGCGTTCCAGATGGTCACCCACTCGCTGTGGCGCTCCTGCAGCGCCTTGCGCCCGCCTGTCGAGGGGATGCCGAGGGCGCTGAGCTTGGTGCGGAGGTCTTTTTCTTTGATGAGGGAGTAGGTTATCTTTGGGATGGGGGCGGGGCGGTGGGTGGTGGTGGTGGTGGTGGAGGAGGTGGTGGGGAGGGTGCTAGGGGCGGGGGTGCGGAGGGCGCTGGGGGCGGGGGTGTGCGGGGTGGTGAGGCAGATGTCGAGGTGCGGGTTGACGGATTCGAGCTTGAGGCGCTTGTTGCATAATGGGCAGGGGACGAGGCCGTCGTCTGGTTCGCCTGGAAGTCAGTATAGTGCTACTTACTCATGCATGCTGTGACAGGAGGCACAAACCCGGTGACGGGATCTCCACAACCTCCTCCTCCTCCGCCCCCTCCTCCTCCGCCTCCTTCCCCTCCTCCCATTCCTCCTCCTCCTCCTTCTCCGCCCTCACCACACACCGCCTCCTCTTCCTCCTCCCCCCCTCCTCCCCGCCATCCTCCCCCCTCACACCCCCACCCCCCATAGCCAGCGCCAACACGCCCGCCCTTGCCGCCACAAACGCATCCACCAGGTCAGCGACAACCTGGTTCTTGCGCAGCCGGTACTCCTGCTCGGGCGCGCGGCACAGCGGGCACACGCGGTCCGACTGCAGCGCGCGCCGGATGCACTCGGAGCAGAAGGTGTGCTGGCAGTTTGTGAGCACGGGCGCCGTGAAGAAGTCTTTGCAGACCTGGCAGCGCAGCGCCGCGTCCAGCGGGTGTAGGAGTGGGAGGGCGGTGGCGTCCCAGTCGGTTGGGTCTGGGATGGGCGGGAGGGCCAGTGTGGGCAGGGGGAGGCGGGCGTCCATGCTGGTGTGTGGTGTTGTGGTGGTGGGTGTTGAAGAGTTTTTGTGGTTTGTATGGGGTGGATGGTGTGCTGGGAGTGAGTGAGTGCGGATCAGTTCGAGTTTGCTGTGCTGTGCTGTGCTGTGCTGGGGCGACGCGACGGACGGGCGCGACGTGTTGAGGCAGAAGAGCGCTGGGCGGGCAGGGGTGTTTGGTAAGCCGATATCTATTGGAGGGCGGGCGATCTCTCGAACAACTCTACCAGTGACGCCTCTCAAAGAAAAAGAGAGAGAGAGAGTTTGGATATATTCAGTGACTCAATACCTCGTGGGGTTTCATTGTGCTTCTAGAGCAGATCAGAGCACTGCATGTAGGGTCCAATTCTGTCTGTCTGCATCCGGACGCATATATGCAGAAGAAGCCCAAGAAGCCCCAAGACCGTCATCGAAAGTGCTCCGTCTATGTAGCTTAGCTACCTATATAACTACACAAAGAAAAAGAAAAAGAGAAAAAGAGAAAAGAAAGAAAGAAAAAAATGCATTTGTACACCGGACATCCGGCAGTTGAAGAAACAACAGATGAAAAACCCGTACCAGTACCAACCCTATTAATAAAAAAAGAACACAAGTAAAAAAGATTCCAACAAAGAAAGCGCCTCCACACCTCTCCTCTCCTCGATCGGGCCGAGAGAAGAACTCCCCCTCCCTCCTTCACTGATAGTCCGGCAGCTCGTTGTCCCAGCCATAATAGGCCCGCATCTCGCGAAAGTACTGGCCGTACCACTACATATCCATAGATGTAAGTAATTGATTCCGGGGGTTACATAGAGGGCCGGGGCGGGGAAACAAACCTCAAGAACCTCCCACTCCGCGCAGTCCTCGTGGCAGTGCTCGTCCGGATTCGACCGCGGCTTCTTGACCGTGAAGTGGATCAGGACCGCCTCATCCCACAGCATATCCCACGCCTCGCGGTGGTATTGATACTACCGCAATATGCCAATGTTAGACCTACCACTTCCTATACACAAAAGCTTCAACCCAGGGGAGGGGGGGGGGGGGGGAACACACCATAATGAGATTGAAGTTATATTTATACGGCAGCCCAAAGAACCTAAACCGATAATACGCATTCAAAAACGCCTGGTCCGCATCATTCGGCTGATGATACGCCGGATCCGACACCTTGCCAATCATATCACTGAACGTCTCCACGCCGGGCCTAAACACCACGACCCCCGAATTAAACCTGCTATCCGTAATCACATCCCACCACACATCGGGGGCCGCCGCAAACTCGCCGGGCATCTCCCACAGCTCCGCCAGGCTGCCCTTGCACACGACGTCGGCGTCGATGAAGAGGATCTTCTCGTACTCGGTCCACGTCCACAGGTGCAGCTTGTTGAGGTTGTGCCGGTGGTGCGCGCGGATGGCGCTGTTGTCGACGCCGGGGAAGGTGAGCTCCTCGGCGACGCGGAGCGTCCAGCCGGCCGCCTCGAGGCGTGTCCGGTTCTCGGCGGTGACGCCGTCGACGGCGTCTTCGCGGATGAGGAGGACGAGCTCGGCGTCCATCGCCGCCAGGTCGTTGTGTTTTTGGATGGAGTAGCCGAGGAGGAGCGCCATTGCGGTGAAGGAGGCGGTTTGTACGCTGGAGGTGATGGCGTAGCGGGGCTTGCGGGCGAGGAGGGATTGGTCGGTGGGGGTGAAGGAGGTGGTGCGGAGGGTGGGTGGGGGTGCGGCGGCGGCGGGGGGGTTGTGGTGCGGGTAGAAGGAGTCGAGGGGGTGGGGGGATTTGCTGCCCGGGCCTGGAGGGGGATTGTTAGCTTTGGGGCATGAGCTGAGGTGGGAGGAGGAGGTGGGACATACCGAAGAAGAAGCCGTAGAGGCCGAGACACAGCGCTGCCAGGAGCACTGTGGGTAGTATTATTCGCGGACGAGCCATGTTGGGCACAAAGTGTATAATAAGATGTGAAGAAAGGGAAATAAAGCCAGCCCCAGGTAGAGGTGTAGTGGAGGGGGAGGGGGGGCGCACGACCGGGGATTTATAGGGGAGAGACACTTCTCTCCTCCCCGACTCCGAGTCCCACCCCCTCCCCTGTAACAGACCCCGGCAATTGCACCCTTCTGGACGGAGGTTAAAGCAACAGCCATGATCCAAGTAGCTCTAGTTAGTTGAAGGCCGGGGACCGCATAGTAATCATTTCCCTCTGTCTCTCGGCACCCGCTGGTCAAAGTATTTCCTCCAATGCCCCCTGGCAAACCTCTAACCCCTTTGGTGACAGCAGCAGCCCACCCCCGCTCTCCAAGCCTTTCCCGCTTGGACGCATCTTGGCGGCCGCGTAAGCGTGGCCGACATAATCACCAAAGGTCACTCGGCTGCTTTCTGCGGCTGGGCGGGTGGGTGAGTGTTTGTGTTTATGAGATATGGCAGCGTTGACTGAATGCGTGAGGGTGCGCGAGGGTGCGGGATGGTGCGTGAAATAAGCTTTCTGTAAAGTGCCAAGCTGGCGTTCTGTTTCAGAATGCCAATTGCGTCGACAACGTCCTCGAGCACACTCTACATACAGAAGACTACAAGTACAGGAGACGGTATTCTGCATAGCACTCGAGTTCAAGTATGAACGAGATCGCATCTGTCAGTCTGCGGGCCTCGATTCGTATGTAGCCAGACAGCCAGTGAGTCACTCAGAATCACTCGTTCCATCTGTTCTCCACGAGCGAGTCCAGTACATAATGTACAGATTTAAGCTTTCCCGGCATCAGACTTACATCATGTCAGCCCCACAACTTCTCGCGTTTCTCTGCTCTGGAGCTACATTACATGTAACCACCAATATCACCAGTGCCACCACCATGACATTCCTCACGATCCAGATCTTCATCAAGAAGGGTATTTCCTCCTCCTCCCTTCCTCCCTTCCTCCCTCCCTTCCTCACCTCCTCGCACAATCCTAACTACACCTTAAAACATGACACAGACTGCGGCAAGACCATCACGCTCGACGTCAATCCCTCCGACTCCATCAAGACGGTCAAGGCCAAGATCCAGGACAAGGAGGGAATGGTGCCGACACACTATTTCCGGCTGAAATTCAACTGCAAGTACCTCGACGACGACAAGACGGTTGAGTTTTACCAGGTTGTGAAGGAGTCGACGCTGTGGATGGTGTGGCCGCTGCCCGGGGATGTGAGGGGGAAGGTGGATGGGTTGGGTGCGGTTTCAAGTATGGCTTAGGGCGGGTGTGGTGGGGTGATACGGGGTGGTACGGGGTTGTACTGCATACATATATTATGGAGGGTAGAAGTATTGGCTTTTAGGAGTTTGTATGGGTTTCTTTTGCTACATAGATGTTTGTTTTTGGCAGTTTTATACGCCAACAATGGGAGACGCTTTGCTGCCCAGTTCCCTAAAGCTGGTTGAGATTTGCATTGGACCTAATAAATACTCGACGGTAATGTTGAGAAGCTATCGTTGAACTTGAGCTTGATTGAGAAATGGCCGAGTGACCTGATATGACTCTGTCTTCTTGGCGCTATAACACATTTATTCAATGCTGCCAATACAACCAGCAAGAAGGCATCGCAACCTGCCTGATTCCCGCCTGCTTTCCCCATCCACCGTCTCCAGGAAAGCTCTCCTCCTCACACGCACACTCTCGTCGGATCCAGGGACATCCATCTCTGCTGTGCATGTGGCTGGTGGGACCCTTACAGCACGCACCGCCACTCCCCTTCCGTGGTTCGTGTCCTACGTGTGATCAGCAACGTCGACTTTGAGGCTCCCAACGCAACTTTGCACTTTTACACAGCAGCTCAGAAACACCAGAAAACCATCAAACACAACCACCGCCCAACAGCATCGCCAGAATCCTCGAAAACCACTCGACATCACTCCACCCCCACGCACCACAGACAGACCTATAACATCCACCACCATCCTGCACCACCAATCAGCATCTCACCACCACCACTCAGGAACCAATCCACCTACACCCCCTCCCAATCCCAATCATCCATCAAACCAGCCAGCTAGTACACACCACAGCTGGGACCCCCAGCGCCCACCCCACCACCATCCGCCCCCTTGGGCACCAACCACCACCACCCGGGCCGCCGACCCCCACCATGACGTCGGCCTTCCCCACCCTCCCCACCCGCCGCCCCACGCTGCCCACCACCACCGCCCCCAAGCCCCCCTCCATCTACCTCCGCACCTCGACCTCGGCCGCACACAGCTCCGTCTCCTCGCTCAACAGCCTCTTCAACCCCAGCAGCGCCACCATCGCCGCCCGCGCGCCCGCCGACGCCGACGCAAAGTCGCTGATCCTGCGTGCGTTTGTGCCGCACGTGGCCGTGCATGTGAGCGATGACACGAACGCGCTTGCGCGCGAGAAGGGCTTTGCCGACTTTAAGGACATGCTGCGGCCCTATGGCGAGGAGATCTCGGGCCGCGTGACGGTCAGGGATAGCCAGGGGATTAGCAGCAGCTATGATGATTTTGGGATGCGGTTTGTGGCGCTGGCGGACGTGGCGGCGGGGGGGGAGAAGTGGGAGACGGGGCTGGCGAGGGCGGCGGCAGCAGCGATGGCGGCCGGAGCGGGGGAAGGAGGAGGAGGTGGTGGAGGAGCGGGGGGAGGGGAGGGGGAGAAGAGGAAGGTGTGGGTTGGGGGGAGTATTGAGGAGGTGGAGGAGCTGGTGGGGTTGCATATGGATCGCGAGCTGGCGGGGACGGGGAGGGAGTTTTATATGCTGTATTTGAGACGGCTGTTGAGCGCGCTGCCCGTGGCCCCGCATGAGACGTTCTCGCACCCCGTGGCGTGTGTTATTGCCATCTCGTCGAGGAATACGACACCGATTGAGACGCTGCGGAACCTGTATACGTCGGGGAGTAGGGTGCAGCTGCCGGCGTATGTGAATACGGACTATCTGCGGTACTATGTGCTCGTGCACGACGAGGACCGCGACGATATCAAAAAGTTAGTAGTAGCCCCCCTCCCTCCCTATGTCTCTCTGTAGAAGCAATCGGTAGTATTAACTGTCTCACCCCACCTCTGCAGATCCAACAGCCTCTTTGACCAAATGAAGAAGCACTTTGGCCTCCACTGCCACCTCCTGCGCCTCCGCTCCGGCGGCCGCGCCGTAATATCCGACGACGACGCCGTCATCGTGCCCAAGCCCAACTGGATCTCAGCCGCCGAGGAGCTCGCCTCCATCACCTCGACGGACGCCGACTACTCGGACGACCAGCCGGCGCTCTGTCTCCCCGACAGCGACGCCGCCGCACTCACAACCATGATCCGCGAGATGGCGCAGGTCTCCATCATCCCGTTCATGGAGCGGTGCGTCGCCACATGGAACGACCAGGTTGCGTCCCGCCGCCGTGGCCTCTCGGGGCGCTTCCTGAGCATGAGTAAGAGGTATTTTGGAAGTAGTGGCAGTAGGACGAGTACCAGTGCGAGTAATTATGACCCGTTGTCGGCGAGCTATCATCCTAGCACGCCTGAGGCGCAGATGCGGAAGCTGGCTGATTATGCCTTCTTGTTGCGCGATTGGCGGCTTGCGAATGGCGTGTATGACCTCCTGCGTACTGACTTTGGAAATGATAAGGCGTGGAAATACCACGCCGGCGCCCAGGTCTGTCTCTCCCCCCGCCAAAAAAAAAAACCCCCCTCCCAGAACTGATCATTGGCCCCCCGGGACGAATAGGAAATGACCGCGATATCACTAATCCTCACGGGCACGGGCCTGACCACCAAAGTCCGCGCCGACCAGATCTACCCCCTGCTCGACCTCGCCGTCTACTCGTACCGCTCGCGCTGCAGCAGCACATACTGCGCGCTGCGGGCGCTGCTCGTGTCCGTCGAGCTCTTACGGCTACGCGGCGGCGGCGCAGCCGACGAGGCAGCGACATGGGCGATCCATGCGCGGGACATGCACGCGAACCCGGGCATCGGGCACGCGCTCGTGACGGAGCGGGTCGGCGCGTGCTACAGTGTGCGCGAGGGGGTGGGTACAGGGGCGTGGGGGGCAAGGCGGCGGAAGGCGGCGATGTGGCGGATGCTGGCGGCGGGGGAGTGGTTGGCTGCGGGGCGGGGCGCGGTGAGTAGGGCGTGCTTGGAGGGGGCGGTGGGGGTGTATGAGGGGACTGGATTTGGCGGGGTGAGGGCGTTTGTGGAGGGGGTCAAGAGGGGGAGTGGGTTTGGGGGGGTGTTGGTGGATGTGGGTGGCGGGGAGGAGGGGGAGGGGAGGGCGTGGAGGAGGAGGTGTTGGAGTTGGAGGTGGGGAAGAGGAGGAGTGTGGGGGGGAAGGCGGGGAGGGAGCTGTTGTTGGAGTTGGGGGAGGGGGGGGCGAGGGTGGAGGATGATTTTGTGGAGAATTAGATTTTTTTTTCCTTTTCTGTGGCCTCTTTCTTTCTTTTGTAGATTTTCTATTCTTTTCTTTTCTTTTCTGTTTCTTTCTTTCTGATTGCTAGGCATAGGGATTGTTTTTATCTACACTTAAGCTTATTACCATCTTCTCTCGTCTCCTCCCGTCTTCCTTCTCTTATTCTTGTTTTTCGCTCCGGGAGTACTTACTTACTAGTAGAGAAGCGCTGGCGATATACGGTCTCAGTTTGGGGGTTGGGGGGGGGGGGGGGGTGTTAAAGAGAGAGAAAAAAAATGCCAAATGAAGAACCATGACTTACCTTAATTCCACCCTTTTTTTTTTTTTTTTTTTTTAAACTTGAGATGACTGCCACGACTAGTTATGTAGTTGCATGTATCCATCCTCCTATCATTATCGTTGTCTTTTCTGTTATTCACTCGGCTAAGGGCCGGGGGGGGGGGGGGGGAGACATGGACCCGGTTTGTCAGAACCTTGCATGTCAAAGATAATCCACGATAATTTCTCACTGTTATTGAATTTGTGCTGCGGGTCATGTAGCGTCACTCGTGGCTTGGCGGTTATTGTTGGCTTGGAATCGGCACTTGTGGGATCGCAGTAAACACTGGCTCCGTGCGTTGGTAAGGTACATATGCGTGAGGTAAAGTAAGTAGGCTGTAGGGGTACGAGGTGCACGGTGAAGGGAGGGGGACATATAACACTTATTTCCCTACCAACAAAACCGGTAACGTAGGCAACAATGGGAAATGACCTGCCGGGGGAGGAAGATACAATCATACATACAGCGAAAGCTTGCTATAACGGTACGCTCGGGACCGGAATTTGGTACCGTTATAGAGAGATTACCCTTATATAGGAGGTGCTGGTGCTGAAAGCCAGGCAAAAAGGACCGAGAAGTGCTACCGTTATAGAGAGATTACCCTTATAGAAAGTACCGTTATAGCAAGCTTTCGCTGTACCACCACAACACCACCACCACCAAAAAGAAACAATGCAAAAAAAAAGGATGAGAGTTCGGTACCCAGGATTCCCGCATGGTCACCCACTGCAGTACTGACTAGGCGATATGTTGATTGTGTATGGCAGAGCGGACGGGATGCCCAATTTTCAACATTCTATGACCGAACACGTGGGGAGTAGCTGGTTTTACACTGTTAGCCCGGTGGAAGCATGATATCTGACCTGCTTGTGTGTGTAGAGTACGGGGGGCTTGGGGTTGTACTCAACTCTTTGTTTGGGGTGGATCATCGGGAATCACTCGGTATTTCTCACATCTACTAAACCAGCTGAGCCACACGCATGCCTAGTCCTAGTCGACCCGTAAAAGTTATAGGTCATCAGTGCTCGAAACTGGACACAATACTCCGCGAGTGGCGGAGTGAAAGTTCGCCGTTATAGCCAGCTATCCCACGCATGTGGAGGTAGCTATCCCGCACTTTCGCTGTCAAGATCCTGTACAAAGTCACCAACACGGGGGGCGCCGAGAATTCCCCCCGCCTTTGCTGCTATAGGAGATGACACTATATTATGGTATTTAGAAGTATCGGAAAGATCCATACAGCGATGGACGATTGGATAAATAAGCTGGTATGTGGAGGGCCCTCACTGGGAATGGCGGTCCCAAGCTGAAGAATTGAGCTGAATGGGTATGATACGGGCTGAGCTGCATTCTAGCTTGGCGTTTGCACGTCTAGGTATTCTCCACCCCCGCCATGTGGTGTTAAGTGCGGATGAAGTATTGTATGCCCGTATTTTACACTCGTTTTCTCTACTCGACATCTCGAGTATGCATGTGGGGGACGGTGGGGAGAGCCACTTGGTATCAATGTGGTGTGGTTATGAGCAGCCCGCTGGGGTGAAAAGGAAGCAAGTGCCCAAGATCCCTGGCTGGAAGAAAGGAATCGTGGGGCTAATTAATGAAGAACATCCTTTTTTCTCCACTACTCCTGAATTCCACTGCACGTAGCACTACGATACAGTTCTCTATGAATATTGCACCTGGCCCCAGCAAGCAAAAACCACTCGGGCTATCTTTCTGCAACTGGCATCATGTTACCTGAGTTAAATTTGTCGAGAGATGATACAAAGTCGGGGATGCCATAGTGTAGTTGAGTTGTGAATTTGTATATTTAATAATTTATTGAGCTGGTTGTCTTAAGAATCTTAGTTCGACCAGTCCAAGAGGCCCGGCCCGACCCGCCCCACATACCGCACTCTACTCTAAGGAAAGGCCCGACCTGCAAAGTATCTTAAGTGGAAACGTCCCGGGCCCACTGGTACGTGTTCTGCTAATGCATATAGATAAATAATCTAGAGATCCAGTGATTTTCCGTTGAGAATACGTTATGTGTAAAGCTCTACATACATGTACTTTCTGGGATAGGTGTTACATACATATGTAGCTGTGTTTGAAAATGCACTCCAAGACCTCCCGCCGCCATGCAGCCCCGTCAGCCAGTCACAACCCCTGCCTGCCCATCCCGTCAGAAAACGTTCCTGTCCCTGGCCCGCACATTATGTCATCGGGCACCTGCACCCCAGAGATTATTTATCGATAAGCGACCCACAACGGAGCTATCCGTCCCCCAATGAGCAAAAACTCACAACCCACAACCCAATAATAACCCCACAACCTAACAACCAACCATGGCCACCACCCAGCCACTCGCCATCCAGTGCAGAGACCCGGGCGAATTCATCTCCTCCATCATCGAGCACCACCGAGCCGGCGGCGGCGGTGTGCAGCAGCCTCTAAAGGACGAGGAAAAGACGTATCTGATCTTCGTGGGCATCGATGATGAGAATGGCGTTTTCGAGATGATGGATGATGATGACCGAGAATATCTTCCACTGAGCGGAGAGGAAGAACCTGAGATGCCTTGGAGCGAAAGTGATGGGAGTGAGCAGAGGTTGCCGGGTGAGCCGCCGGGTTCGGGACAGCACCAGATGACCCAGTCCCAAACTCCAGAGTTGGGGAAGGCAGAGGATGTAGTCCAAGGGCATGAGGGCCACCAAGCAGAGGATCTTAATCACGGGGCCACGGGACTTGACCAGGGGTTCCAGTCTGCCAATGGTCAGAAGTCACCAATATCAAAAATCACTGAGGCGAAAACCCCCGAACATAGCTCTCCACCCGCCCTACCAGAAGCGGAGGAAACTGTATCGCCAGTACAGTTACCCATCGCTTTACCTTCAAGCTCACCGTTAAGCTCTCCGCCGCCGGAAGAGGATGACGAAGAGCTATTTATGACTGGTGAGAGTGCCGTAGCATCCAAAGGCCAAGACGGGTCTCAAAGCCCTATTAGTAAATCCCCAAGAGACCTAGACAACCACCTAGCTGGCGGGAAAGAACTACACAAAGAAACAGGAGCTCGAAGTGAGGCTACAAAGGGAAACGAAGTCAAATCCCGAGCTACAGAAGCCAATATATCCATCCCTGAAACTCCGAATACCCGCAGGAAGGTTCTCCTACAAATCCGGGAACCCAGCTCCCCCATACCCCCACAACCACACGAAATCTCGCCGCTCACCGCACCAGGAGACAAGCCGCCAGTATCCCAGTCCTACCAGAGCTCCCCCGCGGTACCCAGGAGCAGCATGATAACCTCCCCAACAGCCAAGCGATTTCCCATACCGACCAAGGTCTCCAACACAGCACAATCCCAACAATCCGAAGAAGAAGAGGAAGAATACACCACCTACCCCACCCCCACACTCGACATCCTCTCCGCCGCCGAACACATCGAGCTCCTATACCTGCGCGACCTCAAAACGCTTCGCACCTTCCTCACACTTCTCCAATACACCCCTCCTGCCCCCTCCTCTCCCGATACCGACAGCAATCCACCCCTCCTCGCTATCTGGGGCCTCATCGGCGCGCACCACCACACCACAGGTGAATTCAGCGGTGAAGGGATCGCAAACACGCTGTCCCTCGCGGTGGACGCGGCGGCGGAGTCGGGGCGCTTTTTGGTGCTCGGGGAGGGGTATGTGCAGGAGGATATAGAAGGTGGGGAGGTGTCGTGGATGGAGGCGGAGGTGCCGGTGTTGAGGGGTGGAGGCGGAGGAGTGGGGAGGACGGTGGTGGTGAAGGGGGTGTTGGGGAGGTGGTGTCGGTTTGTGGAGGAGTTGGAGTAGCTGGAGTAGGTGGGGGTGGCTTTGGGGAGGTTGTTTGATTTTAATGGGGGGTTATATTTCCGTCCTCTCCGGTGCTTTGCTTTCATTTCTTTTCCTGTGGGGTTTAGGGATATATTAACATTGCCTCGCTAGAAGAGATTTGGGATTTAATATTATTATATGATTTCCCTATTTCACATGTAATTAATAAAGAAAAATAACTTGCCGCCTCTCCTCAAGGTCGGTCCTCATTTTGTTTCTCACAAGCAAAAAACTGCACAGGATGGGTAATACATATTAATACTTTTGATCCTCACTCCAATAACCTCCAAAGGTAGGTTAGTAAGCAGGGGTAATGATAGCATGACCGAAATTATCTATGCCAAGACTCGACTGAATACCTCAAGGCAGAAACGACCTCAAGAGGCTGGGAGGGCTGTAGCGAACTGTGGACGTATTTTGGATAGCTTTGTTCTACTTCTTACTACCCTTCCCTCCTCCCGGAGCCAATGTCTTCAAATTAGGGGGTCCAAACCAAGTATAGTACAGCCGGATTATTGCTATAACTGTAAGGTTGTATGTAATTAATGAATTAAATAAAATAAAATAAAATAGTACAGCCGGATCTATTCCACTATAAGGGGCCAAAACAAACGAAGAAGAAAAAGAACTAGCCCTTAAAATTGGCCTAGTCGAGAATATAAAAAGTGCTCCGGGACTATTATTATGGCCAGCATATAACTCTCACGAGCGTTGGCTCATATTATAATGCGCCAACACCGCCGCCATGCGCCATCAACCACCAAAACCAGTAGATTTATAGCCACATATATATAGACAGCGGTGTGATGTACAAATATAACATCACAGAAAGTTTTCCATCTTAAAGCAACCCAGAAACATGTTGTTTGACCCTACCCTATTCAAGTTCTCCACTCCCATTCCCATCACCAACCACCAACAACCATCATGACTTCCGCTACACCACATCCTATAACATCAAACCCTTACGCTGACTACTACGTGAAATCTTTGTAGATTCATAGAGTGTGACTCCCTTTTGCATCTACCGCTTCTAATATCACTGCGTAGGGATATCAAAAATTGGATATGATATCGCCGCGTGATTTCGGTTTCTTTAAGGAGTACACAATCTGAGGTCGGCGCAGTAACAATGGCGGGAGAGCTATGAACTCAAGACTGCAATATGTGGTACGAAGCATTCGGAAATGAAATGTGGCATGTGGCATGTGGCAGTGGAGGAAGGTCTTTATTTGATAGGAAAGATACGGTCTCAATTAGGTAACAGAATGGCAGGAGTGCCTTAAAGAAAGATATGTCTGAAGTATGTAGACTATGGCGGTGGAATGCCTTGTTCTAATGAAAACTGAAAAAGAAAACAGAAAAAAACGAAGTGGTGTGTGCCATAGGAGCGGGAGAGCCATTTGCAAATCAAGAGGGAAAGAACCATTGGGGAAAGAGAAAAAAAGAATACTATTGTAATATGGGAGCCGCTGACATTTGCCCTTCAGTTAAGCGATAGATCGGTCTTTATGTTAATGGATTAAATATTAACTATTTTATTCTACTTGGGGGTATACGAGGTATTTTCTCTTCTTCCTTGTTTGATTGTGATGCTGTATCTACGAAATTGAGTTGCCCCTATAACAATGCCCTGCAAGAGCAGAGAGCAGGAAGCCGATAACACGGATAGCCAATGATTAATAAAGATGCCAAGCATGTTGCGCCTTCCCCAAATAATCATAATTATATCACCATCTACCAACTCCCGCTACCATCATAAAATAAGTTTACATCTTTCGAGAGAAATCGCTTGTTTAGAAATTCATCAAATCTGCTTCATAGTTAGCGCCAGTCTCTAGCAATTCAAAAACGAAATCGAACTCACCTCTACCAAACAGTGCCCTCTTCCCCCAATCCATAGCTAGCAAAACTCTGGTTCTAAAGCTCACACTCTGTGCAAAATATACAGACCTCCAGAGGTAAACAAAGATAAGCCCACCTCCAATACTCAATCCGTTAAGATCAAACACAGCTGCGTTTCCAATATAAGCAAGGTTTCCAAGATGTTTATATTCAAAACCCTTGTATGTTGTTTCATCCAAATCTCCGTCAATAACGTTGTTCAATTCTAGCCCAGGAGCAGCCTGGGCAAATTTATTAAACTTTCGGGCGAGATATTGTCTAACATTTATTAGTGAAATGTGTGCGGAGGAAGAGAGAGAGGAAAAGAAATATGTAGTACCCTTGTTGATGTGCTCTTTGTGCTGTAGCTGGTAGTGAAGTAAGTTTACTATCAATTTGTTGCAATAAATCCTTCAATTCGTCGAAATCAAGAGTTCCACTCTTATCTTTATCATACTCCTCAAATAGCTTATCCAATCTCCTTAAATGATCTGTCGCCTGTGGAAACTTCTTTCTCACCCTCGTTGCCACACTTCTCCACATTCCAAAGTCCAAATCCATTTTTTTTGGATCCTTTCCACGCTCCCATGCGATTTGTTTCAAAAAGTCTGTAATATGATCTGCGATATTGTTTTGAACTGTGCTACAATCGCCAATCGCGTAAACATCCCCCAATGGAGTCCCAAGTAGGCGGAGATGACTGTCTGTCTCGAGGGCGTGTTTGTTTTTCTGTGCTTCAATCTGTGATGCGACATGTTCGGCGAAGTTTGTTTGGGCAACGCCAGTAGACCAGAGACACATTCCAAACGGGAGTGACTTTGTTACGATTTTGTTGGTTTCGGGATCGCGCTGTGTAAATATTACTTTATCTTTTTCAATTTTGGAAACGCGGGCATTGGTGAGGACGTCTACTTGGTCACGGGCAAAACGTTCCTGCAATATAAATTAGATGCGATTCTGACTGGGGGCCTGGATACATCAATTACCTCTGCGTAACGAGAGAGAGCTTCATCGTAGGTGTTGAGTATATGGGAGCGGGATTGAACAACGTGAACTGAGACTTCATTCCTGAGAATTTTAGGATACTAGGGTTTCCAGTTAATAACGTTCTTGATATACAGATGAAAACTTAAAAAAGTATTTTACCATTAGTGTAAGGTCTTCGTTGAGCATATCAAACAGCTCTGCAGCGAACTCAACGCCAGTTGGTCCGCCCCCACAGACCACAAAGGATAGCAGATGCCTTCGCTCCTCGTCCGTAGTGCTAGGAAGGCATGCTCTCTCAAAGCACTCGATAACCCTACTCCTGATCTTTCTAGCATCGTTAATATCTTTAAGGTATTCAACATGCTCAAGGCCTTCAACCCCATGAGTTCTTGTTTGTGATCCTTTACATGTATTAGTTATATCAAATCATATCGCTTATTGTTCTTGGGATGGATAGATTTACCAACACCAATCACTAGCTTATCATATGGCAAATAGAATCTCCTCTCCTCCCCATCTGGTAGCGTCTGTGATACCTCCACAAGTTTCTGCGAAAAGTCGACAGATTCTGCCTTGGCTTTGAGGAAGTGGCCCCGGATCCTACTTGTAATTCTTCTTATTGGTTCTACTAGCGAACGTACTTCCAGTGTCCCCACTGTTGCACTGGGGAGGAGAGGTGTGTAGAGGAAATAATTACTCGGCGAGACAACGGTGATATGGTAGTTATCCGGATTAATGTTCTTAAGCAGAGCCACCGAACCCCAACCACAGCCAAGAACTACAAGCTTAGGTTTATCTTTCTGCTTTTGCATTTCGGGGCTATCTTCATCATCAACCTGCCACAAAGTTAGCAATTTAATCAAATACTGAACCGGCAACTGCATGCGGGGAATATAACCCACCAATATTTCTGCAATCGGTAAATTCTTTGGTCCACCCTTCCTTGGGTTCAATGCTAGTTCCGATAAACTGATGTCGTACGTCTCTGACTCGCCTTTATATGTGCTAGCATCATAGATGAAGAAAGCCACTATAAGTCCCGTTACCGCGAGGCTTGCAAAGCCCGTGTATGCGCATGTCTTAATGACGAATCTTGCAAGTTTACTGCGCTGGGGTGGAATGGGATTATTTGAAGCCGAGGTAGCTATGATTCTCGATTGCGGGTGTTTAGCTGTTGATAACGGGGGTTTCAATTGGGGCCTGAAACCCGCAGAGAAAAGTGGAGAGGTATTTTGACGAGTTGAAGAAGCTAGTGACTGGAAACCACGGAAGCTGTTCGTTCGTACACGAGGAGAGTAGCGAAGTTCCGAGAGAGCGCGCAGTCTCAGCATGTTGAATTCCGCTGGAAAGAAGTATAAAGAACGAAGCCAGACAGAAATTTAGAAGATAAAGTCCCCGAGAATGGTTACAGATGGAGAGATGTATACTACTAGGCAAAAATACAGGGAAGAGCTAGATATGAACAGATATATCCCCCCCCACTTATACAGCTTTGTGAGGAGGGGGGACACAGGATACAAATACTCCTTAGAATGAAGCTGTGCACATACCGTGTATCAACAACAAGGAAATAGAAGCTGCAACAGTGACGCAACCGTTAAGTGCTCACCCAAAGTTCTGATCGGCTCCGGCACGGCCAACATAATACCCCAGGCTTTGAAGCTGAATTGACTTCTAGACTATCCTATTGTGTAACATAACACTACATAAAGTAAGGCCAAGTTAAAGCTGACTGAGCATGGCATGTTTAAAAGGATAGAAATACTAAGCTTAGAACCGATCTAACCTTGAGGCTGAACATCTGAGGTCAATCGGTTACCGCCAAGAAGATTTTATCATTGGCCAGTTGACATCTCGTCAATCTTGAGACCATCCATCCCCCCTCGTCTACTGTTCTTGCAGCTTTTATTACAGTCATTCAATATAATTAATTCGCCATGAACGCCCCAGATAGGTCAGAACCCTTCTAAAAAATCACTCATCTCGACACAGACCCTCCTATACCTTTCATTTCTAACACAATCTAGATTCGAGCTGTTCCTCCTCGCTGATGGAGAGGCCAAAGTTACAATGGAACCTGACACGCGCCAACCCAATGCTGCAATTTTCACATTCAACAAAGAGGACCACACTCTCGGCAATCTGCTCCGTGCAACACTTCTTCAGAACGAACACGTGATTTTCTCTGCCTACAAGACTCCCCACCCGCTCTTTCCAAAATTCGAGCTGCGGATACAGACAGACGGTGAAACAAGTCCGAAGGAAGCTCTATTATCGGCCTGTCAAGGACTTATCGGGGATCTTCAGATGTTGTCCCAAAAACTGACTAGAGAGTGGGAGCTGAATAAGATCGCGAGGGATACCAGCTAGAGAGCTCGAAAGGAAACGCTTGGTATAGTTGATTATTAAGGCGAGGTCCGGGATGGATTCGAGAGGGTGCACTTTTATGATTGATGCAAAAGTTATTGGGAGGAATGATGTTTTATCACATTCGGCGCAGTGGCATCTGCTGCTGGGGCAAATCTTCAATGTCTCTGAAGGAGAGGAAGGTATGGAATAATAATGCCAATCAAATATTCTACAACAGTTCTTGCTTTCCATCAGAAAAGTTAGGAAGAAAGCATGCAGCACTCGATAAGCATTCCATTACTCCAGCCACATGAAAGTAAAACATTAGCAATAAACTCTTCGTATTCTCTTGGCAGATAACACATAATATGCAAACCATAAATCCATAGTAGTTATAGAAAGTAATGGCACCTAGCCCCCACACCTCCCCAAATCAAAAGGAGTAAAGATGTCCACTTCCAAAACCGGAAGCGTAAGGGTAGAAGAGTAGATAGAATATAGAATGAAATAGGTTTAGAAGAAGACCTAACATAGAGGCGGGAGAGAGAGGGAAGAAAATAAAAGAGAAGATCTGTAAGCAAAAGGTAAAGAAGAAAAAGGAAAGAAAAAAAACTCCCACCCATCCCTATCCAGGCACCAAGCAAGAAAAGAAACTAATACTCTGCTCTTTCATAGTGTACTCAGACACGAGCATATCATACCCACCATCCTCTCTTCTAATCCTAATACAGCGTGATAGGATATACCATCATGTTTATTGCACTAGTTCTGCCACCCTTTTGCCCATGCTGCTACCACGACCCATATGCCCACCATTTCCACCGTTGAACTTTCCAGAACTTTTACGGGAGCCCGAGAACTTTTTGCGATGCTTCCCCTCCGGAACCTTACACAAAACCTCAGATTCTTTCCCTCCCGGAAGGTGAACTGGAATAAACCGTTTCCCCTCTACGTTGACGAATTCTTTACCGGATGGATCAAACGGGTCAAACGCGTTGATAGTCTGAGGTGCTTGCACCCAAAGCCGAGGAGTTTTGCGCGACTTCTGCAATGGAGACATTGGCGATTTGGAAGGATTACCGTTATAGATGGGAGTATGATTGTGTGGGATCTTGACAGTGGGCGTAGACCCGAAATCTCGTTCAAACAATCCATGAAAGAACTCTTCATCATCGGGCTTCGAGAGAATACATCCACCATCCATTTGCGCTTCCCCTGCTGCCGAAGCCTCACCCTTCTCGCTAGAATCTTTGCTGCCATGAGAACTGCCGGGAAGTGAAACCGAGGGCTTATTAATATTCCCTCGGATTTCTTCGAAAGAAGGTTTTGTAGCTGAGAAGTCCTTGGATGCAAGGACATTGTTATCTTGCGGATGAGGGCGGGCCGATTGTTGCTGTGAGGATTGCTGCTTCAAAGAAGATTTTCCCATGGACTCTAGAATTCTCCGCTGCACAAGTTCAAGTTGGTCACAAGAAGGAAGGTGACGTGGTGATTTCGGGTTATCCATTTTGTGAAAATTGTTATTGGGGCGAGAGCTGGGCGAGATTCTTCCACTAGCATGTTGAGCTTGAGGCGAAGGGGGAAGATGTACAACACGCGAATTGATATCACCATGTACAGGGTGTTCGGAAGACATTGGAGGGGGTGGTGATCCTGGTGGGTTTATCTTTGGCGTTGTCTCATCTATTGGGATACTTGGATTTCCTAAGTGTTGTGCCACCAAATTCGCGGCGGCGGGGAAGAAACGAGACGTTGGTCGACCTGCAGCAGGCCCAGTTGGAATATTATTCCTCTGAAGTTGTGAGTTCCCTGTAGTTGATTGAGCCGCTGTACCAATGATCGCAGGTGGTCCTGTCAACGAATCTTTATTAATCGATGATGCTTCATCACGTACTATCTTTGAAATGCTGACAAGCTTCCTATCAACCTGTCCTTGACCATCACTGATTTCAACCTTCCTCCAGGTTTCGGAAATCTTTGGGTGGACTACAGGCTCCCTCTTTATCCCAGAGGCGACTTCGTCAGCCTCCCGGGCCAACCTCTCTTCCCTACTCCTCCGCCTTTCTGTAGATTCATCATCTTGGAGAGTGTTTGCAAGTGTATTCCAGCGATTCACGGCTTGTGAACGATCATCTTGAGGAATATTATCATTTGGCCGGGTTCCGCGGGAAAATCCCGGGGAGATGTGACCAGAACGGCCTGGCCGCCCACCCTGCCGTCCATCATCTCTATTCTGCTGACCATGCATGGCGGGTGAAGCATTTGATCTTGCAGAGAATCCTGAGTAACGGTTTTCAAAAGTTCCATTTCCAACGCCATTAAACCCCGAAAACCGCGGTTTCTCGCCAACAGGAGCCCAAGGATTACCGTCAGTAGAATTTTGGGCTTGACCATTACTTCCCGAACTTCCCCATTGACCAGTATATCGATCGGACCCAGAAGAAACACTCTTCCAGGGGGGCTGCTCCCTTGATCCACGGTCTTGAGTTTGCATGTGCCCCGCTGGTCTTCTCCCCTGCATTTGAGGCCCTGTCGGAATTCCTGATGTATTGCCAGGAGACCGACTACGTATAAAAGATGCCGCCGGCTCCCTAGCTGAGCGATCTGGAAATTGTCCTTGTCGAGGACGTTCCCTTTCTGATGCCAATCTTTCTTCAGACTCTTTCTTTGCCAGTGCCTCTTGTGCCTTTATTTCAGCAGCAGCTTTCTCATCCGTGGCTTTCTTCTCTGCTACAGCCTTTTCTTCGGCGAGTCTTAACTCCTCAGCTGCTTTCTCCTCGGCTTCACGTTTGTCCTGAATAGCCTTTTGCTTGGCAGCCTCCTCCTCCCGGAGCTTTGCTTGTTTTTCCAATGCCTCAAGCTTGATCTTCAGTCTCTCTTGTTTTGCAGCCTCCTCCTTAGCCTCTTCTTCTTGCCTACGTTTCCTTGCCAGCTGGCTAGATTCCTTCATAATCCGCTCTTGTGCGATAACGGGGTCCTCATAATTGGGATCTACAACAGGCGCTGGGGGAATGGCTGAAGGCTGAATCTGCTGAATATTTGGTGTAACTGAGGGTCTTACATGGTTCATTACCGGGGAAATAACTGCCATTCTCGGTGACGGGTGTTGAAATTTCGGGCTGTATGGACCTGATTGAGTGTGGTTTCCACGAGAACCTTCGTTATCAAACGGATTGCTGTAGCCAAACGAACCACGCCTGAGATCTTGACCTGGAAATCTAGCATCATCCGGTGTGGGCGGTTGATCTGAGCTAAACCTACCGGTAGAGAAAGATGGTCTCCTACCGCCAGTGCTACCACTACCTCCGCTTACATTCGAGGACGCTCTTCTACGCCCATAATCTTCAGGCCTATGGAAACTCATACTGCTGCGCGATTGCTGGAATGCTGCAGATGGTTCAGCCGGACCGGAAGGACGTTGAAGAACAGAATGCTTGTGCATCGGGGGATCGTTGCGATTCTGCCTCGCCCCTCCGTTACGAGCTTCTCTAACTGGCTCTAACTGTCCAGTCTCAGAATTGAATAACTCACGCTCACGTGCACTATGATTGACTGGCCTATCGCGCCATGACCGGTCGAAAACCTCTGCCGAGACTTCTTTCATTCCAAAAGAGGAGTTTGTAGTATGCTGTGCTGACGGTTCCACGCCCAACTCATGACGGGGAGGGGGAGGAGGTGGGAAATCGTTGTTTCGAAGATTATGATTTGAGACAATTGGGAGACCCGCATTTGGGGGAGGTATTTTTGCCCAAGGAGAAGCCCGGACAGGGTGGGTAGAAGTTGTCTCGGTGGGTTTCGAAGAAGGCTTTTCAGTAATAAGAGTTTTGGGTCTTGACTCCTCCTTCATTGGAGCAACCGGAACAACCGGAACAGGCACTGGTGATTTCGGGGGTGCAACCTCCTTGACAGGTTCTAGACACACTGGTTCGATATGAGTGGCAGGCGGGGATACAGTTGTCTCCGTGTTCGCCGCTGTAGTCGCCGCCGTAGTGTCATCCATGGTAACCTTCATGCCATCGTTCCACGCGATAGCCTCCGGAACCCAATCATCGTCATCATCATCTATATCAGCCCATTTAGCTTCTTTAGATTCATTATCTGAAACCAGTCTTGACGCTAGATGAATCCCAAATTCTAATTTCAGTTCTTCATCGGTGACATCCTTTTTAGGGGGCGGAGGTGTCGCTGATTATTTTCTATTAGTAAAACTGAAATAGATGCTTTTATATATATATATCGGAGTATTTACGTAGGTTTTTATTCCACACAGGCAGAGCTTGATCTCCTTTTTTTGAGCCAGCAGAACCAGCAGGTCCAGTACTTCCAGGCCTCGAAGTCTGGGAGGATGCACCAGTCTTCACAAACTTTAATTTCGAAGCACTTAACACATTACGAGAAGCTGGCTGAGGGACGGAGAAAGCCGTTGATGCTACAAACAAAACTTAGGTACAGTTTTTTTTTTTTTAAAGAAAGACATATCACATGCAAGGGTTCATACCTTTGGATGTTGTGGAACCGAGAGCATTAGACACAGGTCCTGCAGTGGGAACCGAATCCTTCAAAAACACCTTGTTTACAGAAACCGACTTAAAAGTTGTTTTCCTAATTGTTGATTTGGGTTTGATGGAATCCATTTTAGTTGGTGAAATGCTCCCGGGTCTAGAGGTTCCTGCGCTGTCTGTGTCTGTATCCTTTGTTCCTGCATATTTGCTGTTCATAAGACCCTATACAAATAGACATATCAGCAGGTTAGATCCAAGCTGGTAGACGTAGAGATTTAAAACTCACAGATGTATTTCCTTCTAGCGCTTTTTGTGTTTGAGATAGTGTATGACTATTCTCTTTATCTTGATCGTTTTGAGGTGCATTTTGCTGTGGGAAAATCGGTACAAGGTTTGTAGTAGACTCGCCGGAGTCGGTGAGCTGGTTAATGGAATTGTTTGCATCAACGCCGGTCGTCGAGGGCTCGACAACCGACCGCGCTAGAGGTTGTACCACATTTCCGATGATACGCGAATCTGCCATAACAAGTTGTGTTTCTGCCGCTTTAACTTTAGGCCAGGAACGGCGCAGAAGCTCTGGTTAGAATTATTTCCTGGACAGATGGGAATATAACAAGGAGTAGTGGGAGGTGGGAGGGATCTGATGCCCGTGATGGACCAAAAGAGTGTGAAAGTGTAAGGGTAGGTAGGTAGTGGGGCGATATGCAGTAACTCAGTGATGACAAGTTCTATTGCAGGAGTATAATTTAGAAGTCCTAACCTATTCAGAAAATTCAGGCGTGATCACCAGTGCTATTCGGCGCTTTCGAAACGGTGAAGACACTAAAAGCGCGAAAGAAGTTATAAGAAAGCACTGGCTGAGAAGGTTGCAGTGTATATGCAGAAGAGGAGTGATAGCAACCAAGTGAATTTCGCTAGAGAAGCCCGAGTACTAACCTTGAAGTGTGGAGAGGCGGGGGGGGGGGGGGGGGTTGGTGGGGAAGAAGTAAACAGGAAGAGAAGGAGAGGTATGTAGAGAAAAGAGGCGCAGGAATGCTTGCTTTTTCTTTTCGTCTGTTTATTCCACCAGGGTTCGAGAAGCGGTGGAGAGAGGAGGGATGTGGTTGTGGTGGGGCGAGATGCCTGGAGGCGAACAACTGAACGAACTTTCTATGTACGTAAGTACGGTACTGCATTGTTGTTTGAACCTACATGTACTTACCCAACGTGTACACCGCCAAGGCACCCCAGTCGATTATCATGTAAATAATTATCTACAGCAATTGTTGGTATTACTCAAGGGTTTAAGGCCTTCCAGGTACTGCCATATACCATGGGTTATGGGACGTTACACGCAAGTATTGATCATGGAGTGTGGTATGCCTGACCAAAGAAACAATACCACCAACAACAGCAAGGACCCGTGGGAGGCCAAACGGGTTACAAAGGGCCTAGGCAATTAATGTTACTTGGAGATGTCGAGAAATGGAATTTACACGATCATATGTTCCAGCAGGAGTAGTATCAGGCTAGAAGTATTAAAAAAAAGTAGCTGAACTTGGTCTAGAATAATATATCACTTGAGAATCAATGCGGATTTACACTACAGGGCAATAGTCTCCAACCATCTAAAAACTATCCTTTGCAATCATTTACCCACGCCATGGGCCAAGGCGCTTAGTGGGCATTGTTCTTGTGGTGACCTGAAATTGGCCAGTTAGCAAAAGTCACAATCCTATCAAAATAAGATAAAAATTTGGGTTGTAGTCGTACGGAGATGGAAGTAGTAGTTTTGGGCGTAACCAATCTGCAATACCCCAGAAATCAGTATATAAGTATTTCAATCGGGCCAGTCAGGTAGACATACCGCAATGAGAACACCAATAAGATGAGCGAGAGCTATAATATAACCAAATAACGGTTCGTAAGTCACCCCCTAAAGATATAATACAAAATTCCAGGTGTAGGTGTACGGGGGAGGCATACGAGCTGCGCTGGTCTCCTTTCCGAAGTACTTGGCCTGGTATCTTCCGATCAAACCAGTAGCCTTGACTTCCGGTGCAGGACCTACACGAATATATCAATTAGCATTCCCTAACAATGGTGTCTACCAGATGTTCCAACATACCTCTAGGAAGTTTTCCGTAGAAATCAACAACGCGGGCCATTCTGGAGGCATCCTTCGCAGCGCCGATCTAAATGCTTTGGGTCAATTGCCGGAATTTCAGGGAGATATTGGCTAGCAATAAATAAAGGGTAGAATATGGGAAGCTGAAAGGCGTAGATATATTTGATATTTTTGAAGAGAGCGAATTACTTACACCCTACAATGCTCGAGCGTTAGCCATATGCCCGAGACCGGCGGGAGTGGGGTAAAACTTACAGATGGCGAAGCGACCTTCGGAGGGATGAGAGTGGAAATGGAGCGGCGGAAGACAATCGACATCGCGACAAGATTGAATAATTAGGGGTGGCGGAGAAAATCTGTAGGACAGAATTTGGTTTGGGACGGAGTTGTTTCGGTATTTTCGATGGTTCCGAAGAAGAAACAGAACCGATGGTGGTGATGGCCGCTTGCTGACTAACGAGCCCGCCGACCTTCAAGGGTTTAATCACCGCCCAATATTAATCCCCAGCTCCCCACCACCACCTCATAGCCTGTCTAATTACTGAAACCACAGCTCAACAATGTCGTCCTTTAGAGCATCATGGGCTATTCTTACTCGCAGGCCTGCTATGCTTGTAGCGCCTACCAGAAATCCTTCCAACTTCGTTCGTTACAAGTCCACCGAGTTGAAAGGCGTGGTTACACAGCCAAACTCCCCCACCAACAGTGCAGGTACCTTAGATATCCATCTTGTCCCTGACCACGCAACGAGGTATATTCGAGTAATTCTTGCTTTAGTCACGAATTTGCGCGCTGATTATGCACCAACTATAGCGCCTACTCCCCTGTGCCAGTCCCCTCCGAAGTTCGTGGGCCAGATGAACCTCTCGATGTAGGTGCCTTTTCGGGCGCCCCTATTGATCTTAAATCAAGGACAGTAAGGATTTTCAAACCAGCAAAACCCGCTACTCAATCCGGAAACTGGAACGGAAGGCAGTGGAGAATGGATTGGGATGTTTTAGGGAAGGGCAAGTTCCACTGAATGATTATGAATTCGTATCATATGGTTGACGTCCACAGGTCACAGATGGGAGAACAGCCTGATGGGCTGGCAGTCTAGCGGTGATCCTATGCAGGGCACTCACATCTTCTTCAAAACCAAGGAGGACGCAATTCATTTTGCAGAGAAGCAAGGTATGTTTTGTTATATTTCGATTTTTATCAACTACTTGGTTGTTAATATCACTGGCGGTTTCAGGTTATGAATGGTTTATTCAGGAACCAAACGAAAGAGGGTTCAAGCCAAAAGCATATGCTTCTAACTTTTACGTATGATGCCAACAACCCACCCTTAATTCTTATAGCTAGCTCTAACCGCATTCGCCTGTATAGCATTCACCGAAGAAGTTGAAGGTCATCAGGACAAAGTAGAGATTTGAGAGGTATACACGCTACTAAGTCTTATTTGGTAAATACGGACAACTGTAGATATTACATAAGCAGCTTGTGAGGTCTACCAGGCGGTGTAGTTTTGGGCAAATTGAAACGCTCAAGGTCACCTATGGTTTCAAATTCAAGGTTTTAGATATCGATTACCGGGTAGGTCCGGTCCTAACCTGATGGATCCCGATTGACAACTTGTTTTGTATCGATTTTGACAATCTATGGTTTCATGATCTTTATTCTGGATATCTAGCATCGCAATCAAGCCTTGGTAATATCATACTTAAAGTAAAAGCTCTCTATAGATTCTGATATCTAGAAAAAGCATGCCCTGTTTTGCGGGAGATCCTACTCTTCAGGAGCCCCAGGCCCAGTCTTTGCGCCCTGAGAGAAGAAAAATCAGTAAATATTGAAACTCATCCTAGAATGTATTGAACATACCATCTGCCTAGCCTTGAGCAGCTCGTCGCAGAGCAAAAGGTTGCTAGCGATGCTAGAGGCGCTAGCGATTGAGTTTCTCAAAACTCTGAAAGAATCAAATACTCCCTGCGCGACTGGATCCATCGGCTCGCCGGTGTCGAGATTGATCCCCACAATATTTCCTTCTACCTGTTCATCCTGAAGTGCTGCCACTATTTCTCCTGTTAATACGACCCACGTTGAGGATTTTGAAGATGAGGACTTACAAGAATCTTGAATATCGTAACCACCATTCGCGGCAAGAGTTTTCGGGATGATCAATAATGCATCAGCAAAGGCTTGGACACCTGTCCTTGCTTTACCTTTAACTTGCTTGCGCATAGCTTCTCCAGTGAGGTGAGCAGCGCAAGCGACCTGGAAGGCGCCAGCTCCAGGAACAACAGATCCGTCAACAATCATATTGTAAACACTTCTTAGTCCATCACGAACAGCATCTTGAATTTGTGTGATTGTGTGGTTGTTGGGACCTATATAGCTTGGTAAGCAGAGGATTGAGTGGAACTGGAAACGGGCTGCCAATACCCTTAATCAACAACGTAACTGATTTCGGGTTCTTGACTTCCTCCACGAAAGTGTACTTTTCTTCCCCAAGAGTATGCTCATAAACCAAACCTGCCCAACCAAGGACCTCAGGGGACAAGTCATCCACGCTATTCTGACAAACACCACCGCAAACCAACTGTAGACGTTCCATGTTCCTTCTCTTTGCTCTCCTCAAAGCGAAGATTCCGTTCTTAACAAGAACGTCCAAGCTCAAAGGATCAATACCCTTCTGATTGATGATTACAAAGCCCTTCTTAGGGTCATCCCCACAAACTTCTTTCTTCAGTTCGACGATTTTCCTCAACTTCTCGTCCACAAACCTTCTCTCGCTTTCCACAAGCTTCTCTCTTTGAGCGGCGGAGGAATAAAAGAAACTAGAGTTGACTTCACTTTTCTCGTATTCTAGAGAAACATTGAGGGTGAGGATGAATGCATTTTCAACGCGCTTTGGCATATCTGGGTGACGAGCACCGTGATCTAAGGCAAGGCCTCGAATAAGCTGGGTCTCGGAGGCAGTACGGTGTTGCATCTTCATTATCTCTATCATGTGAAGATCGGGCTTGGCGGGCGGATTGTAGATAGCTAAGACAGCATCAACTATGCTGGGGGTCAGAGATTCCGCAAGAGTCTTGTTCAACTTTGTTGAAAGAGAAGTTCGTGCAACAGAAAGAAGAAGCTCCCGATCAGGTTCACGAAGAATTTTAAAGTCATCAAGAAACTTTTAATGACTGTTAGCTTTCCATGGAAGCAATTTTTGCGTATGGCGGGATTTACTTACCTTGAGAGCCTCAACTTTAGCGATTTCAAACCCTTCAGTGATGATTCGAGGGTGTAGTCCTTCTTCAATATATCTTCTTGCTTGTTTCAACAGTTCGCCAACCAACAGTACTACACTTGTAGTCCCATCACCTGCAATATCATCCAACGCAGTTGCTGAAGAATAAAGGTCAGCAAATCTCGATTACCCCGCCTCTAATATTTAAGGCCGTTGGAGTTCGCTATTTTACCTGCTCTAGCAATCATAACAGCTATGTCCCATCAAAATTTAGTAAGATACTTCCGGTGGAATATATTAGGGACAAGCATCATGGCTTCGTACCTGTAGGGTTCTGAATTGTCATTTCACGGAGAAGCTTCTGGCCATCCTTTGTCAATGTAATCTGACCGGATCCATCTACCAACATTTTCAGAGTTCCCGAAGGACCCAAGTTTGATTTTAAGACATCCTGTAATCCTATTGTTAAGGCATTAGTAGTTGATAGGATTAAGGTGGGGGAACCCCAAACATACCTTCACCAGCAGCAATATTAACACGAAGAGCCTCCCCTCTACGAACTGATTCCGCTTTAGGGTTTAAGAGACTAGTTGCAGACATTGAAACTGAATCTCAGAAAGACAAAAGATGATATATGTTGTGGTACGTAGTTGAGGTCAGGGGAAGAAAGTTAGTTTGTAGGTTGTGAGTAGGTTGAGAAATGCCGCCAAGACCTTGAGATTTAGAGCCCCACCACACACACACAAACAAACCGCATGTGGCTAAAACCATTAACTGTAAAATACATAGTTAGATACAATCAGCTAAAAGCTTCAGCTCTGGTGATTTGAATTCCTGAGCGTGTGTGTTTAAGGAGCGGAGTTATGAGTACTCTTGGTCTTAGACGGATGCTTGGGTCAAGCTTGTGAATCTGTTATTAAAAGATCGTTTTATATCACTCGATTTGTTCCTAAATACATGTATATTATGATCTTACACTAAATTGATATACATGTGGAGTGACAGAAGCGTGGGGGAAATTACCGTTGCAATCATACCCTTTACGCGACATTTTATGCCACCTTTTATGCGAATGTCCCTGGCCTTGAGAAGGGACGATTGGATTTCAACAGTATAGAACTTATGTATATAACTCTCATTCATGTGCCACTGCTATGATATACATTTACCTTGTTATATGATCATGAACAGAGTTTTCAAAAAAAAAAAAAAAAATGGAGTAGAGAAAAAATCTAGCTCCCGAAGTACCTCTCGTCGATGAACCTCCTCTCAAAACCATCCTCGACTTTCCCGACAATTACCTTTACCCCCGGGAAAACCTTTGTTAATCTACGCAAGCCAACCATGCTAGCCAAGTAAGTTACAAAGACAATACGGTCCTCTTCAACTCCGTAATCTTTGAGAACTGTCACGGCCATCAAGGCTCCTGCCCCGGTTGTGATTTGCGGGTCTAAAACCAAGACACTGTCATGTATCAAAGTCGATGGAAGTTTCTGATAATGTAGTTCCGGCTCTCCGGTACGCACATTAGACTGAATCAGTAACCTTCCAATCCTGGCATCAGGGACAACCCTTGTAAGACCAACTTCAAGAGCACCCCCAGATCTGAGTATGACAACTGCACTGACGTCCCGAGAAAGTTCCAGGCCGGAGTACTTATTCCCTTGAGGAGTTTTCACTTCCTTTTGTTTGAAAGCAAGGTGGTCCATGCCCTTTTCTACGAGAAGGGCAGCGACACGATCAAAGTAGAATATGAAATCTTCGCGTGATGTATCCGTGTCGTGAATAATTGTATGCATACCTTGAAGTTGCGGCGAGTTTGGAAGGACTTTGACACTTGGCGGGAGTGGCTCATCTGCGTCGTGGCCTTGACCGAGAGCTCGGAGTGCTTTGACATGCTCCTTAGATTTGTTTAGGAGGGCCCTTTGAATGTGTTTCACTATCATTTGCATCGCGATTGTGTTTTCAATCCCGCGAGGAACCATGATATCTACCTTATATTAGTATTTTCGGGCTGGGCATATAACCATGAATCTCTCCACAGACCAGCGTTCTTCTTCTGCGGTTCCACAAAAAGCTCGAAGTTGGGCTTAACCCAGGTAGTCCACTGTTTGATCGCCCCATGAATACTTTGAGCGTTGTCAGCTTATATCGCAGTTTAAATCATCAGCGTAGAAATGGACATACTCTCTGCCTCGGTATTTGACGTCACGCGCAACTGTTTTGTGTTATTTAACGTGTTATTTCTGATGGGAATCCACGAATCTTACGTCTTCTTGCAAGACAGACATCTGCATCCGTGTCTACAAAAATCTGGCCTATACTTAGCTCAAAACACGTAAGACATCAGAACTACTCACTTTCATATCTAGTAACTCTAGAACTCTAGGATCATAGAGAGCAAAGATGCCCTCAAGTATGAGGACATGGCACGAATATATGGTGGTTGTCTTCGGTTCTCTTTGATGCTTCTCAAAGGAATAGACCTAATGATCGACTTCTCTTAATGATATGTCTTCAAATGACATCCCATTTAAGGTGAAGACGTATGGAAGCATACGGGTATCTCCGCCTTTCTCCTAAGCCAATTTTTTTTTAAATTAGAAAGTATTCCATGAGCCGAGAAACATCGCTTTTGAACCTACCCTTGCTTCAAGTCCCGAAGTCTCTCTACAAGAATATCGAAATCAATGGAATTTGGGGAGTCGAAGTCATATTCATTTCTGAACGCTTGGGCAGACTGTTCTGGATCCAGTGGTTTATAGAAAGAATCCTAAACTCAAAACGTGAGCCTTAATCTCATTTGAGGAGGCCAATTATATCGGCTTGCTAGAAAGTGCGGGGGAGGTGCAACAGGTTTACCATAGACAGAATCACGACCCAGGGTAAATTCAAAGCGCTGACAATTTTGACAGCTAAAGATGTCTTCCCAGAGCCGCTAGAACCCGCAATACCGATTATCTATATGGCTTTCGGTAAGCCTTGTTCTCCAGTTCAAAAACTTGGGGAAACTAAGGATATATACGAACATGGGTATTCGCCCAAGGTGGACTGTAGTGAACTACCATTCTGATAAACTTTTGCTTTCTCTAGAAATACTGGTAGGCAGAAGAAGAGGGCGGGGAGTTCTCTGTTCAGTAGTCCTTTTTTTTTTTAATCACGTATGTATTCAAATGGGCAGTTGCATTAGACTTGCAGTGTCGACAACACCCACTCCAAGTCTGCAGGGCTAGGGTTGGGATATTTAGTTTAGGGCGCACCACCATTCGTTTTCGTGACGTTCATCTCCCACTCCCTCCTAGCCTCTACATCCAACCTCCACCATAAAACCCGCCGTTTTTTCCTCCGTTCTCCTTTACCGCAAAACATTTTTTGCCTGCCCGGTCCAGGTCAGGCAGCGCAGAAACTATGGTAGGCATCATGTCTGCTCTTATTTTCTCCCTTTTGGCCCCATGGGACTAGCTGGTCACGCATCGCCTCATGTTTGCGCGTGCTGATCATCAGCCTTAAACCAGAGTTCCTCAACGGCCACCCCCTCGAGAAAGTCGTTTACTATCGACTGGGATAAGAGGGTCGATGAGGTCAAGGTTACCAAAACGTATGTTCTCTTTTATTTTATTTTTGGTCCCATTTCTACGCCTACACCCTATTCATATGATGATTCATTCAAGTTGGGAATCTCTCTGAAATTACCATGTTAGAGAATATGTTAACTTGTTTCTGATACCTTACCCCTCTTGATCCATTCCTTCTTTCCGTAATCAGTCGGGTATTATTGAGGCTAATCACCATAAAGTGATCTGAATGCCCTAGTCATGAACTATCTTGTCATAGAAGGTTATAATTCCGCAGCAGTTAAATTTGCTCAGGAAGCAAACATATCCCCGCAGATCGATCTAGAATCGATCCAGGAACGAGTGGAGATACGAAATGCTATACATCGAGGAGACATCCAATCTGCGAAAGAACGCATCAACGAATTAAATCCCGAGGTTAGTACAATCTATATATAAAACACTCTTATTCTCCGCTATGATTAAACACTGTTTCATGCACCACTCTCAGACCTTCGGGTCGGTGATGATAACCCGAACTCAAAAACTTCAGTCTTCAATATGAGCACATCTCATCGCCTTCTTATTCCCTATCTTAAAATTAAACACTAAATTGGTACTGACCGATTCAACTAAAATAGATATTAGACACCAATCCATCTTTACACTTCTCACTTCTTCGCCTCCAGCTGATTGAATTGATCCGCAAATGCACTTCAGATCCAGATGGTGACATATCTGCGGCGCTTACCTTTGCTACAAACGAGCTGGCACCTCGAGCACCTAGCAACCCAGCGTTTCTAAAAGACCTCGAACGAACTATGGCTCTTCTGTGTTTCCCGCCTGCTAGTCTTGCTCCTCCTCTCGCGGGACTTATGGATCCGGCATTGAGGAAAGAGGTCGCCCGTAAAGTAAACGAGGCTATTCTCGAAGCACAGGGTGTGCAAAAAGAAGCTAGAATACGCCGTTTAGTAAGGCTGAGAGCATGGTCTGAACAAAGAATGCGGAGTGAAAAGAAAGATATCCCCCTAATGGACCTTGGTCTTGATCTAGGCCAGGCAGTAGATGAACCAATGGGTTCGTGCCAGTGAGTTCCATGCGTAATACATAGATGATGACTGTATGAACTTTTCGTTTTATGTCACTGGGCTGGTTTGGGGGTTTCTCGAATTAAAGGCTCGAATAGGCTGAGGGTGTTTGACCCTTCTCACCTCAAATATTCTTCGGCCTCTTAGTACTGGGTCGGCGTTGATTGTTTTTGTGTAGCGATATTAGTACAGGAGGAACAATTTCAATATATCTTGATGAATCCTCACTAAACAATTCCTTTCTTTTTCGCCTTGTAAAACACACCAAACTACATGTAGGCTGGTTCACCTCAAGTTTTGAACATAGTTCATGTGCCGGGTAACACCTTAATGCTCGACCTGAGGCACGGCCGGCCTGTGCACACGGTCGTAATAGAATTAGCGTGGTATTGCCTTTTCGCGACACCTTACTTACCATGCGGCACATGCAGCTTTCATGATACCTGCTCAATTGTGACTTAAAATGGCACCCTCAGGCCTCTCCAGTAACTGGAAAATACTTCAACAGAAACTACAAAGTCGTGCGACTTTAACGGACTCAACAGATACACCGCCAAAGCGAAAGACCGCCGTGACGGAGGATGCCCGAAAAAGTGTCAAAAAAATAAGGTCCAGTTTGTATGCGCAACACCTGTATTTACCTCCTCCAATAATATATGCATACTTATTCTGTTTAAAACAGGCCCGGAAGTAATAGCAAGGTGACGAAGAACCGTGATAGCAAATTCACAGCTCGAAAAATGTCTGGTGCAGTAATAACTTCAACTACTGCAACTAAGAACAATCTCTCATCATGGGCCGAGGACAATAATATCCCCATCGCTGATATCGCACGGGCCTATAATCTCTCCACGACAGCCCCACACTCCACGAAGACGTCCGCCGAGGCAGTTGCCATCTCAGAGGCGGACCCATCAAGGTCAGTCGAACTCATCAACACCACCGGCAGTGATTATAGTTCTGGGAAAAGGATTCTGATTACCAGGCCTACATAGAACAGAAGTGGGGAAATATGTCGCAATTGACTGCGAAATGGTTGGCGTTGGTGGGGCAGAGAACGAACGTAGTGCACTTGCTCGAGTGTCAATTGTTAACTTCCACGGACATTTGGTAATGGATACTTTCGTGAAGCCGAAGGAACCAGTCACAGATTGGAGAACTTGGGTTTCCGGCGTCAGTCCTGCCAGTATGAAAACTGGTATGAACCCACACCTCCTGCGAGGTTGTTTCCTCGCTGACGAATTGAAATATGGCAGCCATCACATTTGAGGAAGTTCAACAGAAAGTATCAGATATTTTACAGGACCGTATCCTTGTTGGACATGCTGTCCACAACGACCTCGAGGCACTTATGCTGTCACATCCTAAGCGTGATATTCGCGATACAAGCCGGCACCCGACTTTCAGAAAGATGAGCCAAGGGAGAACGCCAGGGCTGAAAAAGCTCACAAAGGAGATACTGGGGTATGAGATTCAAGGCGGGGAGCATTCATCGGTACGTGATCTCTTATAACCCGTGAAATTAAGTCAACCTAACGATATGACGACGGGTAGATTGAAGATGCTCGAGCATGTATGAGTCTCTATAGACTGCAGAAAGATTCTTTTGAGACCTTGCATGCAGCCAAGTACCCAGGACATGCTAATAAACAAAGAGGGAAGGGAGCTAGCGGTAAGAAGAAACAGAAGGCGTAGCTAAAATTACTTGTACCTATCTGAGCTTTAATCATTACCCTTTACGCGCGATTATCATCTCCTGATCAGAAAGAACCATTACTGCGCATATGATACCGTCATTTCGCCTGATATATGAACGTAGCTAAAGGAAGACAATAAGATAGATGTAACTACAAGTAGAATCCTTGTTTAATTGACTCGTATAAACTGCAATTAGCTAATCTTCTAGACTGGATCAAACATCATTCGCTGTACAAGTAAATTTAATATCGTGCCAGTTAGGAAAATTTATTGTTTGTCGCCCGCAAGATCCATTAATCACCCCCCACATTTCAGGCTCGGTTTTATAATGGTATCCCCTCATATAGTTCTGTAGCCCCTTCTCTTCCAACGCTGAAAATGATATCGTTCAACACCTTGCTCTTAAATCCGGCTTCACAATAGGTAAAATAATATACCCATTTTCTTCTAAATACCTCCGCATCGTCATTCCTCATATTCGGATGCTGCTTCTTTAACGCAGGCGCTATTTGGGTATCGAATTTCTTCAGGAATTCCTCGCACCAAATCCGGAGTGTACGAGTGTAATTCCCACCGATATTGTCTACGGATTCAAGGACAAGCTCGCCTGCAGAGCCCCTATTTATAGAGCTCACCAGCTGTGTATGGGAAGGTAGGTAACCCCCTGGAAAGATGTATTTGCGAATGAAGTCATTGCCTTTAGCGTAGCTATCGGATCTCTATAGTACAAGAATTAATTAAGCCCCTCAATAATGGTAAGTAATTGGAAGAATTTCTCTTACAGTTTCTGGCATAGTGATACACTGGAATACTGCAATCCCGCCGTCGGCTTTCAGAACCCGGTGGATGACCTCGAAATAGGTGTCCAAGTATTCCTTTCCAACAGCCTCTAACATCTCAATCGATACAACCTTATCGAACTTCTTTTTCGGCGTCTTCAACGCACGGTAGTCACACAATAGCACTGTAATACTATCTGCCAATCCTGCCTGTGCAATCCGTTTCTCTGCCAATATTTTCTGCTCCACAGATAGTGTCAGACTAGTCACCTTACACCCTGTCTTCTTCACTGCCTCCATGGCGAAGGATCCCCAGCCTGTCCCAATCTCGAGAACGTGATCAGCGCTCTTGATTTTGGCGAGGTTAATAATTTTGTTCAGCTTCTTGTACTGCGCTGCTTCCAGGTTTGTGTCATTGGGAACGGAAGTGTCGAAGAGGGCACATGAGTATGTCATGTCGGGTGTGAGAAAAGCGGAAAACATGTCGTTGGAAATGTCGTAATGTGCTGCCACATTAAGGAGGGAATTTGTCATTGTGTTTGTGGATCTTACGATGGAAGTCAAGGAATTGAACACCGTGGAGGAGATGGTATTTGCATTTGAAAGTTGAGCACGGTTTTTGATAAAGACCTATAAGAGGACTGTCAGCTTGGGAAGGTGGAAAGAAATTGGAAGTATTACGGTGAAGAAGGAACATAAGTCTGAGCATTCGACTTCCCCGAGCATATAAGCCTCCGAAAATCCCTATTAATCTGGTCAATTTCCACCACCTAAAAATGATGATGTAAAAAAAAAGGAGAGTACCATATCTGCAAATAAGAGCAGTCGGACCCAGAACATATCACTCTTAACCTCGAGATGACTCGATGGAGAACCTCCAGGGCCATATGAGAAAGTCTTTCCATCTTGGGTCTCAATAATAAGAGAGCCTGTCTCAATTCGTTCCAGCAGCATCAATATTGATCTTTTTGACAGGCCTACGAGAGGGCCCCATGTCACACTGCCGATGGTAGAGGCTATTGTTGAGAGAAGCTCCATTTCGAGAAATCGATTGATCACAGATGGAATTTAGAGTAACTGTATGAGGATGGGAGGGAGGGAAGTAGGAAACTTATGACGAGAGCTAGAGATGTAGGTTTTTGATTATCTATAACATGATGAAGAGAGGGTTTATACATTTATATATGTACTTGCTACATGTAGTTCATATTCCGTATGGAAACGGAAAAGAATCTATCCGGAGAGCTTGACCATAGTTCATGCTCGTTAATTGATTCAAATTTCTGAATTGCATAATGGACGAGCATTGTACATGTACATGGTTTCGCGGTGTAATAGACCTCCGGGCTCTGTCTCTTTGAGCTTAACAGGACCCTTGCCGCTAGCTACAAAGTATGTAGAATACATGTATGTAGCTAAGATACTATTAGGTACCCTTAACTCCTTCAATGGACTTATCCCTTCGCCTGCGCCAAACCCTCACTAGACCATACATTAACTAGTAAATATTTCACTAGTAAAGAAGCTCTCATATAGCAAGGGGGAATCTAGTACTAAAATCTCAGCAAGGGACCACATTTAAATTACTTACGATCACTTTTGTAGAATCAATGACGTCTATTCTCAATTTATATCGTGACCGGACCCTCCAGAGTCAGGGCTGTGCAAGTGTGCTATTGATTCTAGATGGTAGGTCTGAAGCCCTTTAACAGTAACCGAAAATGATTGTCGATGCGTAAAAACAGTTTAGTCCCTTCATGTCAAAGTCTATGCAGTCTTTTGTGCCTGGATCACACGGTTTTTTGTTGATGTCGACATTTATTTACGATCTGAAGCGTGTTTGTACGTTCCGCTTATCGACGCAAGAAATGATTGTAATAGGGTTAGGGGGCCACAAGCAGGGGTGTATTAGAACAGGTTGGCATGTGCACGCCCCAGCGAACCCTGCCCAGATCTCTTATGCAACGCTAAGACATCGGTCCTGCAGATGCCAGGGCGCCACTGTACTCTACTCTACCTAATTGTACTATATTCGCAGCAGAGTAGGCACAGCACTCACTGCCTAACTAGTTCATGTATCTAACAATTCTAGTATTAACAGCCCTGGTTGGTAATTAAGTAGATCTAGTATAGAGAATCACTTGATACGGTTTTTGAGCTTGATAATTATTCTAGACGCATGGATATATATACACGATTGACGAGTCTTACTCCTATCCCTGCTTCATCACAACGACTTCAAGAATTGGTAACTAAGCTACATATGTATATAGCACTCTCAATACACGTAGATACCCCCATTTTGATGAATGTTATACAGTTACTAGGTTTGTTGAGTTTATACACACCTTTAAGTCCATGGTCATGAACCGCGTCGACTATTAATAACGATCTAGCTATTGTAGTTGTGGCTTAGATAGCGGTGTCAAATTAATGTATGTAGTCTCATTCCCAAACTTCCGCCACTTCGCTTGCTTCTTTGGGTACATGTGGTGTTAAACATTATATATATTTCCTACGTGTTAGAGGTTTCATAGCACATGACATGTCATGTCGTCCCTTGTTACCTACTTCCTTACTTTGGGTTTCGCATTAAACGCTTTTAATTTACTGATCATGACTGATGTTGAATACACTCTTTAATGAGTACCGTATATCACAATGATCATCATACTAAGCTTGTCAGCTAGCAGCCAGTGGTTGAATCATAGCCTATCACTCATCTTTGCTGGTGCCCAAATTTCCAAACCGTACATGTACTTCTCCAGCAGACCATCAATCAGATGAACTCTCGAGGCCTTTTATTGTGTTAGGCGTTAAGAACAGTTTATCCGTGTATTCCCATTATACCTATAGAGGTTTCTTATTTGATTTAGAGTATCCTTTTCAGCTACTAGATATAGTATACGTATGTAGATTAATTAGGCGTTGATTTTGGTTCAACGTCGAATGCTGCACAACATTGTAACCCTCGGATCGTGGAGCCACTGATGTTTTTTACTCTCCTATACCTAGCCCTTCGCCATGGTCAGAAAAATTTAATCAATCGTCCTTCCGTTACTTATCTATCAGACAACTAGCTACATGTGTGTAATAGTTATTTGCGATTTATGTACTAATCAAATCGAGAAATCAAAATTTAGGAGTTACAAGATTTATTCCTCTAGCCAAACAACTTCCTCCTCCTCACCATTCGCTCTAATACCCTTAGCTCTTTCTAGATCCTTCATCTCATTCTCCCCCACAATTTTACAATCACAGATGCCTTGGAACTCAATCAACCCATCACTATTTAACTTTTCAAGCGCAGCCTCGCTCGCACAAATTCTTGCAGCTTTCGCAGATGGTCCTTTCCCAAACGCGAAAACCTTGCTATGGATCAAAATCCCGGTGAGAATAAAGTACTCTTCTTCAGTCCTGATTTGCTCACTTTCGTAACCCCAATTGGTGCAACCCAAGTCTGTCATGCGCTGAGTGAGGAAGGTGGTCGGGTGTTGGCCAGCAAAATCTGGGATGGCATGTTAGCGCTTGGATATAGAGATAAAACAGACTGGGGAGGACTCTTACTGTCATAAATAGTCATGTCAACGAAGTATGGAAGGATGAAATCAGAGACGAATTTTTCAACTATCTGGTAATTGAATTCGGAGTCGACAAATAAGGCACCGATAAATGCCTCGAGGATATCAGGTAGAGCCTTTGGTGGTGGGCTTACTGATGTCCAGAAGTCAACTGCTCCGTTCGATTTCTCTTTGGCCTCTGTGATTTCTATCGCATAGTCTCGAATCGCAATATCTAAATGCTGGCCAACTCTCTTAAGTTTTCGATGAAAGCCCATTTCGACAGAAACGGCGCCGAGAAACTTGTTTGAAACCATGGCCATCTTTACAAGATTAGTACTCCGGGAACATAATATATACGAGTAGAGTAAACTTACTTTGTGCTCGGTTAACCATTGGGGATCTGCCTCTGGATATTTATTAAAGATATACCGCACACACACCAGATCCAGTAGAGAATCTCCTAAAAATTCCAGCCTCTGGTAGCATGGCACCTTCTCCCAAGAGTAAGGATTACTTGAATGTGTGAACGCAGACACAAGTAACTTTGGAGATTGAAATTTATAGCCAATCTGTTTCTCAATGTCCCTTGCTAATTTTATCTGTGAAGCAGAGGGCAGAGCAGTCTGGTATCCAGGTTTGGTATATCCTTTGTAGTAATCCGCCCATTCTTTCTGCTGGTGTTCTGGTGTTTGTAAAATGGCAGTTACCATCTCGGTAGCGCCATCAAGGCCTTTGTCAATGAATGCTGCTCCTATCAAGGCCTCACATACATCGGAAATAGATTTGTCGGCGAGCCTATGTAGACTGCCTGGCTTACTAATTTTCTTACCAGTGCCCTTTCCTAAAATCTGTTTCATGGTGGCTGGATACCACCAGCGGCGCGAGAATCCCTCCGTTTGGATATAAGTTGGTAGGTTGATTCGTTTGGCTTTTTCAAATAGGTGCTGGTTGCAAACGAGTAACATACGTTTAACGTGCAACTGATACTCGTCGTTCTCATGATTTTCCGCAAAAAGACTAACGGAAGATGCCTTAAAACAACAAGGATTAGTAGCCAAATTTCCACAACATAAAAGAAGTATCAACACTTACTACTTTCAAGAAACAATCTCCTAAAAACTCCAAGCGCTCATAATTATTTCCCATTCCTTTCCTTGGATTCACTTGATCTTTATTATGTTCATGAGAATTATCGGAATCCTTTGTGATAGCCTCTAAAGCCAGCCCAAGATCCAAGTCTTCCATTCCTAGTAGCTTGCAGACGTCCCAAGCATGAAGGTATGCATCGATTCTAGTGCTGATAGACGGAAATATCATGGCCATATGTATAATGTGACACGGTATCTAAAATTATGTTAATTGGCATGAAGATATTTAGCAAGAGTTATAAGCCTATACCATAGAAACTTGAAAAGCCGAAGGGCAAATCCAAGCTTCGGTACACGTATTCGCATCCTTCTCAGTAGGGGGGTCCAAGTAATTCAGCCGATGCAGCAGTCGGTCAGCTATTAGTACAGGTTCTGTCTCCGGGATTTTCCATTTTATGTACTTCCATTTTGCAGCACCCTTTTTCCCAGCATTATATGAGTAGTCAAGTATATTGGAGATTGTCGATCCATGAGCTATTTGCATTGGAACAGGATCCTTGGGACTTAACGTTGGATCACAATCATAGACAACGAAACGTCTACTCCGCTGCCTTCTATCCACAAGAAACCTATCAACGAAGTTATTGATTGGTGTTTTGTCATTCCACTCTAATTGTAGGGAGGACATGATGTCTGTCATCATTTCCCAGTCAAGTACATCGTCAGCTAAGGTTTCCTCATTCCACTCTCCGCTTTTGCACGGTGCGATCCAATATGGAAACGTCGAGTCGTCTTGCTCAAAAAGCTTATTGAATAAGTCGTAGAACAAACGTATAGTGAACCTACTGAGCAATTCAAGTTTCTCAACCGTTACATCCAAAGGTTTATTTAGACGTAATGAAATAACATCTGAAAGGGCACCTCTATCGGAATATATAGGAAAGCTTGGAATATTAGGAAGCTTTTCCCTGGTAGCGATAGCTATTGGCAGAAGCCTTTCATTGATCTCCTGTTGATTGGATAAAAGAAATATAGTTATCCAAGCCTGTGGAGGAGGTATGCTATCTTGGATTGTCCAGAATGTAGGTTTCTCTTTCGATGCATAATTTTGAGTCTTGCTGGAATCCAAGGCCAAGTGTGCATTGGCCATCTTTGGAATATCCCTCAGTCTATATTTTGGGAGGAGGTGAGCATTTAGATGTTCTTTAGCTCTGAGTTTCAAGCAAGCTTCGAATGCAGCGGCTCTTTTTGCCCCGGCTTTAGTAGTCATGACTGCGCCCTCAACGCAAGTGATTGGCGATCCAGCAGGGAGTAATAATTCACAGATATACGACCTATCTCCAAGATGGCGGACTTTATAGATAGGTGGAGATAAATCTTCGCCATCATGAGGCTATTATATTATTCTCAGCATTGCCACCACCTGGGGAGATATTTTAGGACTTACCAAGCTACCAAGATAGTGTCCCATAATTTGCATTGCAGACGAAAAGGTTAGCTTCGCACCGCTCTCTGGCTCGATGTAAATACGATCGTTTTCATCAAGGAGATGTTCGCTATTGGGTGGTTCGTTAAGTAATCTATCTTCCGGAAGGCTTTGACAAAACGTTCTCATGATCCCCTCTGCGCTTCGTACGTCGCCGAGAATTCTCCTATGCTCTTCGTTGCCGGCCTCCAGCATATGAATATAGCGAGATTTTGAATGACGTGCTCGTCCTCTCGACTGGATATATTGAATCATCGTGGTATATAGATCAAACCTATTTCTAAATTAGCTTCTAGAAAAGGGATATAGGGATAATAAAAATTGGGAGTGATTACGGGAATCACGTCACTAACCTAATAATCAAACTACAATCAGGTATATCCAAGCCCTCCTCCGCCACCGAAGTAGCAATGAGACAATTCAATTTACCCCTCCTGAACTGGCTCACAGTTATCATTTGTTGTCTGAAAGTGACGTTCTCATCACCGGCACCGGAGGAACTTGATCCAATAAGGATACCAAGTTTCATATGCTGGCTCCCGACTTCCTTCAATAGTGCAGCCAGGACACGAGCAGTGTATCTTCTACTGACAAAGATGATACACTTGTTGTTGTTTTCTTCGGCATACACATGTCTAAGGAACCGATGCAGTAAAACTACCTTTGAGCTTAAATCACTGGTCTCTGGATCCGGGGTGTCAAAAATATGATTCTGAACATCCGCCTTTGCTTCCCGGAGGAGTTGTATATCCTTTTCGATAAGATCGAGACCATTCTGACTACTTTGGCGATTCACATTGCGTTCCTCTTTACGCTTGAGTTTGCGGTATTCTTGTTCAGACAGTGCAAATCTCCATACTTGATCTGCACACCAAGGGCCGAGTTCGGAAGCACACTGCTTGGAGAACGCAAATATCTTTCCGAAGGATTCGTATTTACCATATTTGCTGTAGAGTTTTGAGCAGAGCTGGGTTTGAAATGGAGCTTGAAGCTTGCTGTATGCTGCAACTTCCTCTTTAGGGCGGTTAACAGAGCTCTGGAGCAGCATCAGGTCACTTGCAGTTGTAATTTTGCTGTGAAGAAGTTCTTCAAGCTCTCTATTTTAAACATAAGGAATTAGGTTAAAACAGTTATTTAGGATTGGAGCACTTACAAGGCAGCCTGAACAACATCAACTCGTGCGTCAACTGGTGAAGCTGTCATCCCGAAGATTTTCGGTCTCATATCTTCAGGCCCACATATATAGAAATCTTTAATTATCCGTGCATATACATGCCTTTTCTTTGCGTGATGCGCCTCATCAAAGCAAAGAAGATTTATATCTTCCATCGTGATAAATGCATGCGTGAGGCAATTGTAAAGCACATCTGCCGTCATGACAATAACCTGCTCATCATCAAGAATTTTATCCCAAATATCTTTTTTCCAGAGATCAACTCCCATGTTACCACAATACTTGCCAATCTTTGCATCAATATTGCAATTCAAAACTGCCGCCTGCTGAAAAACAAGTGTTACACAGTCGACAAGAAAAAAGCTGACACGGCGGTGACGACCAAGCATACGAGATTCAAGCTCTTGGTCAACCATATGTCGGATTAAAAGACAAGCAATAAGGGTTTTGCCGGAGCCTGTATCAAGCACTGCGATGGTATTTCGTTCCTTGGCAATTTCGAAAAGCTCCATTTGATATTCACGAGGGTCCGAGATAATGAATTTGTGAGATGTAATCATTGCTCTCGCGGACATTTTTTCCTCATCCTGTTGATGACGTTCAATTATTGCTTCGATTTGGATTTCTTTAGATTTCCCTTCACACCTGGTATATATTAATTCCAGTACTATCGCGGGGCACCAGAGGGCAGTTTAACCAACCATTTAGCAAATTCTCCTTGGCGCACTCGACGCCTAGCAGTTATGCGTTTTGTATATGGCTTATGGCTAACGAGCACAATATCTTTGAGATTTCCTAAAGCTTGAATCTCTGCATTTTCTTCATTTTCATTTTTATCCCCTCCTGAAGATGTGTGATTAGAATCGTCATCCACTATATCCGAGGAGTCTGGCACGGATTGACCTGGGGCTTCTTTAAACCCCAAAAGTTCCCCGAAACCGGAGGCTGTTGTTGACATCGATATAGGAGCCCCCTCCTCAGTTCCTGAATGGTTCTTGAAATGCGGATCGCCACTGATGTCGATATTTGGCACTTCCCTTGGTTGAATAAGATGTTCCGTTGGTTGTTGTTCCTGTAGCATTTCTTTGGGAGATGTATCGTGGCTAAACTTAGACCGGTCTTGATTGGGAGTCTCAGTCGCAATATCTTTTGGAATGATCGCTCCGTTATTGCTACCTTTACTAAGTTTTTGAGCAATAGCAGCGAATCTAGATTCTGTAACGAAGGAGTAGCCTGCGCTTCCTAGAACCGGGCCACCGACTTCTGAAGAGATAGTTTTCACACCATCCGAACCAGAATCCAACCAAGAGCCAGAGAGTTCCTTGGCAGGCGGCGCCGAAGTCTGCCAGGGAAATGCCTTAGCTTCAGGGCTGCATTTCAATACACTAAGAGAGATTGGAGTTGTTTCTTTCTGATTGGATGTAGGGCTTGGCTCCCTCTGCTGAGAAGGCTGTACCAGGCTTTGGGCCTCTTTTTGGTTGATTTCTAAATGAAGGTCGGAAGCAAGTACTTTCTCTGCAAAATGATCGGATGTTTGTGTGTATGGGTTCATAACGACAGGAGTTTTGGAAATCATGTAAAATCCAGACGTTGAAACGGTACCAAAACTCGAAATTGGATTTTTTACTTCGTTCTGGGGTGTGTAAGAGCGTTCAATATCCTGTCTTGACGGGAAGTTGATATCAGAAGTCGGAATGATAGAGGGGCCGATTCTATTAGACGCTAAAAAACGATCTTTAGAATCAGATTGAGGAGACCTTTTGGAATGACCGGTTTTGTGGTTTCCTTCATCATGCGAATTTATTCGAGATAAGGTCGAATCACAGTATTCGGGGCTTAGTACCGTGTTGTTTTGAGTGTTAGTGAAAATATCTTTTATCCCCGACTCTAATTCGGAGTCACAAAGGGTATCATAAGCTCTAGTTGGCGCAACGTTTATTGGTGTTTCACTACCATTGGGTATTGAATCTTTCACTGAGCCCCGAGATCCAACATCGAAGCCACGGAGTTTCTGGGGAAATGGCCCACTCGTCGAGACAGCTCCCCGATCGTGCGGATTCTGAGAACTCAGTGTATTCATAATTTTAAACATATCTAACGGCTTTAAAGAAAGGAAATCGACGTTTTTCTTGGACTTGGTTTGCTCAAGCGAAGGGTTATCATGTGCAAACATAGTGTCTGGGCTGCCTAATTGATTGGAAGTTGATTCCATTTTAAAAAGATACCAAAACCGAGAAGGGAATCAACAGGGGAAGGTCAATGGACGGTAGCTAAGGTGTGATGAATGCTGGATGCTGCGTGCCGGCTGCCGGATGCTGAATGCTGAATGCTGAGTTGTGGTGTTGTGATGGCGGTTGTGGCATAAAAGTTGGGAGGTAGGTAATCTCACATCCAAGTAATTCTGGGTGGGTTTTATATTATGATCGATTAAGGCATCAAGATCTAGTGAGTACATGTAGGTAGTTTACCCGAGCTGAAGAGTGACAACCGAAAAAAAAATCAGCGTTAAGGCCATCAACGCTTAACGTAGCAACTGATTGGCGCAAATAATCCATTGACATAGAATTAAGCCTTTCGGGAGAACTAACAATATTAATAGCCTCTAGCTCTGCGGTAACTTCCGTGTATATTAAAGAAGGTTTAATAGGTCGAATTCAGTATAGAAGACCCTTCGTTAATTCTCCTTGAGATAGTAGACCTAGAACCGATCTTCTATCAGTGTTAAGGTATCTTGGCCAAATCTGCAGTACGTCGTGTACATGTAGTGAAGAGAATTAATCACATGGAGAACCAGTCTCCGTTTTAAATAAGCCGTATAATCATTAAAGCGGCAACTGTTAGCTACCGTAGAGATACAGAATCGAATTCAATTGACGTCGTAGAGATCGCATAATATTTGCATAAACCTAATAGACACAGCAGTATTGATTATACCAACCTTCTTAGTACGTGTAGCACAGTACTAGTATACTCGTGTAGGATACATGTAGGTATCTTTTTTTATATAGAGAGAGACAAGGGGCGTAGGGACGATTTCAACTCTAACCAAAAGTTATCATGACGGGACCGTTGTCGTTTTCGGTTGTGGAGAAAAAACGGTTTGCCTAAAACATCATTTTTCAGGCACCCCGCGAAAGGAAATGATAAAAATGACAGGAAGATGCTCAATAGGGTAAGCGATCTCCCATGTCAAGGGTCCCAGCAGCCGCGCTAAGATAAGCTCAAAGAGATAAGATCTTAGGTACGATAAGATCGAGGGGCTCAATGCTCAAGCCTCAAACGACTCTCACATGCTTCCTCAGCATCGTATTCATCAAAATGGCCCTCAACGAACAAGAAGATTCTACCTCTCTACGGTCCATCTTTGATACTACCTCGCGTCTTCGCGTAGAAATCGAAGAATCGTACGACTACCAAAGCGACGCCTATCAAGATAAGCTACGCGCTGCGCTCACCTCATATCAAAAATGCAAAGACCTCATTGATCAAATTTCTCTGTTTAGCTCAAACGAAGGACTGGAGGATGTGAGCTCGAGTGAAATTAGGTTTGCGCAATTGGCGTTGTGCCCAAGATAAATAGTTGCTGACCGATTGAAGATACATGCTCGTCGACTTCTACCTTGCGGAGCTGAGCTTAAAGGAGAATGCGCAGAATAGAGAAACTGTCCTAAAGCGTTCTAGAACACTTTATAATAGGTTCTTATCACTATGCGATACCTATGATTTGCTTTCTACAACCGACAAAAGTGCGTTTGAGAAGGGCGCTGTCTCGTCTTCTCCTGCGGACCCCGCAACCCGAAGAAATGAGAAAATTGCAAAATATAAAGCCGAGAAAGAGCTTAAAGCAAAAATTGAGGTAACTTTGCTTATTGTGATACAATGCTGGAGTGGCATCGCTGATGTCGAATACAGCAACTCTCACAAAACTCTCACAATCTTGATGAAACTGATGTCCGAGCCCTTCACCTTGCCTCAATCTCATTGTCCATTATGAAGGCACTACAGGGCCTTGAAATGATCTTTCTCGAACTTGACATTCTTTCACGTGCTCCCAAACCCTCAGACACTCCCCAACCTCCTCCTGAACAGGACTCCCGATCACAGGGTCGTAAAAACCCTGCAGATAGCTATAGCGAAAAGCTCGACCTTAATATAGCATCCAGCATGAAAGGAGGGCCCTTATTGTCTTCTTCTGGAAAGCCATTACGGCCATTTACTCTACTAGACAGTCGAGAAAGGTTGAAAGCAGGTGTATTCAAAAGTGGACATAATTTGCCGACTATGACCATCGATGAGTACCTGGAAGAAGAGCGAAAAAGGGGAGGTATTATTGAGGGTGGGGGGGAAAAGAGCGGGATAATACCAGAGCCCGATGAAGACAACTACGAGAAGGCAGATGCAGAGACTATGAAAGCAAGAGAGTGGGACGAATTTAAAGAAGCCAATCCAAGGTTCGTTTCCACAAGACCTTGGCTTTCCGTTCATCCTTTAACTACTATGTTAACATTATTTTAGGGGTTCCGGCAACACACTAAATCGAGGATAGGTGATTGGTCTCTGCGAGGCTAAGGATCTCTTGTAAGGGATAGGTGTACTATGTAAATTTAGCAATTTCAGTGGTTCAACTACTCGCGTCATACATACATGTTTACAGGGTTGCAGCATAACGTAAAACATCAGTCGTGGTCAGATGATCTTCATCCGCATTCTATCCGTCTATTTGTATTACTTTAATCCTGTATCCAAAGAGTCAATGGTACAGATAGGTCATGCCTAATAACTATTGGCTTAGAGGCCGTTAATCCAACCTTAGAGGAATTTAGAATACGGTGTCTTCTTTGGTCTCAAGAGCGTTAATAAGACATGAAAAGAGTGAGCGTTAATTCTAGATATAATCACAGGTCCAAAACAGGGGACTCAAGGCAAGGATCCACGCCCATAGTATAAAAGGTGAGTTACCCATGCATGGCTAGTCAAATGGCTCTACTCATAGCTTATCAATACTATTTACAGATTTAAATTATAAACTCCACATATATAAGCCCCAAGTTACTCCCACGAGCAAGTATAGAACCTCAACCCCAACTTTACCGACCAAAGCTCCCCTATGCCAAAATGATCTCTCTACAAGAACACCTCATGACACTTGTGATTGAAAACTGGACTCAAAAAGACACCCAAGATATCCTGAAATTCATCAAGTATCTTTTCAAACAGAGTCTCATTGACGAGAATAGTGAGGACCAGATCGCCATCTCGATTATCAAGGAAAAGATTGGACTAGACGGATCTAAAAGCCAAAGAACATTATGGGTCTCCATCAGAGAGGTGGTAAACATTCCGCAGGAAGACTATATCGAACTACGGACTCAGATTCTGGAGAAGCGTGCTTCGTATATGGAGCATGCCGCATCGTCGTATACAGAAGCCGATCTACAGCGGAAGGTACTTCGTGCGCTTACTGAGTTGCTTATGAGGATGAAGATGAATGTCGGAGAGGGGCCTGGGTGTTGGAAATGTCAGCAGCGCTCATACATCGAAGAAATTCGGGTAAGATTGTAAAAGTAAGCAAGTATATGCTAATCTCACCATAACGTTGTGTTAGCGATCACAATAGTGGCTAACAAAATTGCTTTTGAAGCTTGCAATTTGTGGACCCCTTCAAATTCCCTAATAGTTATGTCTCCTATTTATCACTTACTTTCGCCCGCCCCGGTCCATCTAGTGGGGCGCCTCTCTTTTACATTAATCCTCAACTAAAAATTTGTCCATGGTACACACGATATTTGGTTCCTGGATTGCATGTTGTGCTTTTTGCAAAAAACTGTATAAGTAACCAAAAATATAATTGCATTAAATACTTAAAATTCTAAAGTTTGGTATGTAACATGTGCTCATATTGAGTATTATTTACAAGAGCCGTGCATATGCGTGATTATCGAGGCGAAGAGCCAGCACTATTATCTTCCTTCGGCCTGCTAACTTCAGCTTCCTCTTCTCTTAAATATCTCTCTTTGCCCCCCCCTCCGCTTTTGTCTTTACTTTTAGCACTTAATTTCTTTACCTCTCTTAAGATATCCTTAACATCCTTCATACCCTCTTCTAATGTTCCAATTCTCGCCAAAACTAGTCTACCAAGCATATCATCACCAACACCGCCTCTGGTCCCAGTAGCCATCGCCATTTGGGTCGCAAAGCTGGATGGGACCATTGCGATGTCTATCTGGCGAGCAAGTTCCTCCATAGTGTCGGAATTTCTTCTTCGTTCTTCGTGGTCCTTAATCAAACTTGAACTATCTATCGTTCTTCGCGAAGAAAGGACAGGGCGTGATCTATTGGCAGTCTGCGGTCTGGAAGAACGTGGGGACTTTCTTCCGGGGGAGCCCTCGCCGGGAACACTTAACCGTTCGCTTGCTCTTCGTGACATCGGGGCAGCTTGAATATCTCCAATCCGCTCGCTCACTCTGCGAGACATCGCAATGGCTTGAATGTTTTCGACGCTAGAATTTTCCCCAGATGTCCGCAACATTATTTGAGGGTTCAAAATAGTCGTTGAGGTGCCTGTACGATGGTGCTTCTTTGGGCGAATCGGAAGACCATGTTTGGGAAATTCGAGGCTTCTGGGTCTGGGTGGAGTCATTGTTTTCTGCGGACTAGGTGATCGATCTAAGTCTTGGATTGCAGCATCAGGGTTTTCCGTGTCTTCGTTTATCTCGTCGTCTTCATCGTCTTCGGAATTTCCTTCGTTGTCCGCGTCTCCCTCAGTCAAAATTTCAGCAATTGTTGTTCCTTCTCCTAATTTCTGTCCACCATCAGTCCTCCCCCTAAACTCCTCCGGATTTGAAACAAAAGATTTTGTCCCGCCAGTAAAATCCTTAGTCCGCATATTCCCTGGGCGTACCCCTTCGATTGTCCCATAGCTATCTATCCTGCGAAGAGTACGTCCACGTCTCGTTAAAGCACGCCTTCTTATAGCAAATCCGCCCTCAATATCGGTAGTCAAAGAGCCAGTGGGTGATACGACGCCATTCATCCACGAATCAACTACGCCTCCGGTCCCAATACTCCTAACATCGCCTTTGCTTACACGCATCCTCAACGAGCCCTTATAGGGCCTTCGAAAAACCTCGTCTAACGCCGCTTCTTGATGCTCGCTACCCATAACTGATCCGCCACGGAGCCTCCTAGAGCTAGTATCGAAACGATCCGATAACTCAGGGAACGCAGACTTTGTTGAAAACGCATTTGTTTGGTTGAATAGCGAATCATGAAGGGCCGTCCGCTCATAAAGAAAGATAAGCAACAGAATTGGGAAGTGTGTAATTTTAATGGCGGTCCGGTTCATCTTAACGAATGACCGAAATGGAATGAAGAACCTCAGGGGATGAATTATCCAGGCGAGAAGATTAAGTGGTGCTGTGTATGAGAATAGACTGTCCGATTTTACCAGAGAGAGGGTATTTACGGCAACAAGGAATTGATGTTCTGTCGGTGATTGGTTAGAGTTTATATCATACGTAAGAGCTAGAGATAATACCTTCTTGTGAATTAGCAGCTACTGCAGCAAATGAGTTTGTCAAAACGGTGATGAGGATAGTGACAATCAAGAAGTGGCATATTATCAAAAATGCTGTCAGAAGGATCCTGCCAAGGGGATTGTAGTTCTCCCAAACTTCCCAAGCCTATAATTGATTATCAGCAACTCCATCAAACTATACAGCCCGGATGGACACGTACTGCTGGCGTAAACCCCATTAAAATCTGGAACAAGGCATATCTACAAGTCGAGTGATTAGTTGTGATTACAGAAGGGGAAATTGGCCACATACGAGACATCCTTGGCCGAGTATGAGTCCCTCGCAAATGCAAGTGTAAATGCAACAAAGAATCCAGAGCAAGAAATTAATATTAAAACTAATAGTGCAACCATATCTACCGCCATGATCTTGAAAGCGATAATAAGTTGACTAAAATATCGATAATGATCACTATTCATATAGGACTGGTTAGATTTGTAAAATTAAAGAAGCATTCAGGGGTTCTTACAGCACGGAGAATATTCTAGGAAACAGAAAGACTGCACAAGACGCCAGAACATCGTAACCCCAATTCGTGATACTCGTTCCGTTCTCAGGTGCCAAGAAACCAATTATCCGTAAGACGTAAAAGCTTGAAGATTGTCAGAAAGACATTATTATGAAAATGAGGTAATGAAAAACTCACGCCATAAATAAGAGATATATGCCCATGTCGAATGAATTCCACAGCGATATAAAATACAGCGAGACGCCAGCTTCAGTGAAACCCGCAATCTCATCCTGTAAACCGAATGTTTAGATTATACTACGCAACCCGATATATTGAGCTTTGCTTACCATCATAAACCCAAAAGACCAAAGCCAGAACCCTATTTCCAGAACAGTGATTTCGTGCGATCTCCGTACGAGCACCATGACATATCTATTTTTATAATTAACTTCATAAATTCAAATAGGATCGTATTTACGTACAGAAATAATAAAATTGCAAGTGAAAACGTTGAAGTGATATGTTTATATCTCGGAACCCTCAATCTCGAGAGCTTGAAAAGACTTGCATCGCGAGCATCATATAGCGTGGCAGACCTGCGGAAAGGCATCATACTAGACATGGTATTTACTGAGTACTTTCGTGTATCCTTCATTCGGTGGAGCTGGTCTAAAGCAGAATGGAAAACTATTTTTCCAGTCCATATCGCCTCCAATTGTTGAATCACCAGAGGATGTGAAAGAAATTTCTTAGCCTGAAGAAAACATTAGTCTATGCTCTAATTGCAAACTTTCGAACCCCACCCTCCTGTGACCATTGATGTTGGAGGTTGATCGTAGGGTCACACTCAGTAATCATACCTCAGCGCGAATTGAAATTTCTAGGGCTGATATTCTACTTGCTCTCTGCAGTCTTGGTGGCGTAGGAGCAAATGATATGTGACCATCGCCAGGAACCAAAGCAGCAGGAGCTGGTTGACCCTGAAGGGGGTAGAAATCATAACTCAGAGCATCGATCTATTGGGGTAATGATTAGAGGCATATACCAAACAAATTTCAGGCCTTTTATTCCTACCAATTCCCTTGGCGAAAACTCTTTGAGAAGCTTAATTGCCAGCAATTCCGCTAATAATGCACGCGTCTTTGAAACAGATGCATTCCCTGGGTTTTCCTGGGCTTCCTTTCGGAACTGGAAACAATTTGCCAGAAGACTATAGAGAATACCCTTTGAAATTCTCTCGGGTCCCTGTATTAACGAGGCCAGAATTGGTTTCACTAGAAAGCTAGAAACTTGAGGTGACCGTAACTGATCCCATGTCAAGGTCGTATCCACACGGGAGATGATATCTGAGCGAATGGAATGAACCAAAGAATAAACTGGTATCGAATCTATGTGTTTGTGAGTGTTAGTTTAACTAACAATAAGATGAAACCCTAAGAGGTAAATATACCAAGTTCTGCGGCCGAAAATATTGGAAGAAGTGGAGTATCCTCAGTGTTACTTCCTTCTGAGGACTCGGAAGATGAAGAGGGATGGGAAAGGGCTGTAGTTTCATCGTAAATTTGAAAATAGTCACTCCTCTGGTCATCGTAAGCAGAAGAAAATGGGGAATGCTCTGTCCGTTCTTTTCTCTTCGATCGTAAAAGGGAAGACAACATTGCTTCTGGCCGGTTACAACTTAGAAACCAAGGTGACTGGGAGGAATTCTCACTTTTATCCCTCCAGGTCCCTACTGTTTATCATGAGCTAGCACTATAGCGCTTGTGGACAAAAATTGCGAATACTGTGGACCAAGTGGTGGCGGACTGCTCTGCGCAACGTACATACATACATTTACTCTAGCTGGTGACTATGGAGCCGTTAACGGCACCTCTTCCGTAACGACGGCCGCCCTGGAACTGAGCATCTGAAACCTATGGTCCACATTGAGAATTACACCACGGACCGAGCGCCTGCCAAGTTATCTCACCTCCCCACGCCCTGGTTCCAATCTTTATCTAATGCAGGCCCGATAACAGCATATCTATCTGTTGGTTTACTGAGTCGCATGGGTACATAACGAGTAAGATACAAGAGCGGCACTCAGTACCAATACTGTTGGCACCTCACTCATACAGCCATACTCTAGGTATGTGTTTGCAGTAGCATTTTAATTACCTCGGCCCCCTTCTATGAGATTGATTTTCCTGCAATCTAGAGTACTTATTGGTATATATCCTTTCTAATTATTTCATATTTACCTATCGAACCCTCCTAGCTACATGCCTATCGTTTGGGCGCTTATGACCTCATAAGTCCCCTTGAGAGCAACCTCGATAGGTAGGAATTTCTATATTTCGGTGAATACATGTATTGACGCAGGTGGGCAGTGCGGCTACGAGTACTTTAACTACATGTACTTTAGTAGAAAGCAAATACCTCAAACAACTGCGCAGCACCCCAGAGCTAGAAATCCGCTCAAGCTTGCTCATGCTGCGGCGCAATTGCCCAACATTTCCTAGAATCACCGAGATATTGCTCGTATCGTTGACATCTACTGTAGGCTCTAAGATGGCCTTGAATCTATGGATCTGTTGGGTGTCGTCTAAGATGGCTACTGAGCAGGTTGCGGGAAATATTTGGTTGTGGCGGTGCAATATGTCACACCCAATGATATCCTTGATTATTCCAACCACTTCGCAAGCACTCCACGGATAGAGAAGCTCCAATCTATTGATTTAGGGAATCCCTATCTCACTACTACTACTCGTATTTCTCTGACGTTTGTGGACGCGACTGGTATTGCATGCCATACAAAAATACGCCAAGCTCATGATTTTGGGTGTATGCAATAATGGCCCAGTTCAAAAACGTCAGCGAAATACTAGTACACTCCAGCTCCATACATTCACCGTTAAGTGTTGTTTCTCGCTAATATTCACTCAAATTCTTGCGGTGAGTTGACCACATGGCATGTGCACATCCTCATTCTGCACCATCATCCCACATCCCGAGCCCCGACACGCTCCTCGAAATCCAGCTTGAGTTTTCGGGAGCTGTCGGGACCATCCTCTAACATTCACCAGTTCTAATAATTTGCAGGTTGGGAAAAAACGATCACCCTCAGCTTTTCGATCCGAACAACAGCCCCACGCTACGAAACCTGTCATGCTCACCTCGCCGTCAGGATCCAAACAATAATTTATCAATGTTCAGGAAAGAGCTAGATGGTTATGAAAGTTTCTTTTCCTCAATGATTGCCATAACATGTAGCCCTGTATGTCGCGGCCCAATGAAGCCATTACCTAGATACCAGCAGAGCATGGCGACTATCGCATATCAGTTGTAGAAAATTACTGGAGTTGACCAGGCCTTAAAGTATGTATATAAATAATTCAGCTAAATCTCTCATAGTTATCTCGTTTCTGCGGACATTCAATGAGCCCCAGTTCTTATTAAAGACGATGCATAGACTAGTTAATACCTTCCCCAGATCTTTGGGGCCACCACAGGGTCCTGCAGAAATTGTTACCGAAGTTTGAACCTGTGATGCAGTTCTTGGAGCCTTCATCCGAAGACTTGCTTCATTTGCTTGGCGGCTAGCAACCACCCCACATCTTTTACTGCAGACTTCTTGTGCAACCGTCAACGCCTCAAGGCTCTGAACGTCCACTTTAAAATCAGCGGGGTCGGACAGCATTAGAATCCTCAATTTCGGAGTTTCAGACCCTGCGCGCTACACTTTTGCAAATCTCTAAAGTAAGCACCTTAGAGGGTACACAAGCTACATATACTCTACAGAAGGTTTCGGCTCGGGCTTGGGGTTACCAAATAGGCCAGTATTACCCGTCAACGTCGTCGTCACTCCGCCGCTAATCAGGTATTCGGGTGACTATGGTGAGATTCAGTTAAAAAAAAAAAAACTGATGTCTAAGGCGATAAGAGTACAGGCCAACTGGCTTCACGGCGTCATCGCCCGGCCGGAGGCAACACAAACTTCACACAGGCAGGAATATCATCAGCCTTTCCCCCACGCCCAGTCGAAAGAACTTTTACATAGAAAACAGAAGGTTGATTCATAGAACCTTTACCACCCTTAAAAACGCTACATAACCTCTACTGTAGAGTACCTATATTTACTACATATATCATAGTACTCTACTAGGGCGGGGGGGATAATCGGACATGTGAGACAATGCGGTCTCACAATCTCGGGGATCATTTTTAATGTACCTACTATTTTATCAGCCGTTGAAACACATCATGTATATCCTATGGATAAGAGTCTTTACGTATAAAAAAAGGAACCAAATAAACCCCACGGCGGGAAGGAAATTTTCCGACCCACGCAAGAAATAAAAAGGCGCCACGCGTAATGAACACAGAACCATATCATCCATGCTTTTTATTGGCTTTCGGGGTTCGGAACGGCCTAAAACACTAGTACGGTAGATGAATGGCACAGCTTATCTCAATGATCGTCCTTCCTCTGTTTTAAATTCAACCCTAGCTTGCATGACGTGAACTTGGGTTGCTCATGTTCACGACTGGCACTCGTTTCACCCACCAGAGATCAGCAGCTTCGAACTTTCAAACCAGACGACGAAGTTCCAATCCTTTATAACCCATCATCCATTTACAACTTCCCGGAGCCCCTCCAGTTTGCCGGGTCAATTCTAACGGAAGCCAAGTTAAGTGCAGAAATGTCGAGTGATAATCTATGACGACGAAAGATGGGATTCGGCGATGCGCGAAGATTAACACTTATAGCGAAGGGATCTCTTAACCCTCCAGCAAACACCGGTGGTACTTGGTTCGCTGTGTTATACAGCAAAACCTATCATAATTCCACCCCCGTGGTCGCCGAATTTTGCTGGAATTATCGTAGGGATGGAATTTAGAGAGAGGTATTTGTTAGCAATCTACAGGTATTGTTCCCTCCAACCGCTGGAAGTTTGGTAGGGATGGAATTTCGAGAGGGTGGAATTATGATAGGTTTTGCTGTATATTTAATAGAAAGGAAGGGTATTAAATATAATCCAAACACTCCAATACAGTGTAAACCCGGCTACTTATATCTACATGCCTAGCTAGAGCTATAGGCGCGCGAAGCTAGAATATTCGCACACGTACACGTATACACGATACATGTACTGATTTACATGATCCTGGTGGCCATATACATGTGATCATACAATTACAAGTAACGTATGCATATGAGCATTACATGAAAATTCAGCAAAGAAGAGAATCAGTTGATGTATTCACAAGAACATAGGTATGACTTACCATACATGTACGTACTTCATACATGTATCTAATAAATATAGCGATGTTGAAATAATTAATCACCATCGCGTCGCGCAATTAATTATTGATTGCATCGCCGCAGCTAGCGCTAGACACACCTACATATGTAGTTGTAGAGCCTTTTTTATAACTTCGCTTCCACAGAACTACATGCAGAGTAGCCCTCGTACGACTCATTTGGCCTGGTTAAGCTATTTTTTTAAGATGTGCATAAGTTCAATTTACCAGCAAGTGTATAGTGATTTAGACTCCCATACATACAAACTTACCTTGCAATATTAGCATCGTCAAAATACCTTCCTTCATATACATACATGTAAATATATCGTTCTTGCTACCGATCAACAATAACACCACAATACGTATAAATACTACACTCTACTAGGAGTGGAAATGCATCAATTTTGACGTTTCCCATACAAAAAGTTGCGAGATACACATTATTTGATGCAATAATCGACCTACTTTGTGTTAAAGGCATTCCTGTCCCATTACCGACGAGTTTACAGATGCATTTACAGGTGCTTTTACCTGTTAAAGACATGTTAAATGCAATAAATACGACTTTACTGACGACTTTACTTGTTAAAGGCATGTTAAAGGCAATAAAATACGACTCTACTGATGGTTTCCGGTGTTTCCTGTTTTCCGCCGGAAAATCAATGTTTTCCAATGAAGCCTATCCTCTAGATCTCGAGATAGTTGAGTCCCCAAATAGAATATTTTGATGGGGTCATCAAATGGTATCTGGCATCAATGGGCTTGTCACAGTTGGGGAATACAATTTCATTTTGGTGGATCCATTGTTTGGCATATACATGTAGGCAATTCTGGCTGGATGGTCCTGGTATAACCGTATGATGCCCGATGATGAATCGTTTCATTGGCGATGGCCTTCGTCAATCATGTGAAGCATCACCGGTGGCCAAAACTTATCCCCCCCCTCTCTGTATATGCCCAAAATGAGTGACAGAAGCGTGACAGGTAAAGGTGTCAGTAAAGTCGTCGGTAATATCATTAAAAAGACGTCTGTAAAGTCGTCCAATTTCCCTTAAAACGACTTTCCCTCTACCAAAATATTGACATTACCCACGTAAATCAAAGCTCGAAAAACGGCTTTACCGACGACTTTACTGAATATTCTAGGTACACATTTCCACTCCCCCTAGAGACAGCAAAGGCTTGCTAGAATCAAAAAATAGTGTAATGATACATGGAGTTGAGTGGGCTAATGGGAGCAAGCTAGTGCATACATGTACATGTAGTTTGGTTCTACATAGTAGTATACTAATCACTAGAGATGATCGATTGTTATTCAATCTCGTCATATCGCTCGAGCAGCGCTCATAGCGGAGGACGGTAAGTCTTTTTTTTCTCGCGGAAAACAGTTGTCACTTGGTGTTTTTTTTCTTCTTCTGAGAAAGGTACATGTATTCCTGGAACGTTTTGTTAATTACAGGCCTAGGGGATGAAGAGTGATTACATGTACATGTACCGGAAAGGGGTAGAAATCCACTACCGTATCCCAGTCAATACGCTAGTGATGCTGTAAGAATACGGTATTGATACGGTATCGATATGGTATTCTACTTACGATGCTGGTTTAAACCAGTATTCTTGACTCAATACCTTAGTCCCACGGTAGCAATTTTACCCTCATTTTAGTGACGTTAACCCTTACCCTATAGTTAACCCATATACATTTCATATCACCCAGTATGTACATGTGTGATGTCACTATAAGGTTCGTAGGATTAGAACCGTGAGGTTGATATATATATACTAATAGAGTCCTAATATCAAAGTCTTCCAATAACGGTAAAATATTTTGAGAAAAAAAAGTATATGGAAATCCACAGTTGAATATATGTTTGCGTAATGTAATCATGATCAATCACTCGGAAATCTAACTTGCTGGGGATGTTTTGTTATATTATGCTGGAAAAGCTTATAATTATTGTCGGTAACCAAAATAGTAAAGAATGTTTCATTATCATTCTTCTAAATATTTTAGAAGGTAGTCTGGAGAGGGAGTGTTAATATCTGCTGCACCGTCCTATAGTGTGATTAGGCCCCTGGCTCTCTAACAGTTCAATTACGGAAGTCGGTTGTATATCCCCAACATCTATCCAGTTCATAAACAGTCGTGATCCAAAGAACGCCAGAGAAAGCAGTGCTTTTATTCCTATCCCCTCCTTATTTTCACATTTCAAAGGCTTTAAGCCCTCCCGTCTACTTCTTGTAAATCCGCTACACCCAGGCCTCGTCCAACCTTGACATTCCTCTTCTTCTTTGTCTTCTTTTCTTTCGGGACGTCGCCGTCAATATCGACATCCTCACCAACGGCCTCGTCCTCATCCTCATCCTCGCTCTCGGGCTCTTCAAGGAAAGTAAGGTCTTTTCGCATGGAGTATGCGTTTTCGCCGTCTGCATAGTATTTCTCTTCTACTTTATCGACCTCGAATTGGAGCGTATCGCGGTAGAGGTGGAGCGCGGCCTTGTTGGAGACACGGACGTGGAGGGATACATATTTCGCGCCAAAGGCTTCGACCATGGCTTTCTCTATAGTAGTTCTACATGAGTGTCTATCACCCCAAAAGCCGTTTCACGGATATATTTGAACTTACGGCTCTGCCTCATCAACTTTTCCGCCAGCCCCAGCCGCCGGTGGGTGCGCATGACACTTAAACTAGTAATGTGCCCATGCTGCACACCATCTGTTGGCTCTTCCTCCATTTTAGCAAGCACATAGCCTACAATCTTTGGCGGTTCCCCAGGATGGTTATCGGCGTACGAAAGGTCAACCGCTACGTAAGATAATTGCGGCCATGAAAGAGCATGGTAGAGGTAGTACTTGAGGAAGTAGTTTTCGGGTAGGTTGGTGATATTTGCTAGCTGCACGTGGGGAATGTCGGATGGCTGTAAAACGCGAATATCCATTTTGATATTCCTGTGATTTAGGAATTGATGGATTGCAGGCTGATGAAGTTGTGTTAGGCGGGTAGTAGTGGGGTGTCGCGAGGGGTGACTGGGGGATATTTAATTGGATGATGCTGCAACGGTTGAGCTTGTAGAGAAATGAAATTTTGGCTTGGCTTGACCATTCTGAAAGCGGTTCAATGTCTTGGCATCTTATGGCAAAGAAGTCGGAGCTTTGAAACCCCCATACCTGTCCTACCGATAATGTTTGTGTAGAAAAAAAATTTTTTTTTTTACCACATGGCCCGTGAATAGACCTTCATCAATACCTACATACGTTGTGCATGTACCAAACTAGAGTATTTACTCTGTAAGATCATGTAGATATGAGCTGTCACCAAGCCATTCGACTGTTGCGCTATGTCCGTAAGATTCTAAGTTAGCGTAGAGTTGAAACATTTCGTGAAGACGATTAAACTCATGAGTTTTGGTGCTACATAGTAGATCACTTGAGTACAGCAAGATGTAGTACTCGTATTGCATGTACATTTCCGTCTCGGACGATCCGATCATTTCGTAGAACTGGGCTGAAAACCTTTCATGAGAACTTTGAGGAAGAATGTAAGGCGTGAAGGGGGGAAAGTCGAGAGGAATGTGGCTGCAGGAACAAAGAACTGGCCTTACTGACATGCAGACAGCTGTCTTCTTAGACTCTGCATCTCGCCTGTCTTGAAAAGACGTGTTTCGGCTAACTGCTTGTGAGTAAGGCAAAGATCGACCATGTCTATTCTGGAAGAATGCCTAGAATGGGAAAACATTGGATACCAGAGTGTGGGTGGTGATGGATGGGGAACCTGGTTAGGTAGAATTCAATGAATTAATTGGTTCCTAGAAGACGAAGCTCTTTGTTTCCTATTTGGGACCTCCCCATTCATTTTTCACCACCTTTCTTCTCTTCCGCCTACCCCTAATTCATTTATCGTCTCTTTTTTCACACACATTTCTCCTCTCTCTTTCCCTCGGATCTTGATCAACAAAGATAGGTTCACAGCTTTATAATTGTATCGTCACGTACCAGCCAAGTAAGGTGTCGCGTCCGGGTAACGATTTCCCTACTTTAATGACAACCCTTGCCGCGGTCCTTCACATTTCAAGGAAACTTGCCGCGTCTCTGGAATCTCCTCCCTAATAAATAAACACACCACAAAAGTACACATTCCAGTTTGCCAGCAGCCACATAGACCCTGGATTTATAGAGGAGTGTCACAGTATCCGTCTGCATTGCTCATCACGAATCCTCCATCCCAACTGGTGGCCTTACGTGATTGACGTTTGACAACGTCACACCATTCGATCCAAACACTTAAAGGAAATCAGAGTGGTTGGGATTTCCAACCGCAATAAATAAAAATCATGGACTTCTCAAATTCAATATCACGAAAGCACCCGGCGGAGTCGACAAACTTTACAACCCCCATAAAAAGACGCCGAACAACCGTAGTTCACACACCTGTTCCGCAGAATGCCCGGATCATGTTCGACAAGTCACAGAATTCGTCATTTACATCTTTTTCGTCAGCCGAAGGGGGAATTCCTTCTACCGCTCCGCGTTTGCGTATGAATGCACCAATTACTCCTGGTCAACCCCGTACTGCAGCACCGGACATGGGCGCTCCAAACACCGTGGGTGGCAATAGGACGAAGCTCCTAGAACCTCGTTTATTTGCTCCAAAGCCCTTGCAATCGCCATTTGCAGCACGCTCGATGCGGAACAGAAAGCCAACAGAGTCTAGTTTTAGGTTTCTTACACAGCTGCGGAAACAGCAGGCAGAGGCAGCAGCTCGACCCCCTGCTAAAGTTAACCCTCCCGTTCCCGTAGCGATGTCACCATCTGAAAACCCACCTTCATCTAAAGGCTTAGCAGACTCAGCCAATGGATCGCGTGTAGCAATCTCTTCAGCTACAGCAGTGCAGACCCTCACTCCTGCGCGTAGAATTCATAAACCCAATTTTAGATCTGAACGAAAGCCATCGCCAAGGCCTCCAGGCTCGCCCTCGATGTATCATTTTGGGGGCAATACGAGCACATTACATTTACCCTTTTTTGGCACTAGTGCACAAAGTCCTACTGCTTCTAGTCCAAATGCGCCCGAACCGCGGCTGGGATCCTTCGTGTCTAAACCTTCTTCCGGGGAGACTGCTGTTCGAGCTGATGGTATTATAAATTTCCTCGCTAGTTCAATCGAGAAAGCTAAACAAGCCCTCGCTGGAAACCGCGCCGATCGTAATGAAGAGCGGAAAGAGAAGGAAAAGGAAGCTATTCGGAAGAAGATTGAGGAAGAACAAAGAATCAAAAGGGATGAAATCTTCAAAGCGGAGATACAACGTGAAAAAAATGAAAGGGAAGAGAGAGAACGCGAAGAGAGAGAACAACAAATTTGTGAAACGGGAGACAAAGGTAAAAATACGGAGAGGGATTGGTATGCAGATGGCGCTCCATCATTTGTGACCGAAGATACAATTCTCGATCCAGTGGATTACACGCCGAATGGGTTCCATGAAACTACTTTTGTGGAGGAAGAGTCGACCCAAAATCAAAATCCCTCCATTATTGCATCGTCACCCATTGTGAGGTTTAAGGACCTATTAGAGCAATCTACCTCCCAGGCCCAAAGTGTTAATCACGGCGGCCGTGAGGCATCTTCCGAGGAAAGTGAAGAAGAGGAGGAAGAGGAGGAAGAGGAGGAAGAGGAGGAAGAGGAGGAAGAGGAGGAAGAGGAGGAAGAGGAGGAAGAGGAGGAGATGCAGAGGAGACCGGTTGTTAAGGACAGACCTAGGTCCAAACCTACAGAAGTTATTTGTATTGATTCCTCGTCCGAGGATGGGGGCGAAGATGAAGAAATTATACAAGAGGCAGAAGAAGAGGAAGGAGAGGAGGAGGGCGATGAAGATGAAGACGATGAAGACGAAGGCAAGGATGGAACTGTAAACATGAAGTATTTTCCCTCAAATCATTTCTCAGAATGTATTTTATCTAACCAAGCTTGGATAGCCCTGCGCCTAAATTTTTATTCGATCATCCCCGCAAACTTCCCGGTACCGAAGATCCTGAGGGTGAAGACGGTGAAGGGATTGAAGAGGATGAGTATGAGGAGTACGACGAGGAAGAAACTGCAGATTATGATGACGAGGAGGATGAAGGTGAGGAAATTGCACCAAGCTCGGCCTATAAGTCAAGGCAGTTTCTTGAGGAGGACGAAGCCGAGGAAGTCATCGAGCAATTTGGAGATGAGCCAGCGGACTCCGGCGATGACGAAGAAGAAGAAAAGGAACCGAGCTACATCGAGGAAGAGACCGAAAGGGATGAAACTGATCATGAGGGCTATGGACATGAGACTTCAGTAGTAGAAGGCGATGTCGGTCACAGTTTGGACTCAACCGTCGTGGTTGATGGGTCTAGCCAATATTCATCCATGCTGACCAGGAAGTCTATTCCAGTAACCAAACTTCCAGGTGAAGGTCAGGGGAATGTAGTCCTAGAAGCTATTGTCAGCTCACCTGCACAAGATTCGGACCCAACTCTGGTTTCTCCACACCAGGAGCAGGACGCTGATCAACACTCCCCATCTCGTTCTATCACCCCAACTCCAACCAGTCTAGCGGGCATTGTTATCATTGATGATGATGCCTCCGACGGGGAATTGCAGCATGAGTCCAAGGATGTTGAACCGCAGCCAGACTCTCTCCAATTGGTTTCAGACAACGAAGAGCCCTCGGTGGTGGAAAACCCGGGTATCTACATAGATGAAGATGCTGATGTGTTTAACCGATACGATAAACACATTGGGAAATGTGACGACAGCGGCCATTTCTTTGCCGATACAGATGACAAGGCCATTGGGTTCATCAGTGCAGAAGGTGTTTTCCACGGGTTCCAGGAAGATTCGGAGAAGGGTACCAGGGCGTTGACCAATTCAGAGTTGAACGGGAAACCGGGAAATGACGATCCTAACTATGTGGATGAAGAAGAGGAAAACGAAGAAGAAGAGGGTGACAACGAGATTGAGGCAGATTTCAAGAGGGCTCTTGAAGAGGAAGAGGAAGACGCCGAGGCCGAGGACGACGCAGGTCTCGAGAAGCAAGAAGCTCTCCCGGATGCTGTTGAGCCTGAACCCAGGTCAGTTGCTGGTGACGAGCCTCTGATTGAGGAAGAGGAAAATGTTGGTGTTGATCTCCATCTTGAACTCGAAAATAATCCTATTTCCGCTTCTAGAGAAGTTGTTTTCACTCCCGCCAAGGAAGGAGAAGATTCCTTCTTCCACCACGGAAAGGAGCAACTCTCAACCCCGAAAACTTCATACCGCATGATGAGCAATGATGAATTATCGAGGAGTTTGAGACTTAATAAGGATGGAGGCCTTATTGTCAAGGAAGCTACTCCCGAGCCTCAGTCAGATGAAGATGAGACACCAGTCGACCAAATCTCGGAGAACAAGGCCGAGCTAGACAAAAAGATTGAAGACCCTTTGTTAGACCCAGCTTTGTTAGAAACGACCCAAGCCCCAGCCACGACCTCCGAAAAAGAGGAAAGATCATCGCCAGCATCCCCAATTGCCGAAGTTGAGCTTACTGTTGAATTAGAAGTTGAAGTTACTAAAATTGAAGCTGGACCCGAGAATGAGGATGACGAAGAGGCCGATACAACAATGCAGACTTGTGCTGAAGGAGAGGACGAAGCTGACACAACAATGCAGACTTGTGTTGAAGAGGTTTCGATTCACTCTGAGAGTATCGTTATCGTCGAGCGCGATGGTGGTGAAGCTGATGAGAGTGAGGGCGAGGGCGAGGGCGAGGGCGAGGGCGAACCTTTCCCTACCCTCCTTCCTGATTCATTCCATGATCGTTCTTCTATGGTTAGAGATTTCAGAGAAGGCACTGTTGAAGAACAGATTATCGAGTGGCAGCAAGGTGATAAGAGGGAGAGCTACCATAAATACAGCATCAGAGAGGAGGACGAGGATAGCGCGAGTGAGATGGAAGAGGAAGGAGCTGTCGAGGAAGAGGCGCCGATGGATGAGAGTGTAGGGGGAGAGCAGCCTGAAGAGGAAGAGAAAACAGATGTTGATGAACCTGAAGAGGGAGATGAGATCATGAATCCATACCCCAAGATTCCAAACCAATCGATGTTCGGATCTATGCCACCTACTGCACCTTCGTCATTTGATACGAAGTTAGCGACTGCTCCTCCGTTTGGGTTTAAACCACCATCTATTGCCACATCGGAAACAGCTGGAGAAAGGCTGGCAACGGCTCCGTTATACTCATTCACCCCGCCAACCTCTTCCCCATCAGAGGCATCATCAGCAGAAAGGTTGCCTGCAGTGCCACTCTTTGTCTTGAACACATCCACCATTTCTACTCAACCCCTGGGTGATCAGTTGCCGATCACACCATTGTTCGGGTTCCAGCCACCTAGCTCCACTCCATCGGGATCATCTGGAGAAAGACTAGCAACTGCGCCGTTATTTGCTTTCCGGCCGCCTACCTCCATGAATGCAGAAGTGTCAACTGAGTCTGCTGTAGGGAAGGTCGAATACCCTGCCCTGGCAAGCAAGCCATCATTTGGGTTTAATCCACCTACCACTTCTTCGTCTTCTGCCGGTGGAGAGAAGCTGGCATCTGCGCCCCCGTTTGGGTTCAAGCCACCCACCACTTCTACGGTTCCAGCTGTCGGTGAGAAATTGGCAGCAGCACCGTTACATGGGTTTAAGCCACCGTCTGCGGCTCCATCAGAAACTGTACTAGTTGAGATGTTGCCAGCAACACCACTCTTTAGCTTCACACCGCCCTCTTCAATACCCGCACCGGCGGTGGATGAGGTTACTGTAACGGGTACTGGGGCTGACGTCGAGACTGTTCTTGATGAGAGTATCGCGGAAGAGGCGAATGTCACGGTAGACCTTGGTCTTGGCGAGGATGATGTAACTCTAGTACTAGAAGATGAGGAAGAGCATAGCGCGGAGGAAGCGCAAGAACGAGAGCCTGCTAAGGTCACAGGAGATTACGAGATAGGAGAAAACACATCAGCCTCAGAGCGTGAAACAACCGCAACTCCTCCGCCGTCGGAGGCGATCAACAAAAAGAGGAAAAGGGCGGGGAAAACACCTGATACCAATACTCCGGAGGAAAACCAAGATGTTGAAATGGTCGACGAACTCGCTCACTCTCCTGCGTCTAAACCCAAGAAGGGACGTGCAGTACGTGCATCAAAGCGTACTGCTGCGAAGAAGCGTAAAGGTGATACCAACTTTGTCCCACCAGATGAAAGCGAACACGAGGAGGACATGGAAGTCAAAGAGCCGGAAGTCAAAAAACGCCGTACCACTCGCAAGAAGACTTCAGCAGGCAGCACAAAAAAAGAGGACAAGGAGCCATATCTCGAAGACGAAAAGTTGGAAGACGAGTTCAAGACCGTTGAAGCTGCCGTTGCCACCGCACTCGATCCTGATATTCCACCAAAGGAAACTGTTGAGTTGCCCGATGGAAGTGTAGTTCCCGCCATCCAACCTGAAGAAGTTGACATCTCACTCGGGAAGGAGTTGAGGGATGGGAAGGTCGTTGAGCCTTCTTCACAGCCAAAGCGGACTAGAAAAAGGGCACGTGAAGCCTCAGTTGAACCGACAAAGCAGGCAGCCAAAACGACAAGATCAGCCGCCAAAAAAGCAGTCTCTCTCAGAGAAACCTCTCTCGAACCTGGAGTCGCTGAGCCCGAGGTGGAGGAAGAGAAGGAGGACAGGGTTGAGGAGAAGATGGCGGAGGAGAAGATGGTGGCGGAGGAACCTGAATCTCTCCTAAAGACGAAGAAGGTGGCTGCCCCTATTGCTCCCCGTCGGGGACGCTCAGCCTCAGTCGAGCCTTTGCTCTCATTTGAGGAGCGGCCGATAAGAGCAACCAGGGCTAGGAAGACGCCTTCTGTTAAGGAACCTTCCGTTGAACCCGAGGAGCAACCGCCGATTAGACTCTCCAGAGCCAAGAGAACCCCTTCCATCAGGGGAAATTCCGTTGAGCCAGAGGCTACGGGTGATATGGACATCATCACCCTTCGCAATAGAAAAGTCGTCGTCAACCGTCAGGGCTCTGTTGACCTATCGGCCGATGAGACTGATCGTAGCACCAACACCATTCGCCGGAGTTCTAGGCATAAGAAGGCATCTGCAGCATCTGCAGCACCTACTGATGCACCGTCACCCCCTTCAAAAGAAAACGTCCCCGTGACTCCCAAAGCCAAACGAGCACGGAAACCACCGGTGATGAGTGCAATCAAGGAAGCTGAGGTGGAAGCGAGTGCGAAGAAAGTCCGAAGGAGCAAGAGAAAAGAGACATAATTTGTCCTGGCGTTGATATATATATGGGTGGGGTAGGATTGTTGATGTCAATTTCTTTAGTTTGGGGTCGAGGTGTTATTGCTTTTGCTACTTTCTTGATTGAGTGATGAGGTTTAACTTTGGGTAACTAATTATTCCTTTTTTTATCACATCCATTACCACGATAGGAATTCATCAATCGGTGTTTTATGCATTTCCTATTTCTAAGCTGTTGGCATGTTATCGGTTTGGTCAATGCTTCTGGATATGAACGAAGCGGGGTGCACGTTTCCAAGATTTGACGCGGGTATTTTTCTTTCTTGTTTCGTTTTCATGATGTATATTTATTTACTAGAGCTGAAGCGAGCCTTTTCTTTGTTTTTCCTAATACGTGTATTGCATACAGGCTTTTTTTTTTCGTTATGGGTAATATCAATAGGGTCAAATATACTTCTCGGGCTATGTATCTATCGCGCGGTTCCACAGATGAATTAAACAGTGTTCCCGGTTTATCTATGTATTCTGGGGTGACAAAAGTTCTCGTGATTTTCGCATCGCAACCAGCAGGAATTATAGTCGTCTCTGGGTCAACGACGAAACCGGCTCGATGGCGAATAACTACTTTTTGGGCTGATAGTCAGTCAAAGCAAAGGGTCGGAGCTTCTGTTGGTTTTTGTTGGCTTCGATTGGCCTATTCGCCATCGGACCGGTTTCGTCGTTGACCCAGAGACGACTGTACCAACAAGACTAATCCTCAAAGTCGGCAATCGGGACTCATACCTAAGAGGTATGTTCTATCAATCTTTAGCTCTCTAATTGCGTTAATATCTTCTTTATATCTTTTGTGGTCGTGGAGTTATAGTAGTTTCATGACCCATCCTTGTACAGCAACAGGTAATAAGTGATGGAACGCCCTGAGGGTACAAACACCAAATGTTGGTGGCGTTTTACTAAAACAGGTATCGCTGTGATCCATCAATTATTACCTACCGTTGTACAACATCATGAGAACTTTTGTCACCCTACAATACGCAATATGGTACTGCACACTACAAGGTTCTGGCATTAAGTGAGCGAACTACATGGGGTGTTGACAGGTGAGGATCTGTTCACTCATTAAATGCCAGAGCCTTGTACAAGGACTAATTAATTTCCAAGCCTTCAATTGCAGTTACCTTTCCATCCAATCTCGGCGGCTGGCTTATCCTGACAGCGGCCAAAGTTACACTCGTCCTAGCAGGCCCCAGTTGCTATAAATTACCCACTTCTTTTTAAACTCCATATGATACTAGTACTTTCCTCTGGCGCCAGCCGGGGCCACCCTCAGCAGCACCCTCTTCCTGTGAGTCCTCTCCCAGCTAGTTCAAAAAAAATATTTAAATTTTGAATACTTATGGCTCTTACACAGGTTTCCCTGTTTCTTATTTTGGGGGGTTGAGTGGACTAGGGTTTTTTTTTTTTTTTTTTTTTTTTACTCGCAGATACAAGTGTTCTATTTCTTTTTTCTACATCTAATAAGTATATAATTATAACCTGCATATGCAATGTGCTTTTATAGTCTTCTGATTGGTTTATTGAGAGATGTTTTTGTTTCACTTGAAACATGTTGTGTTGGATATTAACATAGGGTATTGTGCTGAGTGTTGTCAGAGTGTTAATAAGGTTTCTACTGGTTCTGGGAATCGATTAGTAGTTCGATTTTAGCAGCTTGGTGGCTGCTAAAGGGATATACCTGTAGTTTTAACTGGAGAAATTGTCTGACTTATCCGTTGATATATCGGGAATATCAGAAAAGGCACATATTGACCAGAGCAGATCTAGATATAGTGATGGACTTTGCCTGCCAGGAGGGGTCGAGGGCCACGCAGCGGCCTGAGAGCCCCGACTGACAGGCAAAAGAGAAATAAGCCGCAAAGCGGCTTGCCTGTATATTGGACTGATTGATATACATATAGTACCGGCCGAAGGCTGGAAACTACTTGTAAGTATGTACATATTATCGGGTTCCAAAAATAACCGATCACCTCACGACAGCGTCGAAATCCACTACAGGTCAGAATAACCCAGCAACCAGGAGAGCAGTTGGATAATTTTAAGTCTCCTAGACGGAGTTAGGTACTTGAAAAAGAATGGACTTATCCTTCTGACCTCGAAGGCCGTCTCGATGTGAGGTTTCTTCGCAGGACAGTTTTGGTTGCTATGAGTGATCTCATGAGGTGCCAATGATCGGTTATTTTTGGAACCCGACATGCAATGCTTTAGTTCAATTTTACGTCTTTCTTGTATACACTTAGTATCTACAATATAAATCAAAAAAGACTCCTGAAAAGATATGAAATATTCCCTTTTGATAGGCCACTTGTGGTCATTCCGGGGAAATTAGTCAGGTAATAAAAGAGAGGCGTCGTGGGAGGCGGGCGGCGTATGTATCTCTTCACAGGATGTCACTCGTAATTGTCAGCAACAGACTAAAGGCCGACGAGTTGAATCGGGATTGATGTTTTATCTACATGTACACACTGTCTTCTACCTCGTGCTGCACTATGGTACTTTGGGGCCCTAGTATTAAATTGGGGAACAGTTGGCCTATCGGAATTAAGCTAGGTAGTAGGTACAGAGCCATGTGTCTTCATCGACTATACTTTCTGCTTTGTTTTGTGGTATTTAGGCCCTAAGTAGTTATATCAATAAACACGTGGTAATCCTATATCAAACCGCCAGCTTAAACCTACTAGAGGCAGCGAGAGATTTACACTTATATACACAGTCTCTTTACAATACCGAGCCGACCGCACCGCACCGCACCGCATCACAGCCCAGGCACAACCCATCACTCGGCCCACCACACATCCCACATCCCTCGCTAAGGGTTAAGGTCAAAGCTGAATGCCGGTGCCGGAGGGCTGAGACAAATGCGAGCAGCCAATTGGGCCTGATAAGCGAATACCAAGCTTTTCGTGGCTATGTGGTATGGCGCGAGATCTCGTGTAACTATGGACCTATATCTTTTCAAGGACCCAGGGGGCTGTGCTTGACCTCATGATTGTTCAAATCCGGTGGATATCCTGGTGGCTCACTGAGAGATCTCTTTTCTCACACCCGAATTCTGGCCTCTGCTATGGGTGGGTAGCCCTATTAGACAAAGGGGCAGATATAAAAGCTTAAATAGCCCACCACCCGCCCACATATACCATACCGTTCCTTCTTCAATAAAGTCCTAGTCGCTCTCCGCTATCATATCAGTAGTAAAGAAAAGGCAGTAAAGAACATACCCAGATACACACCATACCTCACAATGGCCACCACGCCCACCCCCCTCTCCGACCAACTCCTAACCTTCTCCCCCTCTCCACCAAAGTCCAAACCTCCCTCCTCGCCCTCGCCCTCTCCGACGCCCTCGGCGGGCCCGCCGAATTCAAACCCCGCGGCACCTTCCCCCACATCAGCACCATGCAGCCCAACCGCAATTTCAACCTCCCCCCGGGCACCTGGACCGACGACACCTCCATGACACTCTGCCTCGCGCGGGCCATCACCTCGCCTAGCAAGCCCCCCATACCAGCGGACCAGGCAAAGCTCTACCTCAAATGGTACCGTGCCGGCTACCTCTCTGCCATCGGCCGCTGCTTCGACATCGGCGCGACCACGCGCGCAGCACTGCACATCTGGGAGGGCGCGGGGAAGAAGGCGGATATGGCGGCGGTGCAGCAGCAGGTGCGCGAGAAGCTCGGCGGGCGGTTTCAGGCGGGCAATGGCTCACTGATGAGGGTGCTGCCTGTGGGGCTCGTGTATTGGCGGGATCTGACGGTGGCGATGGAGGTTGCGCGGGCGACGAGCGAGGTGACGCATCCGGCGGGGATGTGCCGTGATGCGTGTGCGGTGTACACGCTGCTTGTTGGCAGCATCTTGGGGGCCGTGGCGCGCGGGGAGAGGATGAGTAAGGCACAGCTGCTGGAGGTGCTGTATGGGTATGAGTTCCAGGATGAGGAGTTGGGGGCGGTGCTGGGTAGAGAGTCGGGGTTTTTGGAGCTGCCGGTGGAGAGCGTGAAGACGTCGGGGTATGTGTTGCATACGCTGGAGGCGGCGCTTTGGGTGTTTTTCCAGACGGAGAGCTTTGAGGAGGGAGTGGTGAGGGTGGTGAATTTGGGGGATGATGCGGATACGGTGGCGGCGGTGTATGGCGGGCTGGCGGGGGTGTGGTATGCGGATGAGTTGGAGGCGGAGGGGTCGCTGTTTTGGACGGAGGGCGTGAGGAGGTGGAGGGAGGAGCTGGTGCAGAGGAAGGTAGTGGAGGACGTAGCGAAGGCGCTGTGGGAGATCCAGAAGTAGAGTTGTAGATAGCTGGTGTGGTAATTGCATGTCTTTATGTAGCTCATTTGATGAATTAAACAAAAAAAAAAAAAAAAAAAAAAATGTAGCTCATTTGGGTGGTGGTGGTTGGTGCGAGTGATGAGCTGTGACGGCGGGCTTTTTATTTTTATTTATTTTTTATTTTTTCTTCGTTTAATTCATCAATTGTGTGACGGTGGGCATTGTTAATGGAACAGGGAACGGGCAAGCGGATTCCCCATGAGAAAAGCTAGCCAACTGCAGGAGTGAATCTACTATATATAATATACAAGAACTAGGGGGCCCGCCGGGGGTTACCACTCGGGTCCTTTCCAAGAATTATTGAGCCTATGTCCTCCTGAGCCTACCGGCTCCCTTAGATTCTCTTCACTCTTGGTGCCATTTTGCGTTCAATGGCGAGGGCACCGGTTCTGGGGTTAGTGTTTCTCGAAAGTTTTTACCCTACATATTATTTTATATTATAGTAGATTCGTCATTACAGCTCGAACTGTGAAGGCAAAGGGTGAAGTAAACTGAATCAGCTGAAAAATATCGAGCAACAGCTACTTGAGGTTACTGGTAGAGTATGATAGGTATGACCGTGTTCAAAATAGGGCCGGAATCCCCCCCTATATCTAGTACTTTGCAGCACTACGCTTCCAGAAGTCCTTTATTCACAATTGTAGCCACAACCCATGCGAACAATCCAGTATGTTCTCACCAAGCCGAATTAACCATTGTTCCTACTCAGCATTGTTCCTACCCAGCCGAACCAATCAGCAACCCGCATTTGCGAAATTTTACTCGTCCTGACATTTTATATTATAGGAGATATATGGCCTGAGAGAGTTTATGGTTATGGCTCAACCCACGCGGTGTAGCAAGACGAGGCTCTACCACTAGGCTGCCTCACCCGCGCGACTGTCAGAGGCCGGGAGGTAATACTTAAGCAATCACAACCTGCACTGGCCGGCCACCGTCTTGCGTAGTACTTATGTCGTACACGGTTGCCATTCCGAACCGTACATGTAATTACAAAGTTACATACCCTTAATTGGTTAACTACATGTATGCGCTGCTGAACTCTGGCGCTGCTCGTATAAAATAATCGATAATTCAAGCCATGGGCGCCTTTTTTCAATGTCTCTCCCTCTCCACTCTTCGTCATGTACATGTAGCTATCATGTACACATATTGATGCTGTTTGGTAATGACGCTATGGACAACGAGATTATATATAGAGAGAATATTACCTCTCTCTCTTAGTTTATCGCTATCATCTCCAATGAACGCCATTGCATACAATACATCTAAAATTGCGTATTACCGTCTTTTGGTTCTCCATCTAGGCATATGCATGTATGAGACTAGAATATTGAGAGTATCCGAGAGCAATATTTCTAGTTTCGATAATGAACGGAAGAGGGCGTGTAGTAGGAGAGAGACTCTACACACTTTTTGTAATGTGAACGTAGTGAGGCCTCTTCTTTGGGAACTATTTGCATTCTATCAACTGAAGAAGCTCTTAGTAACTAATGTTGTAGTAATATTTGCGGTTAGTAGTTATCCCACTGCAGGGCAGGGGTACTGGCTTGGCAAGGTCACCCCACATTCTGTTTGCCAGGATCGCGGCTCAGTCATATGTCAGCAGCTCGATAAACAACTTCACCTCTATCTCTTGATATCGTGGACTTTTGTCTTTGCAAAAAAAACTCTTAGCCATTCCCAATTCCCTCTCTTCCATCTCTACAAGCTATGACAGACATCTCATCAATCCTCCAGGGTGGCTACCACCACCCGCTCTCCCGCAAGTGGCAAGCTGAGCGTCAATTGACAAAGGCAAGCAAGCTCAATTGATCAAAAGAGCGCAATCAATTAGCAAACAAACTTCTAACAACCCAGCTACTGCTCAGTCCATGCTCGTATACCCCGTCTTCATCACCGACAATGACGACGAAGAAACCCTCGTTCCCTCCCTCCCAAACCAATACCGGTATGCACCACTCCTCAAAAGACCCATTTACATTTTACTAACTCCCCCCCTCCAGCCGCGGCGTCAACAAACTAATCCCCTTCCTCGCCCCCCTCGTCGCCAAAGGCCTCAGCTCCGTCATCCTCTTCGGCGTCCCCCTCGCCCCCACCGCCAAAGACCCCACCGGCTCCAAAGCCTCCGACCCCGATGGTCCCGTCGTGCGCTCCATCAAAGCCATCAAGAAGGCCTTCCCGCAGATGTTCGTCATGACCGACGTCTGCCTCTGCGAATACACCTCGCACGGCCACTGCGGCATCCTACACGAGGACGGAACCCTCAACCAGGTGGAGTCCGTGAAACGCATTGCGCAGACCGCCGTCGACTATGCGCTCGCGGGCGCGGACTGTGTGGCACCAAGCGACATGAACGATGGCCGCATCAAGGCTATCAAGCTGGGTCTTATGGAGGCCAATGTCGCGCATAAGACTATGGTGATGAGCTACGCAGCAAAGTTCTCGGGCTGCCTCTATGGCCCTTTCAGAGATGGTATATAAACCAGCCCCTCTCCCCACCCCCCCCCCCCCCCCCCTCTATCCTTCCAATACTAACCACCTTCCAGCCGCCGGCTCCGCGCCCTCGTTCGGCGACCGCAAGTGCTACCAGCTCCCCGTCACCGGCCGCGGCCTCGCCCGCCGCGCGATCCTCCGCGACCTCGCCGAGGGCGCCGACGCAATCATGGTGAAGCCTTCATCGGCGTTCCTGGACATCATCTCTGACGCCGCAGACCTGGCAAAGAACGTGCCCATCGCAACATACCAGGTCAGTGGCGAGTTCGCCATGATCCATGCCGCGGCCGAGAAGGGGGTTTTCGACCTCAAGGAGATGGCGATGCAGACTTTGGATGGCATCCTGAGGGCTGGGGCTACCATTGTTTTGAGTTACTTTACGGAGCAGATCCTGAATGAGGGGTGGTTGGATCAGTAGAGATATCAAAGGTCGTGGATCTTTTATGGTTTTTTTTTTTTTTTTTGCGATTTTTTTTTTTTTTTTCCCCTTTCCACTATTTAGCTTGCAATATGGTGGTTGGGGGTTTATACCCTCCCCGGAATAGCAAAATACAAGAGCTTAGGATCATGAGTTCAGGGAGAGTAAAAACGCTTCCTGGCCTGGTGCCTTTATATCCTCTTTGAAGGGGCAATATCTCCTAAACACCCCTAACCCCACACGGGTCCGTTTTTTTGCCAATTTTTATCACAAAGCATCACTCGTTGTTCTGGTGGGTTCATGAGGTATCACTCGCGCCTCCAAAAAGAAATCACATGTCTCCGTGGCGATAACATGACCCGACCTGACGCCCACAGAGTTCGGGTTAGGATACAGTTGCATTTCACTTCCAGGAACGGAGCTATACCGGCTAAATCTCGGCCCAGTACTAGTGCTTCCGCCCCTCTTTTATCTTTTATCTTTTATTTTTTATTTTTTATTTTTTATTATCTAGAGCGTATTCGAGGTAGATAGTTATCTGTAATCCGAAATACGTGTGTAGGCCTCCTGATGTCCTCTAAATAGAGATAACGATAGGAAGATCATCTAAACAGATCGTACCGAGCTAAATAAAAAGGCTCATGATGCAGAAAAGTGCAGGTTATGGTTCCTGTACCTCCTGTACCTCTCTTCCCGCACCTTTTGCAGCGAGCTGCAGTAGCACAGAGTGCACTCCCATATATACTGCATGTGTCCACTTGGCTAACATATTTACCTCCCTGTGAGTACTGTCGAGTTGATATTTGTTTAGTATAAGCTGATCTGAAATCTGAAATTTCCCTACGCTGCCCGAGATGACCGGATGACAGACATGGGCCCAATCAAACCGCCTAGGCGCCCTGCTAATACGTACGCCTGTAGGGGAAGCTATATATATGGCCCGTTAGAGTACTTTAAATACATTAGCCTACACCCAGCCTGGTATGGCATCTGTCACGTACGCATGTTTTACTATAAAGTATCCATAGCTACATGTAAGTATTTTTTGGTCGCCGGCTTTTCACATGGGTGTTTAATTTAGATTTTAACACACACACACACACACACACGAGCTCTATGTTATGTGCGTCATGCAGTACGCATTAGAGCTTACCCACTTTTACCCAAAGAATGGGGAGAGGACCCTTAAAGTGTAAATGAGCTGAGGGAAATATAACATGTGAGCTGAACCGTGCCGCGGCGAGGGAGGGATGCCAGAATCGTTGAAATAGGAAAAAATGGTGCTCGGTGTAGTCATCAGCTAAGGCTGTTTACTAAGAAGATTGGTAATCAGTCAGTTGCCGAAATTCCTGTCTCATATTATTCCTTTTAGTGAGTTATTGTAAACTTAGTGTAGCAATATATCGTGAATCGAGATTCTGGAGGGATTTTGCTTGTAGCTATTTCTCCAGGGATGATAAGCTAATATCCCATATAAATGAGTGACGTATAGGAAATTAAGATGTGTCCGAATGGCGTATATCCGAGCTGACCGTCCCAGTACCGGGGTTCGTTAAGGGGCTATGAAGAGTTCACCGTTGCCAAGAATCTCGGCTGCGAAAGTAGATATATGAAAGTTGATGAGGGCCGTAGCTAAACTCCTTGTTGACACAGTTGAGAGAAACATCGCGAGATGGGATAGCGATTGAAAGGCTCTGAATTAATGATTCATGGACGCGCTAGATGCGTGAGTGTATATATCTTGTAGCTAGTCCAAAATCGGCTGTCGTCAAATCCCGAAAGGTGTGGGTACACCGAAGCTCAATGTTTGTTTCTCTTTCTGTTTCTGTATGTTTTGGTTTAGGTGGTCACAACTGCTGCGTATCAAAAATACCATATACTTGGCATGTTACTCCCGCAACTGAAACTTGGCTCAGTATGGCATCCCGGTCTCTTGGTAAATGGTTGTACGTAACATCGTGATCCTGTTTCCTTTCTCACCTCACTTCTCGACTCCGGGTAAGCAAAACCCGACGATTGTCAAGGCAATCCAGCTTTCGGCTTTGAAGAGGTTTCTCCTAGCCATGTACGGATATCTAATCTCCGGATCATGGATAGTCACTCGGACTAAAAATTTTGATATTCGATACCAACACTACTCTTTTTTTTTTTGCCATGGTACGTGGATATCAGCTGGTATATTGTTGTTGCCTATTAGCGGAAGAAATTATCTTTCCAATGTTCCAGATGAATATGTGGCATCAACATAGGATGCAAATACCAAAGGCCAGTCCATGGAGGCTACGAGATGTTTAATCTCGGAAGCACGGTATTTCAAATATCAGAGTTGGAATTAACGGGCCGATCAATGTATCATATAAAACGGAAGCCACTCCGTTGGAGTCTCGACTCGCTTGTCGGAGTTTGCATACAAAACGTGCAGCAAGACAAGTGAGCACTGTGCACACAAGGCTGTCCCCGCAAGAGGGTAAATTCTCTAGGAGGTAGCACGCAATTTGTAATTCCACGAGAACAAGGTGAACCCATGCTGCTCTCGACCTGACATGACGTCGTTTTTCCCGGGCCGTGCCGACAAGCTTGTCTTGTCGCTGACGTCGTTGGTTGGAGGAAGCAGGTTTGTTCGTCAACAATTCTTGGTTGTTCTCAATGATGATCTCAAGGTTTTGCATGCTCCATTAAGACATAAATGGCCATGGATGAAGGTATGTCTACTCCTATTGAGTTGGGGGGGGGGGGGGGAAGCAGCTGACACTTTTTTGGATAGAGACACTCCATTGGAGCTTTGGACATTTCGCTCAAAACACGCGCTTTGAGCGGTTTTGGAGAAGAAGCACGTGTTAGTTCTGATAGAGTTGATGGTGCTTCTGTTCCATGTTGCACTGTGAAAGTTTCACGATACGGGGTGGCTCAGGGCTGCTGGTGGTGGTGATGTTGATACATACATGTAATGTATGTAGGTCATCTCATCGTACAGTGGACACACGCCAGTTCGGTGAAGTGTGCACCTTCCCGATTCCATCCTACACTGTCAAGTTGCCGTGGAATAGAGTCAAGCCGTTGGAGAACACCGATTCGGGCCGATAGATATACACCATTTAGATCGGATGTACAGTACACTTGGCACCCTGCGAGTCAGCGAAGGGTCGCAGATTGATATTTGACATAGTAGAGTAGTGTGGTACCTATGTATGTCCTTGCAGTGACTCTGTGAGAAGATTGGTCGAGTTTTGGTCCGCATCGTCTTCCACCCTAGATGTGGTCTTACGATGGAACACATACCGGCCTGATGCTGTGTGTAGAACTGGATAGAGGACCCCAGCACCTCAGTTAACTCCGAGTTGTCCAAGTGTCAAATGCAGCTTCTGGGGGGAACAAAATTAGCCATGGAGGATTTCAGATTGCGAGGTCAATCTGTAACTTCACCATATTCTGCCCCATGTGCTAGTTCCGAGAAGATCTATCTGGTCACAGTGGCCCCACGGTTGAATATCTACTCCTCTACTACTCTATGTAGGCATGATATGAGCAGAGCAGTAGCCGCAGCATACCTACGTGTGTCGATGTCGACATGTCTTGCATGCGCCACCCGGCTGCCCGAATTTGCTCCCCAAGCTCCCGTCTCGATGGAGGCTGAAGATAAAAGAAAATAATATGATACCCGCCTTGCCTGTTCAATCGCCAGCGAGCACAAGGCCATGTGTGTAGGACAGGGCAGAGTAGTACTACTCAGGCATGTAGTGGTAGTTACAGTGAAGCCATCACGATTCAACCCCTTACATACATGTACAATTTGTAGCACCCCACCTCACACACACCGTGCAGTTGTCTACATACATTTGAAGGCACAACGAGAGTATTACAACGTGAGAGCATATTCGCGGTGCAATGACCACAAGGCGTATGTATGTAGGCTTAAGAATAATACTCTGAACTCCCACGAAACCCGTGGGACGGGCTGCTGGGGTTCGAGAATGTTATATTTTTGCCGTGCAAGGCTTTGTTTTGACATCAAACCTCAATCCACCCCCGCCAAGCGGGGAAGCAACTCCGTGATAGCAACAGCCAGATAGTGATAAAGAGTAAAGGAGTAAAATAGATGCCGGTTGCTTGAGGAGGGGGGGCGTCCAAAAGACCCTTCTAGATTGCAAATTCACAACCGCCCAGCAATTGGAAGATCGCTGCAAGTCGTTGGCGCCAGCAGAGAGACAGACGCAAAAAGCGATGAAGGGGGAAGGGGGGCGATATCACTACCCATGGGGTACATTATACATAGTCAACAAGCAAACAAGTAACTGGCAGGCAGGGCAAGGCAAGGAGGGAGGAGGAGGGGGAGGGGGGCGAAGGGAAGGGAAGGGAAGGGAAGGGGGGGTTATGCTGGTAGGCTGTAGGGAAATGTGAAGAAAAGATGAAAAGCTAGCTAGATCCCTGCCTGCATCCCGTCGATTCGACCGCCTCCTTCGCAATGCAACGCTTCTTCAGGGTCCTCACGCGTGGCAGCCAGAATATATTTTCTCTTCGCTTCACAGGATAGTTTACCCTTCACCTGGGAAGCAAAAAAGGTTGGTGTGGTGTGTGGTCAGTTCAATAAAGTACTTAAGTCATTCGTTACTTGGGTCTTTTTTGGAATTTTGGGGTTTCTTTTGGGGAATTTTTTTTCTTTCTTTTTAATTTCTTGAATGCGAATTCTACCACATACATACACATACACCTTCTCGGATTTCCCACTCGCTCTCGATCTACCTACTTATCTCTCCCTCTTACTCATTTACTGCGCTGCCTTAGATATTGATAGTTACAGGGCTTGTGGCGGCGGAGGAGCTCAGACAGGGCTTCAGTCTCGATTTTTTTGATTTTTTACCCTTTCACTATTCTACAGCATTCTTTTCCTCGGGAATAGCATACATACATTACATACATACTCTGGAACGTTGCGGCAACTATCGTATTTTTTTGTTTTTGCCCTCGCGCACCCCCCCCCCCCCCCCCCCCTCCCCCTCCAGCGCTACAGCAGTGATGTCTAGCCAAGGTGGTGGGAACTCCAGCACCATACTCTGTCAACCACAGTTGAACCATCGCCGCGGAGACACTCTAGACTCAGGTCTCAACGGCATGATTAAGGACTTTAGTAGCGATAATAGTACTGCTACAAGACGGGACGATTCTCTCGCGGCTGCTTCACTACCCATCACACGTTCACTGCGGCCCCAAACCTCCTCTCCTCCCCAGGATCTTACACACGATCTTACACACGACATATCGCTTTTAGAGAAAACCAGCTGGGATTTGAAAGCGTTGGCACTGTGCGCAGCTCAGAAACTGGGCAAGGAGAAATGCATAGGGATATGCGAGCTAGGTACTTCGACATTTCTCTGAGCTTTAATTCCCTACCCCATATCCCCCACCTCGTATTCATTTTCCCTTGCATGCTGGGTGGTATATAACCCCCTCCCCCCCTTTCCCTTTCCTTCGTTTGCAGGCAGGTACATACATGACAGCGGGAGCAACAGTGCGGGAAGCGGTAGACGGGAAGGAAGGAGGATCCAAGGGACCTACAGTTACCCACATATCATCCTGCTTTATTTGCCAACAACAATTTGTGCTGACCGCTTGCCTATCATATTCATGTAACCCGAATCATTTCCCATTAGTATAGATACCACATCTTACTAGAGCCACCACGTTTTTTTATGAATACCATATTCAATTACATGAGTGACTTGCTTACCTCCCACACACGATACAGGCCGTGGATCCCACAATTCACTGTATAGGCTCAAATTCTCCGATTCGACAGAATGTGCCGCCTCCATATCCAACTCGCCTGAGAAGTTCTTCAGCCCGCAGATCAAGCAATCTGAGATCGCCACCATGCAATATCTCTATTCGTCACCGCTCTATAACATCCCAATCCCAAAGGTTTATGACTGGGACCTGTCATTCACCAATCCTGTAGGCGCCCCATACATCCTGCGTGAGATATCTCCGGGGAAGAACATGGCCGAGGATGGCAGGTTTTACCGACTCAGCACCCGTGATAAGATGAAGGTGATTAAAGAGCTAGCTCTGGTCCAGGCAGAGCTATCGAAGCCCTCAGAGTTTACAAAAATTGGAAGCATATATAGCCAGAAAGACAGCACGGGCTTCTATGTCGGTGAGATTGTCTCGGCAACCTGCATGGGGGGAGACAAGAACGGGACAACATGTCCCTCTAAGGGTCCATACTCCAGTATGCCAGATTTGTGGCAAGCACGTCTGGAACGTGAAACACTCATGGCGATCCAGAACTGGTCTTCACTCTCATCCGACTCTGCAATCAACTCAGAGTCCCCGCCATCTTTAGCAAATCCCCAGCATTTCGGGGAAATCCTGCAGCTGCTGAGCGGACTGACTGGACTATTTACCCCGCCAAAGGAATTAGCAACGCTGTGTATTCATCATTCCGATCTGGCGATCCGGAATGTCCTTTTTGATGATAGGACACTCAAAATTACAGGAGTCATAGATTGGGAGTTCGCTTGTGTCGTGCCGTTGGCAATCACGGGAAGGTTTCCAAACGACTTGGGATGGGAAGGGAACGAATTTGCACGGTCGTTGGGAAGGCTTGGCGATAACGGGGAAGTGTGGAATCATCACTACTACGATTGGACGAGCCTTGAGGGCGTTAGCCCTCCCCCGCCTTCTAGGAATGCGGCACTATCATTGTTAGATGGTGAACAAGAGGACTATATAAACAACCTTCACACAACCAACATGAATCGATACTGTGAAGATCAAGCAGGGATCATATCGGCACTCGACCCCCCACCACATACGCCATCACCACCATCTCCCCCTTTACCGCCCCCGCCAACCTCGAGGACGAGTCAGAAGGATTTGAACATCCGTGCGTCACGTCTAGTGGAACTTTTCTATCTTAGGAAGTACTACGCATCATGCGTTGCTTCCCGTGATTTCAAGCTCACCAGCCTGTTTATCGACTCAGTTGCCTACATCAAATTCAACGAGCTGGTTATGGAGGATATGAGAAATGGTTTACGGGGGTGGAGTGGATCCGGGAAGTATTCTGGAGGCTGAAGACATTGGAGGATTCAGAGATTGAGAATATGCGGCGTGGAATGATGGTGATCAAGGTTCCGGAGAACTTCAAGGCTAAAAGTGACCGAGGGGTTGTGGATTTGGGTGATTGGGAGAAAAGACTGCAGGAGAAAACATTCCCTGAGAAAACATTACCTGAGAAAACATTGCCTGAGAAAATATTGCCTTGAATTAGGCGAACTCCTCTTGGACATACTTCCTTTCGGGGTAGTGGGCGTACCGTATCTAGATGGTTTATGGTTGGTTCGGGGAGATCTATGGGGCATCATTTGCGGATACGATTGGGATGGCTGGACTAATGAATGGATTTGGTTGGTGGGATCTTACGATGGGCATCGATCGGCTCGGAAGGCGTTATTGGGGGTATTGAATTTTTGTGTGCTTTTTAATCCTCCTTGTTTTCCAATTATATTTTGCTGGTGAAGTAGTGGGGGGAGATTGGGGGAATATTCGTTTTTTTGATAACTATTCTAGAGCAACTATTCTAGAGAGAATTTGTGTTGTTTAACCTTTTTTGTGCATTTCTCTGGCGTGTTAATTTTTGTTTTCTTTTTGCTTTGTTGCGTTTTATTCTATGGAAGTTCTCCAAGGGTTGGTTGAGAGCTTTAAATTAGTTGTTTCGAGCATATAATGGTGGAGGGGAATTTCTTTTTTACCTATTGCTGTTGTTCCTGTTGGTTCCATTTACAGCATATGATATCAAGATAAACCTAGATTTATAAGAACCAATCTTCAAGCTTCTGCCAGGTCTCGGTGATGCCGTTAGCCTTATCGATAAGGAGGATCACCACCAATACTCTGGTTATTGGCTGGTTCTGACTTCAGGCAGGGTCCGTTGCTCATCGCAGGATGCACAAAGTATTGGAACGGGAACACGGGCCTCAGCTCATAACTTCTGGACATATACCCAAATGGTACTTTCTTCCTGAGCATGAAAGACAAGAATCAGAATTTAAAAAAAGCATACATGTCTATGAGGAATTTATATTGCCATGGCAGACAGATATGTGTATCGATCCCCCTCTCGTTACTTCAATATGCTACTTCCACCACCAATCACAGGTAGATAAATGCACATGTTCACAAGTCCAAACGAAGTGCTTTAGCGGGTATGACACGTACATACATACAGCGACCGGAATGATCTATGGAAAAACAGGGGGGTGAAATTGTATGGCGAAATATCTATGCACCATATAACTGTTTTTTCCATAGATCATTCCTATCGCTGTACATACATACACACATACATACATACATACGTTGACAACACTTTCTCACAGTAGCTACATCGATTCGGGCCCCGCTGGAATTGTGATCCACCAATATGACCCGAGCCAGAGATAGGATGGGGGACGAAACAGTATTTCTCTTGCTCCTGCATGACCAAACCTGGTATGTGTCTGATATCTGATCGGCCTGGCGAGGAGGCAGATACCCGAATATGCATATGTGGGCGACTTTTCCTGCAAAGAAAATCTATCCGATCATCGCAAATAAAAATGGTGCTTATTTATCGTGTATTATAGATATTGATCTCGACTACTTGTAAAGCCATAAACAAACATTAAACATCTTGTTGCTAAACGACTGGGTCTGCAGAAAGCTTGTCCTTCTCTCCCTGCAGCCCTGGGAGTGGTGTTCTACCTGGCATGCGGGCAGGCCCACGTGTTTTAAGTCCGAGAAACGATCGGACGATGGAAAGGATGACTTTCGAAAGCAGTAAGCAAAGGTCATGAGGGGAATCAATTGGGGTTATATGGACACTTCCATTGTATGCCCCTCTATTCAGATGACGGTGCTTTAAAAGCTATGGACAAGTCTCAGGTCAGCCTTGCCTGTAGATAGAGCGCCTAGCCATTGGTGGGCTATCGGCGGGAAAAATCGACAATTGTTTCTCGGGAATTAACGTTATATCATTATAAACAGTGCGTTTTTATCGAACGCTGTTACCTAGATGTTCTGGTGCGGGGAACCAGGGCTCTATCTGGCTGGTAGGATCTGGGCACCATACATGGCCCGTGACGTGGCATTATTTTAAATAACAGAAACACAACCTTAGATACCTCAATTGATTTCCCCCGTTGAAGATACCAGAAGCTAAGGAACTGATAAAGACTTCAAAGATAAAAAAAAACCTAGTGAGACTTGCATATATGCATCAATGCGTTGTGTACCTACGAATTTCTCCGGATCCCCCGCGGTTGATTCTCACATGGAGAAATTCAAACTACCGGTATGACAGCAATGATATCAACACCAGGCCCCAGGTATTATATCCTATGGCAGTTCCATGTACCGGTGCAGTATATTCACTCGAAGGGTAGTTTCTTATTTTCATCGCAATTCTTTTAGTATTTGTTTAGAGAAATAGTTGCTAACTGTTTCCAGCCCTTGTGATTTAATGAGTAATATTCGAAGCTTGCAGGGGAAATGGTTTCATAAAGCACCATGTCTGCGCAAACCTGCTCGTCTGAGACTAACACGAAGACCCATGAATAGAATTACCGAAATCAACTTCTAGAAGTCCTTGTTGCTCGTAATGTGAATTCTGCGGGTGGTATGCATATGCAGCTTATTCGCCATATAAGTTTAATTCGCAAGCGTTTGTAGAAAACAGCAGCTTTGACTCGAGTTCGGCGATAAAGTGTGTAATAGTGCACATATGTAGAGTAAGTCGTTTCAGAAATTGTATATTTCAGGCTATATTTTGACAATTCGCTTCGAAGATCAGTGATGGCAATGGTTCGTTTATCTATTCTTATCTCAGTCAAATCGAGATGAATCGTATATTGTATATAGCTCGAGTCATGGAAGAAATAACATGACGGATCGAAAGAATCTCTCCCTCAGCTCATATCGGTGACGTCCATTGTGCACTGTCAATACTCTTTTAGGACTAAAGATAGCTATTCGTTAACGGAAGGCTCCGGGAAGTCGTTATTAGGCTACTACGGGGCGCTCTTCTTTTGACCCCGGGAGGCCGCATGCTGCATTAGGCACTAACCTCTCTAGTCGAATTAGCAACTCCGTGCGAGTGACAGAATGTGATTAGAATTACTTTTTTGGCCTACACCGGTGGACAATGCCGAGAGTTTTATGGCTGACCCCGGTATGATAGTAAGACATTTGCGCTGGAATCCCGCAAAATCAAGCTGAGGTCGGCTCAATTACAATACATGTAGTTTCGGTTTTCTCCGGATGAGAAAGCGTCAGGAAAAGCTTGGCTGGTACCGTTGAGTTCATAGGTCTTTTGACAGTATAGGTCTGGCCCGAATTGAAAGTAATATGTGACTAGCTAGGTATTGAGAAATTCGGTGAAATCTTCCGCGCCTGTGAGCGAACGCGAGTGATGGTCTATGATTGTACTACATATATACGGTTAGTAATATACCAGCTTCGATACTTTGCTCAATCACATACTAGTATATGATTCGCTGGAGTAAGAGCTCTTTCAATAAGGGACTTGCGTGTTTCGTGGATGTAACTTACAGACTCAGATGTATCATACGTGAGAGTAATTCCTTCACGAATGGGATCCAGCCAAAGAGCCTAGGCCTTCAAAATGCCCTTCGAGATGATAAATATTCTTTATTGGCTTTCATAAGCAACGTCCTCTATTTATCCCCAGAACAGAAGAAATATAGCTGTTTGGGCCCCTGATCAGCTGAAATATCTCTTACCTAACAGAAGTTTTTAACTCGGTCAATTTAGGGACAGTGATCGGTACACATCGCTTCGTGGATTATTTATGTCGTTGGCAAGCTTGGCTTGGCTGACTCCGTGTGCAGTATGAACACTAGGAATATCCTTTAACGTCTTGAAAACTCTGATATTCGAGGTATGTTAATGCTCAGTTAATTATGGAGGTATCCAGAAATTCTGCATCCCAAATACGATGGAACGCTATCTCATAGTGCCGTATATATAGGTATCCAATCCCACAAGAAAATGTATTGTTCAGCGGTTGAGTGCGTCCTGATCCTCTCGATGCCGACCTCATACCGGAGGCGGATAAAGACGAACTGACTGGTCTGTGATGAGGGAGAAAATATGGAGCAGGAGGATGAAATATAGCCACATGGGTATACTGCGTACGTACACGTAAATCACCACCCAGCACCTCCTCTAAACCGAGAATCGGGAATATTCTTAGCAAAAGGAGAAATTTGGAGATGCGTGTACTGACGTGTGTGCGTTTACGTGCGTGCGTGCGCGTGTGGGGGTGTGGGGATGTGTGAGTGTGTACGTACATGTAGTTGTGATTTAGGAGACAACCAGTTGTGACCTCTTGTAACTTTGTGCACATCTGCTCAAAGTAGGAGCCAAGATCAAGATTAACCCTTAGCTTAGTCACATATTCTTCTATTCTACACAAGGCCGTAACGCCTACTCCCATCTTCTGCAATGAAGTTACTGAACGAAGGGATGAGGTCTGGATGGGTTTGGCATATGTGGTACTACAGAAGATAATAGGAGCTCTCGGGTTAAGCCAGTAGAGTGTTAAGGGAGTACAAGGTCAGTCCCAAATTATCATTGTATTACCACCGTATACTGACGTAGTAAGGAAGACATTACAGTTGGTCTATGTCTCTTTTTCGTGATGTGTGTGTAGTAGAGGCCTCTCGTGTGGCCCCACCCGAGCGAGACTTGGGCTTATATCCATGTACTTGCTGAAATAATAGATACATGCATGTGTCGCTTGCCATCTCATTTTGATGAAAGATCATACGTATACCGTTGGTTCAGAGAGATGGCCAAGTTAACACTGCAGACTGTTCATCTCCTTGCGATATCTGTCTCTGTCCCGTTTCATTTGCTGTATGGCCCAACAACTCTTCATGTTCCAGCCCAGCTTCTTGCTACTTTTGGTGGTCGAGCTGGAGTACGTAGCGAACATGAGCGGGCGAGGAAAATTTAACAGTACTGACGATTTAGGGATCTTCGTATTTGCTGGTCCCCCCCCTGTCGGTCGGAATTAATGCATCTTGGGAACGTTGCTGGGGGGGGGGGGGGGTCCGACGACGGTAGAGCACATCAGTTCAGTGGCAGGCAAGACTACATATCTGATGCTTGAAAGTTGGCTTTAGCCACAAAGTCTCCAAGTCACAAATTATCACTCGGTTCAGTTCCAGCATCCAATGTTCTTGGCACCTCTCCCGAATATGCA